ATAGTTTTCAATACAAAATGGTCAGAGCACTGTAACAGGATTCAGGACTGGAAGAGTTTAACACTGGTCAGTGGGTAGCTTGGCTAGACATAAGTGGGAGTAACTGGACCCCCTGATGTCTCATGGAGGGCCAAGTGGGTACTATCCCCCACCCCCCTTGTATAATTCCCTAAGCCTTCTGTCTCGGGATGAGTTGTGACACTGATGGTGGCCACAAAATACTCTAAAACTTGATAAGGTTTTGTCTCCTTTTGTTAATACAGCAAGGTGCCCTGTAGGGTGGCCTGAGACCTGTTGGCCAATATTTAATGGGTTTTCACAGTGCAGTTTTAGTTCTGACGGCTTTCTCTATGTCAGAGATGAGCCACCTTTTTTTTCCTGTCAGTGACTATTTACTTTCATGGGCAAACTCTTGGGGGCAACACATCAGCACAGAGAGCCAAAGTCAAAATGATTGCCACTTTGCTACTTTTGCTACTATTTTTGTGTTTTTTCTCCCTTTTCCTCCCCACAGAATAGCCTGTTCAGGTAGGAACAGAACAATCTTGCCAGAGGTTTTGACATCATTAGACTGAGGCCTGTACTAAAGTAGGCCAAGGGGTTCAGTCCAAGTCTAGTTTAAAATTTATGGGCCATAGGAAGGGAGGCCTCTAAGTTGCCTACAAGACTGAGCAGAAGGACAGGCAACCTGGTCATTGTTTTCAACACCATGATGATATAAATTGTATTTCTATTTAAATGGTAGTCATTATTTCGTAATAGATTAACATATATGGATTGCAAGAAAATCTGTCCTTTTCTCTTCTCCTCTTTCGTTTTCTTTCTTTCTTTCTTTCTTTCTTTCTTTCTTTCTTTCTTTCTTTAGTGATAGATTTCCCCTCCTTTAGTAATGTGTATGTTGCTAGTCTAGTTGGCAAGTCACTGCAAAATACACTATTTCCCCTGTGGGTCAACTGGTCCCAGTAGAATTAGTTTTTTTATCTACTATTCTTTATATAGAGTACTGCACACAAAGATAAATAAGCAAGGGAAAAAATATGTACTTGGGATCAAACAGGGCATACAAGCCAAAATGGTTTGAACTCTCTTTTCCTGAGAAGTATTCCTCTCACGCTTTTTGCGTTCATGCAGCCCACTGTTGCAATTGACTTTTCACAGGAATTCTTATTGCAAAACGTGGATTAAAATAGCAACAAAACCACAGATCCTCTAAACTTGTATCTTGCTGCTTATATTCTCCAAACTTTTGTGATGTTCCTTCCCAAGGTCTGAGTCACCCAATTGCGTAAATCACTCTTCTCACATACTCCAGATGTGCAGCTCAGTATGCCTGAAGGGCACAAGGATGGGAAAGACTGGCACAGAAGGATGTAGCCCTGAACAGGATTTGGGAAGGTTTACATTCCCAACTTCAAAGGGTGAGAGAGAAGAGTCCAAGTGTGGACTTTTAATGTAGGCCTATTTCTGGCTTGGAGTGAAATGTGATTTAAAAGTGTCATTATTTAGACTTGGGGACTTTTGTGGAAACAAGAAACAATGCTTGCTGAAATTACAGATAGTTCTGTCTGCACGTCTCTCTGTCTTGTCTTTTGATGTACTGCCTGTGGCTAAAATAAAACTTAGATGAGAAAGGCCCCACCCTGGCATTGACTTGTGCAATAACAGTCTGTGTTTTTTAAAAGACACTCACGTGAAAGGTATGGAAATCTTTCCAAATCTGGTTCCAGATGGGTATCATTAAAACTCTAGCTTTTAAAGGCAAAACAGGAAAGCTGTGGAGGGACTTTTGCAGCAGAAGGGGTTAAATGAAATACAACTCTCCTTTTCCTGTGCGGTAAGGATTAGCAACCAAACAGAAGCTAGAGCAGAGAGAGGAGGGTGGTAGAACCACTGATTGAACTGGAAGACTGGAGATCTGGTTCTGGATACTTGAGTGGTGCTCCAGGGGGGCTGGTTTCATTGCCTCTTTCCATCATCTGCCAAGAGACACAAGCTGCAGGTAAGTCTTAGTTTTGGATTATGGATTGTTTGCTTCTTTGCTCCCTCTGCCTCTCTTGTTCCCTTAGCAATTTGTTTTGTTATTCAATCAGATTGACAGAAGTTTAAAAAGTGTGCAGCAGCAGGGGAACACACTGTGCCGAATGGAACCCTATCAGGATAAACTGCAGATCCCTTTGCAAGAGGAGAAGAAAGCAATTTCAAATATTCCATTAACTTTAACCCATGTATGGCCCCAGTTATTCAGAGATAATTGAATAGAAATGATGATATTTCGGTAGTGGTGAAGGTGGAGAGTCTCATGTGGACTTGAATAGTCTGCCTTAGAAATTATTCTCCCAGCTTTACGGTGAGAAGGCAGTGTACAGTGAAAAGAGGATGTATATGTGGGTGAGTGATAAAGGAGCTCTCCTTTATATGTAAGGAAGGGAAATCGCATTTTGCAATGCTATGTGTATCTACTCAGAAATAAGTTCTTATTGCTTTTTAAAGGACTTACCCTCAGCTAACTATGTATAGGATTGTAGGCTAAGACCATTAATTTCTTTCCACACCTGCCTCTGTGTAGCTCTTGCCTCTGTGGATATGCCTGGGTGCTTTACAAAAGCAACAGAGGCTCTCTTTCAGAGAGTAGTCCCATGAAAATGCACAGTTATGCTTAAGAGGCAACAGCTGAACAGGCTCAGCTCAGCACAAGGTGGGTAGCAGTGGGTGGGTAGCAGTGGGTGGTATCATTTACAATTGGCACAAACCAGAGTGGTTGGCATGGACTGATTAATAAATCATGCTGCTACAGGCTACAATGGCTATGCGAATAATTCCACAGATTATTCTGAGCTGTCTCAAATGCTTGTCTGATCCAGCAGGCAAGATCTTATGAGAAACAGCTAACAAGAAAAAGAAAAACCATTTAGACTGTATGGGGAATGGTTTGCATGGTCAGGCCCATTCCCCCCCCCCCCCCCCCCCCCCCCCCCCCCGTATCATGTGGCTTTCTCTACCACTAAAACATTAACAGACCTGCTGGGATGGTGTGTGATAAAGAATGTGCACCAACTAGAGCATCATAAATCTGAGTGTGAATACTAGAAAGACGTAACGGCCACAAGAGAAGCTGTAGCTTTCCCCAGCACAGAGATACAGCCTGGAGACAAAGAACGTGGTGATAGCATGCATGCATTGTGTGTGGAAGGCCCCAGGTACAGTGGCTGGCATCTCCAACTGAGCTGAAAGGATCTTGGGTGGCAGAGCTGGGAAAGTTGTCACTGTTAATATAGTTACAATTTTAATGGTGTTTTAGTGCCTTTCAGAGCAGATTATCCTTCTAAGTGGTTTACACTGACTGAGTTCAGACAGCATGTTTTGTGAATTGTCAGGAACCTTTCATTCCATTGTCCGGCTACTGATACAATCAGATTCTGCAACAGTGACCTCATATGAATTTGTACAAATTCACAGTTGCACAAATTTGCACTTTTGAAAATATACAAACCTCCCTAAAGTATGTAAATTTCTGAAAAATGAGTATTCCATGCTTTAGCCTTAAATTACAGTATTTGGATAGGATTTAAGAAAAGGAAAAACCTGCAAGTCTGTGGAATCAGCACAACTCAGGAAAATTCTGTTCCTTGTCAAATTCATGGGTAAGATTCTTAGAAACTGTAACTCATTTGGTTCCATTGTGGATTTCCCCAACAACCCTCACTGTCATGCTGTCTGAACCCACCACTGGGTAACACAGCAACTCATGGGTAGCTAGCTATGGTAGGTGGTGGTGCCATCTGATTCCAAGGTGGCTTTTTCCCCAAGAAAATACATGGCTTATTCTAGGGGTTGTCTTACCCATCATGGTTTAGTGTGTTGTCACCAAGCCCAGAGAAGCAATTTTTTGGTAGGTAGTTCCAAACCACCACTGCACATTTGGGCAAGTCTGGTGAAATATCCTGCTACTCCTTTTCTAGTAAGTGAACTTGGTTCTTGAAGTTCACCTAGCTACATATTGCACAGCAGACATACCGTCTGTCCTGTCCATCTGTCCTCTGCCACTTCCAATGGTCTCTCACCACTTTATTTGTTAGCAAATAACTTTTTCTTGAACATATGATCCAGTTGTGTGTAAGCTGCACAGTGATTTTGAAGAAGCTTGCTATTCTATCAGTTTCAGCTGTGGTAAAGTCACACTTCCTCTGCCTCCTTACTTCAACATTTGCTCCAAGGGATTTACTGAAGAAATTTGTGCAGCCATTTGACACTTCACATTGTACAATCCATTAACAAAATGTTGTCTGTAAAATTGTGTTGCATAATGAATAGGTGTCAATATTCTACTCCTTTTTGGTGAATTTTTTCCACTGAATCTTCCTATCCACTTGAGCCCTAATTTGCCCTCCCCTGTAGAAGCCCTTCCTGACTAGGATATAACTGAGAAACAGTTTTGTTGCAGGTTCTTCACCTGTTGCATTCCACTAAGTTTGCTTGCTAGAGTCATTTGTTCCCCATCACACCATGAATTCACAGAGGAGGCAGAGGGTTGAGATCTCATCACTGCTTTTTTTAACAGGATCCCTATACACAACCATCTCAGCAGCTGGCTCCCGAAGCATCTGGGGCTTTGGCCAAGTTGGAAGAAGAAAAGCACCATGTGCAAATTCAAGCACATTACTGGAGTGAGGCTGAACTAGGCATGTTCACAGATCTCTGGGTAAGCCCAGAGGGCCAGGAGTTCCTAAAGAATACCAGACATAACTTGTTTCTCAGGTTTTCCATGCAGATGTTCTGTGGGCCTACTCTCACTCCCCTAAGCAATACAGGGATCAGCTGCAAGGTGTAAAGAAGAAGTTTAAAGAAATGATGGCATACAACAAGCACTCCAGGATCAAGCCATGCACCATGCAATTCTATGACCGACTGGCAACTGTCCTGCTCCAGCAGAGGGTCATGATGCCTGCTTATACTGCTGGCAGTGTGAGTCCCTTAAGAGCCTGCAAAGACTCTGGCACCAGGCCATGAAGAACTGCCAACCCATGACATGTCCTTTCCAGCTCCAGGCCTGCCAGATGTCCCAAGCACTATACCTCATGCACTATCATGACTAGTGCATTGAAAACACACAGGACACAATCTGCATCTGTTTCAATCCTCATGGGGTGCAAAAAGAATCCTTTCCTGCTGTTCCAGCAACCAGGCCCTTCTGGCATAAGTTTGCCAATAGTATACTGTTCCAACCCCAAATACTTTTCTTCTGCTGTCAGAAGGAAAACCAGGCATTGAACTGCACCATATGAACCCATGTGATGAGTTGCATCCCTTAAAACTGAGGAGTTAAGCACTGTCATTGAAAAAGTGGTCTGAAATACTTTCCCAAGGGAATGCAGTTGGTGCTGTACTTCCTGAAGGAAGAATGGAGATTTGTTCCCAAGACATCAGGAGTCTCCCATGGGTACCATCAGGCAACTGTCTGCAGAGGGTTAGCACAGTATTGTGGATCTGGACATACTTATAATGCACTTCCTGGCAGTTATGGGTTAATCATTGGATCAACTCAGAACCTGCAAGAACTTGAAGGGACATTTTTCCCCAGACTTTCTCAGATGAGGTTGGAAGCACAGTCTTCATCTTCCCACCATCCATTTGGTGCTTCTCTGCACAGGACTCAGTGTTCCCAGCTTCACTGGCTTTCCAGAGAGAGACTAGAGCTGTGAGCGCACTGGCAGAATTGCAGCTGAAGCAGCCACCACAAGAATCAGTACCAACACCCAACGATCCCAGGAAACAGAGGCAGAACTACTAGAGAAAGAGCTGCCATTGACCACTGGTCAGCAGGTGGTGCATCTCCAAACCAGTCTGGTGCACTTGGCAAGGGACCTGGTGACTTCAACTGAAGTGGCAGGGGAGCCCACATTTAACCTGTTCATGAAAATGAGGAAGAATAGAGAGAAGATGGGCCAGTGAGCATCTCCTTGCTATCTGGTCAACTTGGATGATGTCAGACAACATGCATATATCCAGCAAGTCAGCATAGGAAGGCAGTGTTGATGCTTCGGACTTCATCTTTGAGTGAGCCTTGAGGGGGTGGACTACAGCTGTTGACTGCCAAACAGATATGCTTCAAAATGTTCATGGGACCCAGAACTCAGTATGCTCCAGCCAGCTAGAACAGACTCAATAAAATCAATGGGACTCAATAGATCTACTCTAAGTAGATCCAAAGTAAAATTGGATCTGACTCCACATTTCCTCAGGGCCCAACCACATTACTTGGAGTGCATCACTTGAGAGGAGACAACCATCTGGCCACAGAAAACTCCCAAGCAGGACCTGAATGCAACAGTGCCCCCCTGCCTGTGCTCCCCAGCAACTACTATAGATAGGCAGAGTACCTCTCATACTGCAGGTAGCATAGAACCTTATCAATGATTAGTAACCACTGTTAGCTTCAAATCAAACCATCTATGAGTTCAGCCCCACCCCCCATATGCAAAATGTTGCCGCATGCAAGAAGGGGAAAGGAAAGCCTTCAACAATTCTTTTAAAATGTTATGCACGGTAAATAACATTTTTAAAAAACTGCCATTGGCGTTTTATAGTTATGGTTCTTTGCTGTGGGAGACTACAGGATTGCAGTTTGGAAAGGAAGGATAAGGGTTAAACTTTCTTTCTCTTCATGCTGGTGTTCTGATCCAAATCAGCTCCCTTCCATGGTTTTAATTTTAAAAGCTGATGTAACTTCAAGCAGCACATTTAAAATAATGCGTAAATAGGCTCTAACACAGGTTCTCTGCCTGGAATTCATTTTATTACTGGCACAAGCTTTCTGATCTCAGGATCAGTAAAATAGTAAAAAGCCTTTTCAAAATGTGGAATGTCACCTCAAGAACCTTGTTCTATTTAAGCTCCTTAACAAAAACTGAGAGGTTTGTTCTTATTAAAACGTTAATGTTTTTAAAAGATGCATTTTTTCAGAACTTCTAAAACTGCCTGAACATTGTCAAAAAGGTATCCTCCAGCAACTATGAGTTTGGGAGATTCAAACAGACAATGAAGAAACATGTAAAAGAAAAGGTATAAAAATAGGACCAAAAATGGCACAACGAACTCCTCAGCCCATACAGTTGCTTCTGATATGTACAAGTGCTGACACACATCATTTTAAAGGTAAAGTAGTAATTGGAAACATTGGTACGTAGAGCACAAGTGCAAAACCTACCCAAAAGGCTGTAGTAATAAAACAAATTTTCTACAAAGCTCCAGCCATAACTTGCATTCTCCAGAGAGGTTGGATGACAATTCCCATCACTGCCAACTTGTTAGCTGGAAAAGACTGGCATAAGAGAAGAGTAGTAGCTTATTGTGAGCTTCACACCTTGGTAAGGGAGAGATGACTGTTCCCCTGGAGTTGTGCACCTTTTCCAGTCAGCCCAGGGCTTCACTGATGGAACAAGCAGGCCATTCTAGAATCAACTGACCAGGAAGACCTTGTTGAAAGACTCAGCATCACTTAGGCTGAAATCAGCACAACTATCTTAAATAGTTCTCACTAAGAAGTGTCCCTCTGTTAGCTGTTCTGTGCTATACAGTACTGCAATAATAAGGTCATCTAAACAATGCACTGGTATCAGCAAATTGGTTCAGCAGTGTCATGAGTTCAGCCAAACAACCAGCTGGGTTCATATAAATTCAAATCGTGTTTTGCGGCTACAGTTCTATTTAGAACCATCTTGCACCATGTCTTAAGCCATTTCTAGCCCCCGCACTAATGTCTTATTCCACTTCCTCATGGACCATGTTGTTCAACCCTTGTTCAGACACATGCTTATACCGATGGCCTCTTCCCAATTTCATCAGCAATTTAGGCTAGGCTATATTTGTCTTTTCAAATTAGCAGATGTTCATTCCCATGCAAGCCTTGATCTGCTGATGAAGGTATTTTATCACACTGTGTGGGTTTGCACTCAATACTGAGCTAGACTCTTGCAATCTGGCTTATAAGCTAACCTCTCTTCAAGGTGTTTAGCAAACAATCAGGCACCTCGCAGGTATTGTGCCCTATGCTTCCCTCTTGTCCCCCCTCGGTGTTCCCACAGGTAGCCCATAGAATATTGTGAAACTACTGAGGCCAGCAGGTACTTCTGACAGCCTTTCCTGCAGTTCATGAGTAGATCACAAGCTCCTCCCCTCCAGCTCAAACTGCCATGAGTGACAGCAACGTAGTCCTGCCACACTCCTTTTGGGTGCTGCAGCTGTTTGGCAATGGTACCAGTCTGTTCAGCCAACCCATGAGAAGAGCGCACAGCACCAGAAAGTGGCTGAGGTGAGGTCTCCTCTTTTCAGCCTACTGTTGATTGGCCAAGAATATTGATTCCCCCCCCCCCGCCCCTGCCCCTGCCCCTGCCCCTACCCCTGCCCCTGGCTGCCATTTAACTCTGCAGCTACTATGTAATACAGACAATTATTGGGTTCAGGCAACATGATGATTCATGCTTATGAGTTGAGTATGAGTTGACTGTAGGGTTGTCATTGAACTGTGATGTTCAATGTTGATGTTGAAATGTGGATTATTATAGCTTGATACTGCAGGTGGGTTTAAACAACACATCTTGTCTATCTGTCTTATGTGAGTTGTTATCTGGGCTGAGTTTAGACAACATGATAATTCACAGTTCAACAACAACGTGCACTCAATACATACTCAGCTCTTGAGTGAAGGGTATCCCTGAGTTGAAGGCTGTTACTATGCTACTAGTACAAGACTGAAAGTAACATAAAACTATTTCTGAAGATCTGTCCTGGGTACCTCCACCTGCACAGATGAGGCAAGTGCTAGGGTCTTGATTGCAGTGGTATCCTGTAGGGGTGCTCTGCTCTTCTTACCTTTTAAATGCCAACTGATATTATGTTCTTCTAAGACTTTGGCAGCATGTAATATGTGATGCCTTTATCCATAAACCTTATCAGCTATGCTTAGTTTTGTAGCCACCTTGTTTTATTAGGATAACTATTGTATTTTGTGTTGTTTAAATGAGCCATTTTAAAGACCAACCATTGGAAATGCAGTTATATATAAAACACCCGGTGATGTCAGTGCTGGTGCTATTTCAGGTGCATTCATAGAAACCACAGCTATCTGTCAGACTAGCAAGCACTGCTGATGTTGCAAAAGCATTGTGTTGGTATAATTTAAATAATGCTAGTAGCCATTGCATCCTTCCCATATATTAGTCAATGCAATCATAAAAGTATTTTATTTATGAATGTGCAAGCACAGTGACCTGGTCCACATGCTCATTGGATGGTTAATAAACCATGGTGGCTTGTTAACCACCCTGTGCGGACCAATGGGATCAGCAGAATTAGCCTTGGCAGGGCAGCTTGGCATGTCATGGTGATCTACTCAGGGAAGCTTATTGCTATGGGTTAACAAGTCACCCAGAATCTTGCAACAGCCCGTGGGTTCTTGGGGGTATCTTAACCACCCTGGCCATATTTGCATGACATGATAAACTGTGCTGCTGAGGGTAATTATTCAACACCCCCTCCCCCCAGCACATGACTGGCACCATGGCTTATTTTTCTGCAGCAGTTATGTGAACCAGGCCAACGTATAACTACATAAGGATTTACTGTATTGCATAAAATTATCAGCTATGAAAATCAGACGTTTTTTAGAATAGTAGAATCAGGATATTTTTAAGGAAGGTGACTGAGAGTATGAGAAGACAAGGCAGATTATGAATATTGTAGACAGTTAATCAAAATGGCATAATCTAGTGTAGAATGAAATGTTGCATGTTTTTCAATATACCAGTTCTATGTAGACAGTTTTAATATACTGATGCATTCATTTGGCAACAATTCTCTTTGGGAATGCATCCATGCCTGGGGACATTTTTTAACCTGTGCAGACTGGATAGTTTAACACCACACTTTAGAGATGTGAACGACCTTGCAAGGAAAAATTCTGCCTTGCCAATGATTGTTTCTGCATGCATCCTTAAAAAAAAATTATCTTGTGCTATAAATACAATTGTGAAAACATTGTGGTTATTCTTTGAAAAGCAAACAGGCTTTACTTCTAATAATTCAGTTATGGTATTTTCTGATACGCAGGAATCAGTTCTTCATGTGCTTCCTTTTATATCGCACTGGGTGCCAAGAGAGATGACACAAATGTTCATTACCAATTGTGCAGCGTTAGCTGCTAAAGGATATAGGCTAAGTTTGCAGATTTAAAGACTGAAGTCCTTATTTCGTTAGGATTATTGTTCTCTGTATAGAAACAGAATGTGTGTAATTCTTTACTGGCTGACTAGTGAATGCACTAGTTTCACACCATTTGGGAATATTCCTTTGTTTAAGACAGCAAAGCCTTCAAGCAAAAGTGCGTGGAAGAGGATGCAGTGGAAAGGTAGATGGAAAAGTCCACTGCAAGTATGCCCAGTATTCTTTTTTTGGATCTCAGCTGAATGATACTACGTATATGATTTGTTCAGCACCATCAGTATAGACAGTTCCTTACAGAATTTCATAAATGAAGCAGTAAAGACCCTACTTAATGGTTCTCACATAGGAAGAAGAATTAAAGCACAATGTTTGAACATAAATGACAACAAACTATTTCTGCACTAATCAACTGTCACTATCTGTATGCATGCTTTTGCAGATTATAAACCTTTATATAAATGTGAGATCTGCTATGTATCTGCACAGAGAGAGAAATAAGATTATTTCTCTGAAACTGCTCCCTCCCCTTTATAACACCTCCCTGTCCTGATGTAAGAGGTGGCTCAACACCAAATAACCAAGGACATTTTGGAGCAGCTGTGAAATCCCCTGAGCTGTAAGAAGTCTTACTGTATCCAAGAGACAGATGCTGTACCAGGGAGACCTAGTTTTCTGTTTAATGTTTATATTAATTCCTGGCATGATGGCTGTTCTGCCTTAGGAGTTACAGCCTTGATTGTATGTATTAAATAATATCAAACATTTCTGCATACTGGAAGCCTGGAATTAACATTCATTATTAAAGTAGTACCATTGCTAAGAAGGTTAATAGTCCTAGAAATGGAGTATATATTTGAAGTATAAAATCATGACTTCTTTTAGGGTTTTTTTTCTGTTAACGAAGGGATGGGATTTTTCAAAATGTTTCTACTGAGGTCTTATTGACACCATTAAGATTTAAAAGATTTCTACAAGAACACCTGCCTACTGGGGGCATTTCAGGTTTACCAACTACCTCAGGTTATTCACTGATAAGATGGCCACTTACACATCATCACCAACTGAGATAAAATACATAGTCAGAAAAGAGGAGGAGGAGGATAGTGATTTTCCCAAAATGTAGCTATGTCAATGAATACCTATAGATGCACATTTAGAAATATCTAGTGTTATTTTATTAGATATTAATAAAAGTGTTATTTTATTAAACACTTCTCACCATAGTCAAGAAGACTGTGACCAGGTGACTCTGAGTTGGTTTGCAGTATCGCTACAGTGGTTTGGGCACCAGGCTAGCAGTCCGAGTTTCCATAGCTTCAGCTTCTTGTTATGTACAAGTGCAGTGAGGGTATGTTGACAAGCCATGCAAAATCCATGGGCTGTTTTAGGGTTGCAGGTGGCTTCTTGGCACACTGGAGGGCCTGTCACTAGCTTGCCACCCATTTCTTTTTAAACTGTGCCCTTAGTGTGGCCAAAATTTGTGTACATTTTTTTTAATGGCAAGATTTGTATAGGTTTGAAAGTGGCACCCAAAATGGGACGTTTAACCTGGACAATTCCCTAGGAGATGTCTGCCATCAAAATGCAGCAGGTGCTAATACTGAGACAAAGAGGCTGTATATAGGGTTATTTTCTACTTAGTTTTTCCCTGACAGATGCCAAAAGGTGAGCTGTGAAGGGAAAGCAAAGTTGTGAGTTATCTTTGTTCATAAAAGGGGGTGGTAAGTTTACATCACCCCCTCCATAGCAAGATCCTCTATTTTGTTGGACCTGACTCAGGAAGGTGGAAAGGTGTGACCTACAGGAACCTGTAGACATCCTTTTAAAATGGGTAATTTGATAGGGTTAATCAAAGTTTTTTGACAGGACCATAGGCATTTACATTTATTTATTATATTTCTACCCTGCCCAGCAGCCCAAAGACTCCCTGACAAATTTTGTTATTTAACATAGTACAAACTTCTGAAGGACTAACTAAACATCATGAGTATGAGGCAGTTAATCTGCTGCATCTACTTTTGGTTTCTTCAAAGAATTGACATCCAAGGAATGAGCATTCCCTTTCCTGCTTTTCTACACCGTGACATCTAGGTGGCACCGTGGTATAACAAAATACAGTGGTATCTTGGATCACGAATGCCTCAGTTCATGACCAAATTGGGTTGCGAACAAAAATTTTGTTCGTCAATAAAATTTTTGACTCAGGTCGCAAACTCCGCATTGGGTGGCAACTATGATCGCAGCCATTCCCCCCCCCCCCCCCCCCCGAGTGGGGAGATGGCTGAGATCACGCCCGGCTTTCCAGCATGAGCGCAACTGTGATCTCGGCCATCTCCCCCCTGCAGCATGATTGCACCTGTCTCTCCCCCCAAGTGCACCCGCATTCACGCCCATCTCTCCCCTCTCCCAGCATGCCTGCATTTGCGCCTATCTCTCCTCCCCTTGCTGCACCCATGATCATGACCATCTCTCCACCCCCCCTGCAGCCCGCCGGGATGACGGGCGCGTGTAGGGACGAAGGGCACGATCACAGTCATGCTGGGGGGGTGGGGAGATGTCCACGCTCCTGCTTGGGTTGCGGGGCGGCGGGAGATGGCCATGATCTTTGTTGTTCTTTGTCACTTTGCTTCGCATTTTTCTGATTTAAAAAAAATTGTTACAGAATGGATTAACCTTATTTACATTGAACCTTATGGGGAAATTTAACTTGGCTCACGACCAATTTGGGTCATGACCAGAGTCCTGGAATAGATTAAGTTTGTGAGCCAAGGTACCACTGTAATGCAAATGCAGAAAAAGAAATCACACTCTCATTCACTTTGATGGATGCTGCATTTTGCATACTCTAAAAAAGCTTGCTGAAAGTGCTCATTAGACACAAAAGTGAAACTGTAGAGTCATGGCATTGTCTAAAGAACCAGTAAACACAATGAATAATGAATGAACAATAAATGCTTCATGCAAAAAAGCCCCATATAGAACGTCAGGATGTAACTAAGCCCATTATCCCCATGCTGGCTAGGAATGATGGGAATAGTAGTCCAATACATCTGAATGGTGCTAGGTTGGACAGGCCTGATTTAGAATTAAGCAAACATAGCACAAGTGAAGGAAATATTTACTTTTGCTCCTCTACTATTTCTCTGCTCCAATTCACTTGAAAAAGTGACATTAAAACTGAATGACTTCTGTTTGCATGTAACATGTAGGTTACCACAAGTTGCTTCTAATCCAGACATTCAATATCTTCTGGTACACCTGTATGGAGCATCTGTTGCCAAGGGTAACACATAAAAACATGGAAGAGTTGCACTTTTGGGGTGACAGAGATGTATGTGGAGAGCCTGACATGTATTTAGAGGTGCAAAACCTTCACAGCTGCCTAAGGTGTCAAAGATTTATGACTATCATTTTCCCAGTGCAGCAGATTTCCTGGGTAAATAGTTCTCTTGCACTGTGTGGTCTGTTTTTCTTCAATATCCCAAGCAATTAATAATCTTGTTCTCTTAAGAGGTAACTAACAGGTAGTTTTGATCTATCATTTCCCTCATGTAAACTTTTCTGTGTATTAAATATACACATTCTTCAAGTAGAGACATTTCTACTAAACAGATATGTTATATATTACGTTGTTGCTTTTGCTAAAGCAGCCATGAAAAAAGAGCCTAAGCAGCCCAAGTTTTGCAAGTGTAATATACTTTGCAGTGATACCATTTTAAGGCTTATGTTGTGATAATTTTATATGCCTTTTTATTTTGTTATTTAATTATTTGTGATTATCATGTGATTTCCTATTAAATAATCTTTTACAAAGAGAGGACTTTTTTGTGGTGGGGCCTTTGGCTACACAATTGTCTTTATCAGTTTGCTAGGTGCCTAAATTAATGACCTTCAGATGCCACATAAAGCAATTTTGTTTGTCCACATTTTTGATGGTTTATACATGGGCTTTGAATTGTCTCTTGTGGAACTTGGCAGCTGCTGTTGCTGGAATGCAGTATAACTGTTTTTCATGCTATTTGAAGCATATACTGTGAACTACCTTGAAAAATCAGGGCCAGCTTCAAAGGTTGGAATTACTTGCCAAGGTCCATGTCCCCCGAGGGGGGGACCACTGGAGCTATTTGGAGTAGCTGCAGCTCCTCCTTGCTGTTGTTGCTTGCACTTTCAAAGGAAGTCAACAGCAAAAGGAAAAAGAGCATCAGCTTTCTTTAATTTTTCCACTTCCACCTGTCAGCCTTATGCATTCAGAAAAGGGCAATTGAAGGGTAGTGATTCTTAATGTGGAAGAGACAGACCTCTTAGGAAGGGGGAGCATGATCTTGCCCAAGTCATCTTCCACCCCAACCAGCATCAGTCAACATTAGAATCTAAACTGAAGATACAAATCTGTTTTAGCTATCATGACCTTTTCAGTAGCAAGTAAATCTGTCTTTTCTCCCCAACAGGACATAATGGTGTATGTATTCCTACTGCTTATGGTAGCAGTGATGCCTTCTTCCATATCAGCAGTAAGTACTGAGATACTCTTGTGAGTTGCTGCTTTCAGAACTGGAATTTGTTGAAGGAATGAAAGTATTCGTCATGTTATACACAAAGGATGTGCAGTGCTAAAAAAATAGCTGGGAAAATGCAACACTTGAGGGTCACTTCCAGTTCATAGGAACCTAGAAAACCTTCTCATACTGATAACACAATAACCCACACTGAAGGGTCAAGTATTGGTTGAGCATTGTTGTTGTTATAATTATTACATTAATAATCCACCATTTTCCTCTTGCAAGAACCCCAAGATGGTTTACAAAATTCTCCATTTTATCCTCACAATAACCCGGTGAGTTAAGTTAGTCTGAGAGTTTGTGACTGACCTAAAATCACCCAGAGAACTTCATAGGTAAGTGGGGACTAGGACTCAGATTTCCAGAATCCCAGTCCAGCATTCTTAACCACTATACCACACTGGCTCTCAGTTCTTGCAATAGTTGAATCATGGATGCTTGTTGAACCATGGAGTATCATGTTGTCTAATTCAGACAAAATAACAAACCATGCTGAACTATCCATAGTTCACAACTCTTCATGGATTGTCTGTGGTTAACAAGCCATGGCCTGTTAGTGCAGCTGGGTTCAGAGAACATGATAAGCCACATTTCATTGAAGCCCATAGTTCAGTGGCAATCCACGCTCAACCCATACTCAATTGTTGTGTGCAGTTTATCATGCTGTCTCAATCCAGCCATTGTGTCAGATCCTTGGTTCATCTAGCCCAGTATTGTTGACACTGACTAGCAGTGGTTTTCCAGAGTTTCAGGCAGGAGTTTTTTAAAAACACTGTTTAACTAGGAAGTCTGAGGAATACAGACAAAAGGCTTAAAGTTGCAATTAATTTGTCACTTACCTAACAGGAGGCCCACTGAATACAGTGGAACTTATCACTGAGTGTGTATATCGCGCGCGCGCGCGCGCGTGTGTGTGTGTGTAAGTTGTACCATAAGGCTTTAGTTGATTAAGGATGCATGCTGGGAGGTTTAGCCTTTTCCCTAAATATGCACAGGATTGTGCAGTAAGTTGCAGGAACCATTTCTAATGGGTGATGTAAGATGTGAATTAGTGGGACTGTGGTTGGGAGCACACAGTTATTTTGAGGCTATTTTGTTTTTGATTTGTTACTGTGCTAGAAAATGAAAAAGCAGGATCATTCACTGAAGCTCCTAGGGAATGTAAAACTTCAAATTCAAAGTAGTTTATCAAGTATCTCAGTGCTTCTTCTTGTAAGAAATGTCCTTATCAGAATTTTTAACAGAAAATTAACATGCTATGGAAAGCATTTTATTTAAGGGAAATATGATGAGGAGAACATTGAAATGTACAGCTGCATTCTGAAATAAAAGGGGATTTTGCTGTTTGTGTGGTCTGGAAAAAAACCTGAGAAAATGTACAGCTTAGTCCTTACACTGTAAATTGTATGCCCATGTACTAATGTATGCCCACAACCTTGATATACAACTCTTTACCTTTTCATTCTGTTTTATCCTTAATGTTAAATTGTAATTCCTCCTTAGTGTAAAGATATGATTGCATGCATTACTTTTATAAAGTATCAAATTTATAAAGAGAAACAGGGGAACCTGTGAGGGTTTTCTTACCCTGATTTTATGTGCCCTATGGCACACATGCTGTCTGTCTATGCTGGCATGGGAGCATCTTCAAGCAACAATGCCATTGTTTTAGGTCAGAAGCACATTGACTTGAAAATGATAAAAGGTGATAGTAGTAATGTACAAGCAGAAGTACAAATGGATGCACTTTATGCTGCAACCTGTTTAAACATGCTTGTGTTGTTGAGAGCATATGCATATTGGTTCTGTTTGTATCCCACCCATCTTTCAAGGAGTTTATACTGGTGTCTGCAATGGCTTTCCAGGCAGTCCCAAACAGGCAAATGCCAAACAGGCTTAGCTTTATTAGATGGAAACTTTCTTTCCTTGTGTATATTTCGTAAGGGCTCAGTGGCCTTTTGTTTTACACTGAGTGGGCAAGTTTGCAAGACATGACAGTCCACCTTGGCAAAAAGCTATATTGGATTGGACAAAGAATCTATGATCTGCCTGAGAGATGACTGGGCTCACCATGTGCTGTTTGCCCTCTCTTTCCCCACGGAAATAAGAAAAATCCATAGACACCCTGTCCAAAAGAAAACAAATCCCCCTACTCTTTAAAAGGGCCTGGAGTTTTGACTTTCAGGATAAATGTTCAAGGTACCTTGCCAGACATTGTTGTGTTGAGGTTGCCCATTTTTGGACCACTGTAAGCATACAGGTCCCCTTCATGGATCACTGCCTTGCCATGGCAAAGGGGCTTGTGCAGCACAATGAAGCTATGAGCTATGCTGTGCAGGGACACCCAAGACGGACAGGTCATAGCAGAGAGCTCTGACAAAACGTGATCCACTGGAGAAGGAAATGGCAACCCACTCCAGTATCCTTGCCATGAAAACCCCATGGACAGTACCAAAAGGCAAAAAGATATGACGCCGGAAGATGAGCCCCTCAGGTCGGAAGGTGTCCAATATGCTACTGGGGAAGAGCAGAGGGCTAGTACTAGGAGCGCCAGAAAGAATGAAGCGACTGGGTCAAAGCCAAAAGGACACTCAGTTGTGGATGTATCTGGTGGTGAAAGGAAAGTCCAAAGCTGTAAATAACAATATTTCTTAGGAACCTGGAATGTAAGATCTATGAATCAAGGTAACCTGGATATGGTCAAACATAAGATGACAAGACAGAACATCAACACCTTGGGAATCAGCGAACTAAAATGGACAGGAATGGGTGAATTTATTTCAGATGACCATCAAATATACTACTCCAGACAAGAATCCCTCAAAAGAAATGGAGTAGCCTTCATAGTCTATATAAGAGTAGGAAAAGCAGTACTGGGATACAGTCTCCAAAATGACAGGATGATCTCAGTTTGAATCCAAGGCAAACCATTCAACATCACAGTAGTCCAAGGATATGAATGCTGAACCACTGGTACTGAAGAGGCTGAAGTTGACCAGTTCTGTGAAGGCCTACAACACCTTCTAGAATTAACACCAAAAAATGATGTCCTTACCATCATGGGGAATTCGAATGCTAAAGTAGGAAGCCAAAAGATAACCGGATTAACAGGCAAGTTTGGCCTTGGAGTACAAAATGAAGCACGGCACAGGCTGGCAGAATTTTGCCAAGAGAATATGATGGTCATAGCAAACACTCTTTTCCAACTACCCAAGAGATGACTCTACTCATGGACCTCACCAGACGGTCAACACAGAAATCAAATTGATTATGTGTTCTGCAGCCAAAGATGGAGGAGCTCTATACAGTCAGTAAAAACAAGACCAAGAGTTGACTATGGCTCAGATCATGAGCTTCTTGTTGCAAAATTTAGGCTTGAATTGAAGGAAGTTGGGAAAAGCACTAGGCCACTCAGGTATGACCTTATGAAAATAAAGTAGAGGTGATAAATAGATTTAAGGAATTAGATCTGATAGACAAAGTGCCTGAAGAACTATGGACGGACATTCGCAACACTGTACAAGAGGTAGCAACTAAAATCATCCATATATATATATATATATATATATATATATATATATATGAGAAAGCAAAATGACTGTCTGAGGAAGCTTTATAAACAGCTGAGGAAAGAAAGGAAGTGAAAGGCAAGGGAGAAAGGGAAAGATACACCCAATTGAATGCAGAATTCCAGATAATAGCTAGAAGAGATTAAGGCCTTCTTAAATGAACACCATACAGAAACAGAAGAAAGCAATAAATAGGAAAGACTAGAGATCTCTTCAAGAAAATTGGAGATATGAAGGGAACGTTTCATTCAAAGATGGGAATGATAAAGGACCAAAATGGCAGGGACTTAACAGAGGCAGAAGAGATTAAGAAGAGGTGGCAAGATTACACAGAAGAACTATACAAGAAAGAGCTTAACCTCCCTGATAAACCACAATGGGGTGGTTGCTGACCACAAGGCAGACATCCTGGAATGTGAAGTCAAGTGGGCCATAGGAAGTCTTAGCAACAACAAAGCTAGTGGAGGTGACAGTATTCCAGCTGAGCTATTCAAAATCCTAAAAGATGATGCAGTAAAAGTCTAATGCTACGAACAATAGATGGCAAAAGAAGAAGGGGACAGCAGGGAATGAGGTGGTTAGATGGAGTCACTGAAGTAGTTGTTGTGAGCTTAAGTGGACTCCGGGGATAGTGGAGGACACGAGAGCATGGAGGAATGTTGTCCAGCGATGGGTTGGATGCAACTTTGCTAAACAACAATGACAACAAAGCATATAGGTGCACACTTGCAAAAAACTGAAAAAAAAATTGAAAGTGTGAAAATATTTGTACACATTAGAGAATGCAATAAATAGTCTGTCTACTTTGTCCATTTGACCTCCATGCTTCCCCATTTAGCCTCAAATAAGGCCCAATTCTTACCTAGCTCAGACAGTAAACCTGCTTTTGTGGTTAAACGTTTCAGATTGCAGGTGGGCTTCCCACCATTTCATATTTCTCTCTTATTTAAAAAAAATCCCCACTATGAAAATTAGGGGAATAATCCTGTGTTTTTAGACAGAAATGAGTCCTGAACCTTCCAGCATAGATGGGGAATGCTGTAGACTTTTTTGTCTAAATATGCATAAGATTGCATCCCAATTTATGGTGCTCCCACCCCATTGTAGTCCTCTGCGCTACCTGAAAATCTTCCTTGAAGGCATTCTCAGGTCTCCAGAGGAGATTTTGAGAACATCTGGGGATAGAGCTGCAAATCTAGGGAATAGTCCCTCTTCTCTGTCTGTTGATGGGATTGCTTCCATCAGTGGGATGGTACAATTAGGCAAAGCTCTGTGTAGATTTACATTTGTGTGTGGTGTTGGAGTGTTGCCTTTGAAGACATCCATTTATCTTAATCTAAACTCCCTGATTTCTGGATGAAAGCCACAGTAAAACCTGATAAAGAATTGGCTCTTGTTGCTGCTATAGCACTTAGCAGAAGAAGCAAACATGCTTCGCAACTCCAGCATTTTTGAGTTTGGATTACTTTTACTTTCTAAGCATTAGCTATACTGCACCTGACATTTGAAGATGAATATAGTGCTATTTAGTATGCCACTCTGTATTCCTGCAGCATACTCTGTTTCATCTTCAGCTGTCACTATTTTATTTATCTTCCCTTGCCTAGGAGGTTCCTGTACATGCATTTTCTTAATAACTTGTGGAGTTATTATGCATATTAAAGATACTTATCCCTTTTCACCTTGAAAGCTTTTAACAAACAAGCTGTCTTACTGAGACAATCAATCAGTAGTTACAGAAATTATTACAAGAAATGATGCATTTCTTCATAGCCTGTTTGCTTTGATTCTTGTCTATACAGGACAATTTATTGACTCTATTTTAAGCTCATGGTAGGTGAGCATGCGATGCATCTGTGTATAATTTCATATAAAGATGGAATGTGTTTTTACTGATCATTTGGTGTGTCTCTTTGCACAGCCTCAACTATCCTCTCCAAGGATTCACTCCATTTTTTTTCTTAGTAAGACTGATCTAGCTTTGGCCCATAGTATGCTCTTAAGACATACAACAGTCTAATTTGCCAAAGCTAAGAAGGAAAGGTGTGGATGCCTGGATGGGATACCTTCTGGAAAACCCTTGTTTTGAACATACAATCTAGTTTGGCCCTAATTGCTTAGAGAAACTCAAGATTCTAAAATCCTACAAATTTTCCCTAATGTCTGAGTTTGTTTTCCTTTTCCCACTCAAACCATTTTCTTTTCTTGTTATGTCTTGTAAATTGTAAGCCTGAGGGCAGGACTTGTTTTAATTTTGATCTTTTGCTCTGGAAGCCTTTTTTGGAGAGGGAAGGGGACAAAGAATAGGATACAAATCCTATAAATAAAATAAATATAGTTTAGAAGACATCACTGAAATGTATATAATGTCCTCTGCATTTTTCAAATTCTCTGGCTTCCCTGGCCCGAAGAACACGTCATTCTTCATTATTGGTCATAATTTTAGGATTGTTTTCCAGCAGTAGAGTTTGTACCAAATTTGGCCTAGTAATAGGATTATTTGCTTTGTTAAGTAGGAGCAATTCTAATTGTAGCATTGCTGCCAGTAACTACATTTTATGAGAGGCTTTTCAAATTTTTAGAAAGAGAAAAAGCACTGCAGCAAAACCAAGAAAACACCAAATGATCTGTGGATGGGCAAAGGAGGAAGCAGGGATAGCCTTATCCCAGAGGGCTGGATTTGGCCTTGAGGTTCTGTAGTTCTAAGGGAAATTCACATACATGGTTGATCCATACTGCAACAGTCAAGGCTGCTTTTACTGTAAAGCCACCAATGCTTCAGGAAACAAAATTCCAAAGGAGGCACCATGTGTCCTCCCTCATCTTTTTGTGCCGTCCAGAAAAGAAGCAGCAGCTCCAGTCCTTGCATATGTACAGAGAGAATGTTCTCCATTTAATCTTTCTGCTTCTGGTGCAGCAGCACTGAAGAATATAGTCATCTAAGCACAACACTCATTAAACACAGTAGGATGCATATTTATTCTATGGTAGTGTCTAAAACAATATTTGTCCTTGAAGTTTTCTTGCTAAGCACTATACTCTTCCATCCAGATTATTTTAAAGGGCTTAAATCAGTTAACACTGCTGGAAAGGCAGGATTGGCTTTTATCAGACAAGCATGTCATCTGGGGGCCATAAGAAGATTTTGGAAATGTTGCAAGATTTTTGCTTTCTCATTTTATGCTTAAATATTCTCAACTGCCCAGTTAGAAACCCATCAAGAAGCAGAAAAAAGACATAGTGATAGGAGCCTTGTAAAAACTTTAGTCAGATACAAACATTTCAAATGCTGCCAGTTAAAAGTTGTGTGGTATGTTTTGTAGTTGTGTGTGGTATGTTTGGTAGTTGTATGTAGTTGTGTGTTTGGTAGTTGTATGTAGTTGTGTGGTAGTTGTATGTAGTTGTGTGTGGTATGTTTTGTAGTTGTATGTTTTGTAGTTGTGTGAACTTTCAAGATCCTGTGGGAATCATGTAAACAAAACCAGCACTGTCCACACATAGGGACAAAGTCCCCAATAGACATGGAGAAGCCTCAACATTTGGAGAAATATAAAATATCAGTAAAATGTCCCTAAGAGGCCTAATGAGGACTGTGCCACAGGATACTGGGAGTCTGGGGATAGCAGACAGAAAACCCTGGGAAAGGGAAGGAGAAAGAGATTGGAATACCTTGAAAAGGGGCACTACTGGCTGAGTAAAACCCTGATCTGGAGCACTTTGCTTCATCCTGCAACATTTTGGTACAGTTCTTGCTCATTTAAGTATAAATTCCATTTGACTTGGAGATGAATTGCACTTAGAGATGGATTGTTACATTTAGATTATATCAAGTGCCGTACTGACATTTTCCACCAATATGCTTCAGATTTCATAAAGAAAAACTAGGAAAAATGATTCACAAATGGCTTTACATTTTTTTGTTATTTAAGATGCTATCCAGTACCAAGTCAAAATTAGGGGATGTCTCCAATGGGTACAAATTTGTATGGATTTCTGTGAATCCGACTTCTGGGTTCCATAGTGGAATGGCTTGCCTAGTGTTACACAGTTTCTGTGGACTTGTGGACTGGTTTTTCAATGGTAGACGGGAAAATTTGCTAACTTGCTTTAACAAATGCAAATTAGTATAAGTGAAATAAAATAAAATTCTAGTTTAAAAATACAATTCCGTTAATGAACAGATGATGGGAAAAAGGCATCTGACAATTTGCAAAATACAGATGGCACAGGTTTAACCAAAGCCATGCATTTCTTGTCAGAATATCTGTAAAGGGATAGCCAAGTACCATCAATGCCGACAAGGTGACTCTTCAAGCTGTAGGAAACAGTGTTTTCACTCAGTCCTTCTTCCTGGGATCCGCTGGAGATATAATTGGAAATTTTAGGGACTAAGTCTGATGCCGCTCCAGGTCCCCCCACCATTTGAGATGAGTTAGGTGGTGACCACCAGAGAGAGAGAGAGAGAGAGAGAGAGATTTATGTGTCTTTGTGACCCATCACAGTTAACTATGAAAGCCAGTGTGGTGCAGTGGTTAAGAGCATGGGACTGGGACTCAGAGGATCTGGGTTCTAGTCCCCGCTCGGCCATGGAGCCAACTGGGTGACTTTGGGCCAGTCACAGACTCTCAGCCCAACCTACCTCACAGGGTTGTTGTTGTGGGGATAAGATGGAGGAAAAGATGTAAGCTGCCTTGAGCCCTTTGTAGGAAAAAGGCAGGATATAAATCGAAAATAATAAAACAGTCTGAAGGAGGCTCAACTGAATAAACGTAAGAGTCCTCCCCATGTTCAGGAATGCTGAGGAGCAGGATTCCCAGTAGCAAGGAGGGTTCCAAGCATGCTTCTCTCTCTCGTCAGACATCTTGGTAAATGTGTGAAGGTGGAGAGGAGGCCTGGAGTGGGCTGGCACATGATTGCTTCTTATTTAGGGTAATAAAATAAAATAAAACTAGCCATAATGTGTTGCTGTATCATGCAAACCCAGACTGCTTCTCACAGGATAGTTTGTTTGTGGGCAACAGGACACCCTGACAATCTATGGGCTGTTGGACCATAATGAGTTACCATGTTGTCTGAACCTGGGATACCAATCTCATCATGGATTGTGGAAAACAGTAAAAGGCAAGAATGGCAAACGCTCCTCACTGGTTTTGCTGAGTGTACCCAGATCACCTCTAGTGAAAACTGCCATGTTGAATGGTGGAATAGCGATCACTGGCTGTAACTGTGAGCCTGTTTTCTATCACTGCAGCTCTTTCCTCCTGTTACCAATTATTTTTGAAAAACACCTTTCCCAATCTCTAAATGGACAGCCAATGATAGCCCCTCTAACTTGCCCAGGCAGCATGTTGGAGGGACTGCCACAAGCCAGTACCATCCCCTTTTTGTTCTTTAAATGGAAAAATAAAATAGTCTTGTGCTGGTGTGGAAGTCCAGACTTGCAAAAGTCCAAAATTTGAAGACTCAGCTGTGCAATATAGGAGTTATCCATGGTGCTGAGTTCTATCTTCAAAGTAGGCTCACCACCATGGAAATCTTACAAAGCTGAAAAGAAAAGTTGCAGTGGATAAGTAGCTCCACTGAAATAGGAGTCATTAGTCTACCATGAAGGACAAAGAACATGCCTTGTGGCTCTTAACCATATTGTGGTTGTGGAATGTAGCTTTTAAGGATTTGGAATATCTCTCTACATACAACTGAATTGTTCTCACAGGCTCGAATATCGAAGAGGCAAAATGACTTCTGGGGAAGCTGGGGGGAATGGGGTGAATGCAGCCGGAGCTGTGGTGGAGGTGTCAGCATCCGGCAGCGGCGCTGCTACTCGCAAAGGTAAGAGCTTCTCTTTCCATATTCTTTATGTGAGTATCTTTACAAGTGAGAGGACAGCTGCTCTTAGGTATGATTCTCTTTTGTAAACACAACAACAGAGCATGTGGCATCTTAAGGACTAACACATTTATTACAGCTTAAGCTTTCGTGGACAGGAGTCCATTTGATCAGATGCATGATGTATTCCCAAAGTTGGCAGATATATTTAGGAGGATGGGGAGTTGGAAGCAGTGAGGTCAGAGGAAAATTAAATGCAGAAAGTGCAGAGTGTAACTATTGCATTAAAGCAGAGGTAGGCAGAAGGTAGATCTGCAGATGTTTGGCATTCAGCTGTCAGAAGCCCCTGCCAATATGAACAAAATATCTGGAGATCTACCTTCTGCTCACCATGTGTTAAAGCTTCTGTGTATGTAAAAGCAGTGTTGATGATAACAACACTGGCATAGTAGGCAGAGTAAGAAACTGGTGGGGCTTAATGGGCAAAAGACAGATTATGGAACCAAATCTGAAGGAATCAGGAAAGTCTCTGATTGAGATCTTGTCTCTGCCACAGACTCATTGGGTGGGTATGCAAATGTTAAGTCATAGTCATAGCAGTAGCAGCAGAACTTACAGTGAGATACAGACCCATTGACTTGTTTCAGGCTACAAGTGATATCACTGCTTTTGATCAAATTCAGCATTTTAAAGCTGAGGGTTCCCTTTGATACGTGTGTACTCAAAAGGTTTAAGGCAACTTTTAAGGTCAGTAGTATGGTAATCAGGAGGTTGAGATATCCTTCTACTTGTTTCGGAATAATCCTGTAGAAGTTATACTTTATTGGGGAGTGGAGCAACAAGACAGCATATGTGTTGTGTTCTTTATGAAAACATTGCAAAGAAAAGGCATTTTCCCAAGGGCATTTCTTGGACTTGGTTTTTCCACAAGTTGCTGTCAAATCTGAGGCAGTGGCCACACATATCCAGTTGGCATGCTATTATTTTATCATTAGCATTCATCATCACTGGAGCTGTACACTGGGCACTGAAGGACATGTCCCTGGCCCAAGGAGCATACACTCTAAAGTACAACATAATGGAGGAAGAGGCTGAGGTGAATGGGAAGAATACATAAAAGTTACTGTGTGTTGGGAATGTAAGAGTTACTTGTTCTTGACCTGTGCTTCTGGGCCAGGGAGACATGGACTCTTTGGAGGGGGAGGGGGATGAGCCCTGGCAAATGGGGCCTCCAGATTTCAAGATGGAAGAGGTGGGAGGATTTATCTCAAAGCTGTCCTCTCCAGGTGTTCAGGTGGACCCTGAGAATAGGCCCAGTCTGCAACTACCAGGAGGGGGTGTGGAAGAGGAGCCAGACGGAGGAGTGGAACATGAGCCGTTGTTGACCCCATGACAGAGTGTCAGGAGAAAAGCACTAGTCAACTAGAGGGGCAGTGTATAGCTAAGAGGCTGGCTGATCTCCAGAGAGGTGGGGTCCAAGGTTCCCAAGAGGAGGATTTCAGAGGTAGTTTCTAGAGTGGGTTCAACAAACTACTCTGCATGCTCAGAGACTCCTTTTTGCTGATTATGCTATGCTGGATGTACACTGGAAAGCTTATGCCGAAGAACAGTCTGTTATTTTGAAAGGGCGAAGGGGAAAGCTAAGCTCCTGACACTGTGATATTTCTGCACTGAAACCACTACGGGTGTAAAGAGGCCTGTTTTTTCCCTACTCTATTTTCCTGTGCTCCAAAACTGTGCAGTTAGAAATTGCTTTAATGGGCATCATTGTGATAGTTGCCTGAAGGTTCTGTTCATCTTGTCCTGCTTAGCTCTTTTTGGATGTTTTTTTTTTCTGGTTCAAAAGCTATAATTTTAACTCTTGTTTCTACTTTGTGCAATTGTACTGCCCCACAAAATTATTAATGAGTCAATAGTCTCATGATGGAAGCCTTACCTAGAAAGTACAAATGATTCTTTTCTGAAGGAAGAATTGCATGTATCCCTTTAAGACAACTGGTCCTGATTTCTGGGGGGAAAGACCTGGAATTCCATTCCAGTTAGGCTGTGAAGATACAAGAGGGTGTATTCCCTCTTGTTTACAAGAGGGAAGATACAAGACACATTACCAGGGTGTCACCTTGCAAAGGCTAGAGAATGACTATATGCTATATCCATGCAGTAGTAAAAATGCCTAAGCCTGCTGGGGCAGGCAGAGCTACACCCATTAGATACAAGTTCTGGATGAAACACTCTAGTCTTGTATAAACAAGGCCAGACAAAGAAAACTATTAAATGCTGCCTTAATACTGATTTCAAAAATCTGCTCACTTTGTCCTCAGATGCTGCAAAGCTACTAGAACTTGTTCCCTGAATGTGGATTTGATATAGTGCTTTGCAGGCTCTATTTCTCTCTCCATGGTTTGCATTTCCACAGCCATATTCCAAAGACGTGGCTTGTGCTTTTGTGAATCATTGTAAGCAATCCAGAGAGTTTCAGTTATCGGGTGTCATTGTGTTTTGTTCCAGCTGAAGTTTCAAATACATGTAATAGTGCAGCTTCCTGCAGAAGCTCACAATTGCACTACTGCAGCTAGTATTTTTAAACAAATTGTTTATTTTTGAAATCACCTTTTTTTTGCATGTTTTTAGAGAAAATGTTTGGCAACCATGGGCACTCCCTTCAGTGTCCCTGTGGATCACTTTGCAGGGGTTGCTTCTGACTGGCTTTTGCACTCTGCCTCACACCAAAAGAAGGGGAAAGGGGAGGGGGAAACTGTGGCAAGTGAGGAGGAGGGAATGAATCATGCCTCCCAGTGTGGCTGCTGGTGTACCTGCTGGAGGACCAATCGGGAGAGGAAGGGGCCAGCATACCACAGTGAACCTGATCATCTGTTGGACCTTGCCAAAGTTGTTCAGATGACAAGGGTGGGTTGTTGTGATGTGCAAAAATACCCTCTGTGTTTAGTCCTAGTATCAGTGTTATTCTCCCCATGCCCCCAATCCTTTTATTTTTGGCTCATAGACAAGATGGATACATCTTTTGAGCTACACTGAGTCTACACTATCCAAATAGATGCTGTAAGTGAAAGTAAAATTGCATTTGCCAAACACAAAATATTGTGCTTTTTGTGCTAGGAAAATTCAATTTTCCCACAACACACGCCGCAGCGGCCAAACAAACCAACCAACCCCCAAATCTGGATTCCCACCCAAATAATGACTGTGCCCTTATTGCACCAACATAGAGTCCAGCAAACACCAATACATATAAGGAGAAGAATATTGAGGGTGAAATATTTTACATGCCTAGACAGAAGGGAGTCCTACAAATTTCCAGCATTCCCCAGTCAGCATGGCTAGTGGGAGAATGCTGGGAACTGTAGGGTTTTTCTTCCTATCTAAAGTGCAAAGAAGTGTACCCTGAATGACTTCCAAGGCCACAGTGACAAACATACCAATGAACACTCACTTTGGAGTTAAGATACCGCTAAATGTTGGTTTCTCTCCAACTTTTTATTTTTTTTTTATTTTAATTTTTATTCTGGAACTATCTCAACTGTAGCTTTTTTTTCTTTCCAAAGAAAACAATGCCCACCCTTCCCTAAGGCAAATTCTGTTTATTGTTCCCTTTGCACTGATGTTTTGCATGCAGTCATGTGTAGTGGGTTACTTTGTAACAATGAATACACTAGGCTGTCCCAAGACATTTTGCTGCCTCAGATAAAACAGCAAATGGCACCCCTTCCCCCAAGTCATTGTGCCTAGGCTGGTATTATGGCAACTGCAACAGAAAGTATCACAAGCATTGTTCCCTTCTCTGGCTGTAAAAATACATAATCTCCACATTTAGCTGCCTGCCTCTGCCTAATGTTGGGCCAGTAACAGCTGTTTGGGCAGCCAAGATCTAGCGCTACCAGTCCAAAGACACGAGGTTTCTCTATCCAGGATGCTTAACCTGCCGCTTTACAGAGGCTAATCATTCCTCTGAAGACCTCTCATTCTGTTTTGTTCTGTACTGGAAATGCTATGCTCCATTTTCCTTATTCTAAAAAAGCCAAGATAATCCTCTGGAAGCATGGGAGGGGCCCTGGAGGAGGAGGAGGCCGTCACATGAAGCACCAGCAAACCACTGTGAGTGAGGAATCACAAGCACACAATAAATGCCTTGCCTAGAGAAGCCCACAGTTTGTGACACTGGGGAAGTTCTGCCTGAAGATGGCTTCGTTCCATCACAAGGAAACTGTCCATGTAAAAAGCAGTCCTGAAACCTGCCACTGGGAATAGGGGGGAGCACAAGACACTTCACTGACAACTGGTGATTTGTTAGGAAATGTAACAATGAACTGCTAAATATGATTCTGGCATTTATAATATTTTTGAGCTGTTGCAGATTGTCAGTCTGTCTTTCAGGACAGATGGCGGGTCCAGTTGTATAGGACCAACCCGAAGCTATCGCTCATGCAACATTCAGGTAAATTGACCAATGAGTCCTTTTTCTCCATTTGTTCCTCCTGCTTTGAGAGCTGAATCTCTTTCAGCAGCCACACCTGGCATATACTCAGGGTCATCTCAATTTTTAGCTATCATTGGGAAACTATTTCACCAGTAACAATCTTTGACTAGTAATTCATTCCCACAATGAATTATGGAAGATTGCAGATTAAAATACTTGAACCAAGTGGCCATGTATACAAATGGGGTAATGGAGAATGGTTTTCACCTTTTCAAAGCATATTTGTGGATGTTGAAAGGATTGTAGTCCATTTTAGCACATACAAGTATAGAATGAGTGATATTTTTTCAGAATTATTTAACATTAATGAACTTGAATTCTAGGTCTTATCATTTATATTTTGCTTGCAGGATGTTATATTCCATCGAACAACCTTTAACAATCTTTCTATTGTTTTGTGCAACCATATAGTGCATGCTTTACATTTCTTTTTGAAATCTATGATTTCTTTTATAAACACATAAATTATGTAAATGATCATTTATCCCAGGATACTATTGAGTCATATTAACCTTGACTTTGTACTCTGAGGGAATGAATAAGAGATTGAACCAAGGCAAAAATACTTTCAAGAAATTTTGTCAAAATCACTGCGCATACAGGTTATAGATAGGGAGGAAAAGTATGATACATTCTCCACAGAATACGTGCTATTTTATTATTTTTATTTTATTTTAATTTTGGGTTTATATCCTGTCCCATTAGCCAAAAGGGGCTCTGGATGGGTTAATTTTCTGATGATTTCCAAAATCTTACAGCTTTCTTTTGATACTGAGATGGTCACCAATATTCCATGGAATGAATGTGATAAACAGATAAAAATGAAAATGTGGTTTAAGTACCATTCAAAACTCTGGATGGAAAGGAACTGGAATTTCGAATAATTTTTGTAATGTTAAAGTCAATCAGAGAGCTTCACAAATGAATGATAATTTGAACCCAACTCTCCCTAGATCAGCAATCAGTTCACTGTGCTGCCTTGACTATGTTTGTATGGTGGTGATAGCTGCAGAGTTTAGAAAGTCAGTAGGCACACAAGAAGCAAGTCCAAACTAGGCAAGTCTCCTATGCTAGGCTGCCTTGGAGAAAATACAGAGAACCCCACCTAGGAGAATTCTTCTAAATGAGTGCGTGCATGCGTGTGTGTGTGCAAGGGGGAGAGAGAGAGAGAGGGAGAGACCGTTCCAGATAGTAGACTTCTTTCCTATTCTTTCTAGAACTGTCCTGTGGGCTCCAGAGATTTTCGAGCAGAACAATGTGCTGAATTTGATGGGATGGAATTCCAGGGGAAAAGATACAAGTGGCTGCCCTACTATGGAGGTAACAGATAAACATACTCTTACTGAATGATTCTTTAGCTCAAATGGATGAAAGTGCAAAGCAGGTTATTCTGGAACAATAACAAATATCAGCTGAAATTCTCAGCAGCTTCTGGATGGACGTCTTTGCACTGGTAACCAAAAGGCACTTGGGTGCAAGCATCCCATTTTTTTTCCTTAATGGATTTTCTGCAGAAAGGAGGGAAAGGAGAGAGGACGCGGTGGGAAAATGCAGGGAGAGAATGAAGCCTGAGCACCACCACACACAGCAACTTAACTGAATAAGGACTTCACTACATGAGGCATTTCATGGTAGCCTGTGGTGTTTTACACGATCCAGTCAGCTTCCAGGGCCTCTCCTGTGCCTTGCAACCATTTCTTCATTTTTATAATTCTGCTGTACCAGAGTGCCTCCTTGTGGATGTGTGATGGGACACACACACACACAAGGCAGAGAAAGAAAGGACCCAGAAACTGAAAAGAACTGGACCGGACTAGTGCACGTTTTGAGAAAATCTTGTTTCAGTTTCTTGGCACAGTTCAAGAAGGTGGACTAATTCAAAAACAGAAATAATACATGGCCCAGCTTCTGAAACCTTGCTCCTGACACTGTCCTCTTATTCTCTTTCTTGCTGCCTAATATTAAAAAAGGCTAACAAAAGCAGGTTATGACCTTTAATTAAAAAGGTCATACTCACCAGTGGTTTGACATAAGAACTTCAGGAAAAGAGTACAAAGTTTCAGGTACCTTTGCAGCGGGAGGGAATATGTAGCAGAATTAACAAAATACATTTTTAAACTTTGCTCACAGCACCAAATAAATGTGAACTGAACTGCATCCCAAAGGGAGAGAACTTCTATTATCGGCACAAAGAAGCTGTGACCGATGGTACACCCTGTGAGCCAGGGAAGCGTGACGTCTGTGTGGAGGGAGCCTGTCAGGTATGGATTTGTATCCTGTTACTTCACTCTCAAAAATAGTGTTCAGCTTCCTGTTTTCTTCATTCTCATTTATGTATCACATTTGAACCCTGCACATCCTCTGAGGCATTATTGGTGGCTCATGTGGAGTTGTCCTGTTCTATCCCACAACAGCTTTGTTAGGTAGGCTAAACTGAGAGAGAGTGACTTGCCCAGTATTGCCCTGTGCAGGCATTGGAACCCAGGTTTCCTCCGTCTCTGACAGGCATGTATCGGCTACACACTTCTCCAGGTGCCTCGTCAAATGAAGTGAAGCAGACAGCTACTATTGAGAGAGACTTTTCAGAGGCGGCACCCCAATTGTGATTTATCTTTCCCAAAGAGGCTTGCGTGGTGCCTACACTGTGGTCATTTTGGCACTAAATATAGACTTCTCCCAAATTTTTGTCTTTCAGCTTTGATTTTAAATGCATTCTTGTGTTTTTAGGCCTTTACACAGCTCCTGGCTTTTACTCTAAATTTCCTCAGCTTTTATGATACTTTGAACTTTTAAAGATTTTCTATTTTATCATGTTCTATTTAATTTTTGTGAATTAGCCAGAGAACTCTGGCTTTTTGGAGGTACAGAAATGTAGTAGATCAATATAGGCAATAGGCTCCCTTTCTTTTTCCATTTCCTGCTCTTTCCTTTCTGTGATTATGTTACCTCTTAAGGCCCACCAAATTTATTTCAATGAATATGCAAGCAGGTTATACACTCACAGACATAAATACACTCTAGCTGGCTCCCTTAGAGCCCACATTTCAGGAAAGGCCAGGGCATGGAAAGAGGAACAAGGCAATTCTTGTGAGGGCAGCCAACTCTGGGACTCTGGTAGGCTCGCAGCTAGCAGTGGGAAGAACCCTTGTTGGACCATAGGCCCATGATGCCCACCTCTGCAAGAAGGAAAAGCACCAATCGACCAATCAATCTGGGTCATTCTTTGGAGGACTATTAGGAGACAGTTTCCTGCTTGTAGGTGTTTGAAGGACTGTCCAGTCCAAATTTGATTTAAAGATGAAGAGTCCTGAGAAGGGAGTGCAGTGGGATCCTTAAAGTTGCCCATCAACCATTAGGACCTTCAAAGCAGACACACGGGTCACCTGTTCACAGTCTTTCCCATTATGGTGAGACATGTTGTATTACTATTTGAATCATATGAATTCTGTCTAAATTTGCATCTATACGTATAAATCAGCACATGCCAGTTTTATACAAAACCATGTTCTCTTCAGTCCTCCTTTTGGTAGCATAGTCCTTCTGCTTTGGCAGTGCATCCCTTGGCCACTCTAAGTAGGCAAGAGCTCTGTAACCCAAAATGTTTTAAGATGCCAGAGGGCTTTGAATTACTGCACTCTCATGAGTGGCCACTAGAGGGTACACAAGAACAAGAAAAACAACAGCCAAGCCCTTTTTAATCCGCATTGGGCAGAGAGAAAGGAAGTTGTTTCATTCCTAAGGTTAGAGTCCTCCTCCTTCCCATACATGGTGCCCTTGCTTTCTCACCAACAGAAGAAGGCTCACAGCTGCCCAGTCTTTGGCTTTCTGTGGCTCTTAGCTTCTCTCTTTGCATGGGTGGCAACTCAGAACTGTCCCTGCTGCCTTGTTCTGTTCCCCTGTTTATCCTCCTACACAAGATGAGGTGGGCTGGCCTTCTCCTTTCTGTTCAAGCTACAACTGTTGATCTTGGTGTTCGGACACAGTGGGGTTATATTCTTGAAGCAAAGGAGCAGCTGGCTTGGGAGTATAGTTCTGGAACTGCCCTTTTACAGATTATATGCCTTTAAAACATCTTTATCTATGATTAGCTGAAGTACAGCCGTTTGGTTTTCTAAAGACTTCATGCAATGGTATCCACACAAATGCTGGATGGATTTCAACTTCTAATGTTCCACAGCAGTTTAATCTCAAAAGAATATTTCTACAGGATTGTCCTTTCACATGCAGAGCAATAATAGCAATAGCAATAATATCACTCATAGTGGATTTGAAACTGCACTCCCAAGGAAGAGTAGTGCTTTCAAAGTGTCTGGCATTTATATGAAATGTGGATATTGTTCAAATATTATTTTAAAATTTTGTAGATATTAATTTATCTGGTGACCAATAATGTATCAGAAGGATGCTCTGATGAAAGTTAAGGCCACTGGTTAGCTCTCCATGATTCCATGATACTGCTGCATGTATTCTCTAAGCTGGGCAAGTATTTCCCCACCCCACCAACCCAGAGAGAATTTGATTTGAAAGACCAATTACTGCTTGTGAGTACACACATCCCACTTTTACAGATTTTGCTTGTTTTTATACTGCTTCACAAACCTGGAAAACCAGTTTGATCAGAAGCAGAAGTAGCTCAAAATAAATATTTGTTCATGTTCACCATGATAAGAGAGGCCTCTCCCAAGTCATTTCCAATGTAAAAGAACGGTTGCCCATCTCCATCCTGATTCCTCCATTCTTACGAAATGTAGGTCCAGTTTTTCTCTTTTCCCATGCTATGCCTTATTTATTCTTTCGGGTCATACTTACATTTGGGTCTCACTGTGCTGTTTTTCAGGCTGTTGGCTGTGATAACATGCTAGATTCTTTTAAGAAGGAAGACAAATGTCTGCAATGTGGTGGTAATGGCAGAGCCTGTTTTGAAGTGAAGGGCCTCTTTGATGTGCCCAACCTTCCTAAAGGTACAAACTGTTGGTTTTTCCTTGGAAGTTGCATGAAATAGTAAAAATACTTTTACTAGAGCATGGAGAAAGAATTCATTGTGCTTCTTAATCCAAGTATAACTTCAAAGCAAAAGCTGATAAGTAAAGCTCAGAAAGCCTTTGACTGCACCACTGCTAGGCTTGATGCATCAATGACACTACTTTGGGCCATATTCTGTCAATTACATGGATGGGCTGCTTTATGGGTAATATGAATCTGGATGCAGCCAATGTGAAATCAATGGAGTAGTTACAGCTAGATTTATATCTTTTTCCATTTAGCTGCTATTCATTTGGAAAAGCACATTCTGTACACGCAAGGGTGACTTTACCCTCTCTTCCTTCTCTATTGCCATCTGTCTTACTAAGTTGAATTTATCGTGGCTGACTTGCTCTGCTTGCTTTAGGCTACAATCCAATCTTCATCATTCCCATGGGAGCCACAAGTATCCAGATAAAGGAAGCAACACCTACCAGAAACTTCTTGGGTAGGTACAGTGTTCTCAGCATTTTGCTAACATGCTATATGAATGTGCTGTTTAAAGCACTAATTTCCCATTCAGATTTATGCTAATTTTGCACAGAACAGTTCTGTATGTTCAGATATATTGCATGGTGCAGCTGTCCTGGGACTGTACCATTCAGAATGCAGGTGGGAGACAACTTGGTGAGTGGATGAGGTTGGAATATGTTATATAATGAAGTTAGATTTACAGCGAAAATTTGGTAGTAACCTTTGTATGCTCCAAAAGCAAGGAACTTGGACAAGGGAACCAACACCATTATTTGTCTCAGGATACAAGTTTCTCAGATTTTCCAATAGTAATTCAATTCCACAGCATGTGTTGAATGTTATGCGCAACTCTCAGTAAACTTGTCATCTTTTTTCATTAGATGCATAGAGCATAGCAACCATATCACATCAGAAGTGTCTTCTGATAAGGCATCAGTCTTCTATAATGGACCTAAAAAATACACTGGACAGTATGCGACTGTGTCATTCCTTTAGCATAAATGTTGCATTGCTAGGCACTAGGTTCTTAGATTGCACCTAAGTGTCCTCTCCCGTCCAGCAGAGCCCGTTCTTCCCCATGGTATACACCTGAACTATGGGCTATGAAGTGGGTTGGGAGACGTCTAGAGTGTCGGTGGAGGAAATCACGAGATGAATCTGACCGAACACACTTTCAAGCTCATTATCGAGCCTATGCTGTGGTGGTGAGGGCAACGAAGAAGAAATTCTTCCCCACTTCCATTGCCTCCTCACAGTGCCGTCCAGCGGAGCTCTTTCGAGTGGTACATGGGCTGGTACAGCCTGGCCTTAAGAAAGATCCCGTACCACCCTCAATGGCCCACTGTGATGACTTTGCCCAGCACTTTAAGGAGAAAATCGCTCAGATTCGTCACAAGCTGGACTCCACAAGTGATTCAGATCCTCTGGGGGAGGTGCCAATGACTCCGTCCGGTCAGATATTATTAGATGAATTTCAGTTATTGCGGCCTGATGATGTGGACAAGGTGCTTGGACTAGTATGTCCCACCACCTGTTTACTTGAACCTTGCCCATTGTGGATGCCGACCAAAGCCAAACACGGGATTGTTGCCTGGATCCTGGAGGTTATTATCACCTCTCTGAGGGATGGCCGAGTGCCTGCTCCTCTAAAGGAGGCAGTAGTCAGGCCGGTCCTAAAGAAGGCGTCCCTGGATCCATAGATGGCTGCCAATTATAGACCGATGGCCAACATCCATTTTTGGGCAAGGTGTTGGAATGGGTGGTGGCGGGACAACTCTAAGCACTCTTGGATGAGACTGACTATCTGGACCCATTTCAGTCCAGCTTCAGACCTGGATATGGTACTGCATCTGCCTTGGTCACCCTGTATGATGACCTGTGCAGGGAGAGAGACAAGGGGAGTGTGTCCCTGTTGGTCCTCCTGCACCTCTCAGCGGCTTTCGATACCATCGACCAGTGGGACTGGGAGTAGGAGGCACTGCTTGGCAGTGGTTCCGCTCCTACCTCGACGGCCTATTCCAGAAGGTGGTGCTGGGGGACTTTGGCTCTGCACCATGGCAGTTATGCAGTGGCTGTACTGAACTGGTGCCTGGCCGAGGTAATAGGCTGGATGAGGGCCAATAAACTGAAACTCAATCCAGACAAAATGGAGGTCCTGTTGGTGGGTGGTTCAAGCTCCTGGGTAGGTGACTTGGACCTTGCCCTGAATGGGGTTGCACTCCCTCTAAAGGACAGGGTCCACAGCTTGGAAGTGCTCCTCAACCCAGAGCTGTCCCTGGAAGCTCAGGTGACTGCGGTGGCGAGGAACGCTTTCCTTCAGCTTCGGTTAATCCGTCAGCTGTGTCCCTACCTGGAGGACAATTGCCTAGCGATAGTGACACTTGCATGGGTTACTTCCCGGTTGGATTTCTGTAACGCACTCCACGTGGGGCTGCCCTTGAAGACAGTTTGGATACTTCAGATGGTGCAAAATCGAGCAGTCAAGTTGCTGACGGGGACTTGGCGTTACTCTCATATAACCCCAGTCCTCTACCAGCTTCACTGGCTTCCCATCGAAGTCTGGGCTCAATTCGAGGTGCTGGTTATTACCTATAAAGCCCTTAACAGCTTGGGACCTGGATACCTAAAGGAATGCCTTCTTCCGTATTTGCCCTCCCACCCCCTGAGATCGGCAGCAGAGGCCCTCCTCCGGGAACCCTCCATGAAAGACATTAGGAGGCAAAGTTCCCAGAGGAGGACTTTCTCTGCGGTGGCGCCCCACCTATGGAATGCACTCCCCAGAGAGGTCCGCCTGGCACTGTCATTATTTGTTTTTTGGTGCCAGGCTAAGACCTTTTTATTTCAACAATATTTTAATGACTTTTAACATTAACTATATAGGTTTTAATCTGCAGCCAGGGTGGATCTGGATTTTATTTGTATTATGTTTTATTTTTTTCTTTTTATTTATGTAAGCCGTCCTGAGGCTATGCAAAAGGACAGCATACAAATACTCTAAATAAATAAAATAAATAGGTTCTACAATATGAACAAGGGAATCCAACTAAAGTTATGTTTGTGCAAGCATAGTTAAACATTCTGCTTTCACAAGTCAGTTATGCAATGGAAAGATTCAGTGGCGCTCTGCTAGTACTATTTGAGTTTGTGAAATGACCCTGTTTGATACTGCACTGGGTCTCTAGAGTGTAGGAGAGAGAGTTTTAATACTTTTTCTGCCCTCTGTGTTTTTCTTTTCCCCTTCAGCCATCAAGAATGTGCGAGGAGAGTACTATCTGAATGGTCACTGGACGGTTGAGTTTAGCCGGGCCTTGCATATCGCTAGCACAGTGGTACATTATGACAGGGGTTCTGAGGGTGACTTGGCCCCTGAGCTGCTGCATGCAAGGGGTCCCACCACTGAGCCTTTGCTTATTGAGGTAAGCCTCCAAGCTCACTTTCTTGACTCTGACCTACACAGAGGCATTGATCAGGAACATTGCCAGAACTGAGGAATACCACTGGCTGTGCATGAAAGTTGACAGGGGAATAGTTAATTCTTCATTGAACAACAACTGAAGAAGAGGGAAGTTACCACCTCAGTTTTTTGCAGCTGTCAAGTAGCAAACTCTTAGTTGATTTCCCATGTATTCCAGTTAATTCAAAATGTTTATGGCTTGTTGCCTGATAGAAAAACAATATGATTATTCTGGTCTCTAGCAAAAGAGCAGCTAATTTTCCGCATTGCAGAAGAGGTATTCTAATGATGTCCTATGTGAGACAGGAAAAGCATGAAGGAGATTCCAGAAACAAGTTGTCCAAACTGGACGTGAGTAGTGGATAGAAAGAGGGTTGGCAAGGATCTGAGAATTAAGTCTAGTTTATACAAACAGCAGTTGAAGTGGAGGATACTCCCTGGACTGTACCAGTTCAAATGGAAGATGAATGGATGAATGTAATCTAGAACAATTCTCAGCATGTACAAAACTAGCCTAGACCCAGAGTTTTGTCCCTGTCACTTGGTTCTCTATGTTTAGGGCAGTCTTTATTGTTGTTGGTTTTTTAGAGGAATATCTGCCATCTTGTATCCTTATACATGTTGTCAGAAGTGATACAGACCAGATCCTATGACCTTATCTAACATTCCTGTGAATTAGGCCAGTGCCAAGAAGCACTGCCACAAGAGGAAGGAAAGTGATGATTTTCATCACACCTGCTTTGCCCCTTCTGTTTGCAGCTTATCAGCCAGGAACCAAACCAGGGGATCTATTATGAATATTATCTGCCATTCCAAAGGCCAGGCTCAAGCTACAACTGGGGTTATGGCTCCTGGGGTGAATGCAGCGCTGAGTGTGGTGGGGGTAAGTAACCTGCACGGAATGCCAGTTCATGTATTTGCTGCTGCTATTAATATGTTTAATGCTTTAAAATCATTTGAACAGATTGCCCTGCTCAGGGGTATTCTAGGCAGAAATCAACTGCTTCAAAACAGCTTCAGGGCACGGAGAACCTGCACAGCTGCACCACGGCTTGGCTGGGGAGGAGAGCTGCTGCAGTACTTCTGGTTATGCTGTCTTGTCCCATGGCTGTGCTCACCTGTTGCAAAGACTAAAGAGTGGCATCAGGCATGACCGTAGGGCCACTTGGGTTGTTGTTTGCCATTTCCAGTTGCATCTCTTGCTGGTTGCCACTGGTGGTCGATTACTTCATGCAATTTTGTAATGTCTGCATGTATGGAGGTTTTGCGCTTCTCTGCATGAGGGGTTTAACATACTGCTTTACTGAGACTTCCCCTTCCATTTTCATTGTGGGAGGGAAAGCATGTTGTTTCCCACAGGGTTCCCCCCCCCCCCGGGATGTGTATTTCTCTGCCTTTCTATATACCGGCAGTCCCAGTTACGAATGTCTGAGTTACAAGCAACCCATACTTACAAACAGTGCCATAACGCTTATTAATTTTAAAAAGCTACTGCAGAAAATTGTCAATAACATAGAGAGGAAGTGAAAGGGGAGAGAGGGAGGCCTTCAAAGCATGCCTTCCTGCCCCATCCAAGGAGAGGAAAATCTGCTTGCTGCAAAGGAGATTTCGAGGCTTTTGTCCCAGCTTAAAATTCAGTACCAGCCTTTCCTTGCTCTAAGAATCTCATGAAAATGGATAGAATGGGAGAGGCCTGGAGGATGAAGTTGTTGTGAAAAGGCCCCACAAACATCCTTGAGAGATTACAAGTGCACGATAAATGTCTCATCTATAAATGTCCCTTTATTCCGATGGATCTGCCTCAAATTCCTTTTGGCTACTTTGTTCCATGGCCTTTACCAGATGCCTGTACTTCACACATTTGTTCCCTACAGGATCATCTTCATTTTGTTACTCAGTCTTGGACCCAAAAGGTATCCAGAGGTAGGACTTACTAGCCCATTATCCTACAGAGTAACCCAAATGATCCAACCCACAGCTTGTCCACCAACCAACATGAATGAATAAATGACAGTATAATGTTGATGCTTGGAAATTATAAAGACCAAGTGAGGTCTGCACAATTTCAGATGTTGCAAGAGCTTCTAACTGGCCAAGTTCTATAGAATAACATCAGTGGCCCTCTAAACAAACCAATACATTCTTAATGTAAGAAAAAAACCTGTTCTAGAAGCTTGCATAGACACTGGTGGTTCTTTAAAAGTTTGCTGGCAGTCTATGAAGAAACCATAATCAATTCTGTGATAAAAGGATGGCTTATAGAATGAAACTGCTGTTGGCTGTACTGGGAGGTACAGTTCTGTAATAGGGATGTGGACAAATTTGCATTTATTCAGGACCTAAAATCTGTCCATATGCTTTTCCTTCCCAAAAGTAAAGCCGACCAAGAGCATTGGCTACTCTATGAGAGGCAGGTATGTTGTATATCACATGATATATTCAGAAAGGTAGGAATTAAAACAATTATTTCTTTCCATTAATGAGTTGCTTGCACTAAATGATTTTTTCTTAGTGAGATGCAGTAGTAAGGGCACAATCCTATGCAAACTGAGACAGGTCAAGGGCCTATAAGTCCCAGCATGTGCCTGTCTGCATTGTCCCAGTGGCAGGTCTTTTTTCTGTCTAAAGTTGCATGGGATTATACCCTACGCCTCTTACTCTGTTTCTGGGTCACCATCTTTTGTGGGGGGCTGTGCCTTTTACAGAACACACAAAAGGGTTTCAGCTTTCATCTGACTCTAATTCTTGGACACTGTGCAGATGATGGAATGATCGGTGGTTCTAGGAGATGCAATTCCATTGCATTTTAATTGTTGCTATGGATGAGTGCCGTTTGGTAACATCCTGGATTTATTTCTCCTGTAGGTTATCAGTCACGTCTGGTCTTTTGTACCATCGACAATGAGGAATATCCAGATTATATGTGCAGAGATAAACCACAGCCAGAAAATAACCGAACCTGCAGCCTTCAGTCATGCCCCCAGACCAAACGGTGAGGCTTGATTTGATTCCCCTTGCTGATCTCTGCAGTACAATGGATTTAATTACCTGCTTTTACTTGCCAGTATCTCCTTTTAGCCATTAATGTTCCCATAAGTTATGCATGTGAGGAGAACCTATGGTTCCAAATACATACTACATTATAGCTGATGTTCTTAGTATATCTGAGCATACTAGGAAGAAAGGACAGGATAGGACAGGATTCTCTGGTAGAAGAACTGCTGTTGGCTAAGTGGGGGTCATACTGGAGAGCAGCCAGTGTGGTGAATACCAGTGGTAAGTGCCTCCATACAGAACCAATTTTGATTTCATCCATAAAGGTGCTATTATTTGCACATGGCATGTTTCACAGATATAGAACTTCCTGTGCTCAGGCATTGGAATGCTTCTGGAACTGAAGTAACTAGATTTGTGTTCATGGTATAGATTTGCAAGTCACCCTTCAGATCCTTGTATGACATCTGTCACATCCAGACCTGGACCATGGAGCCCATGCAGTGTTAACTTCCAGTGGGCCACTCTCTGTGACAAGACTGAGCAATAAAACCTGCATCGCCATATGCCTAGTGCAAGTCAGATACAAAGGCCAAAGTGTGAGAGCATCTTCAGTTGTTGCTGCTGCTGTTAAATGCAACTGTGGGAAGGGGCAGTCTGGACAGGAGTCATGGTATGTGGTCAGAGGGAGTTTCCACAGACATGGTTGCCTCCAACTCAATTTCACATACACACCAAACTGGAGGTTGTTAGTTGTAGACAAAGAAATATTTAGACACAATTTTAAAAATGGTATGCCAGAGATGGGTTACGTGGGGCCCTCCAGATATTGTTGAACAGCAGCTCCCATCAGACCTTTCTTGCATGACCAATGGCACAGGATGATAGGACTTACAGTCCAATATCACCTGGAAGGCCACATATTCCCCATCCATACTGCATGTTTTGTACTCCATGGCTAATAGCATTTCCAGAGGGTGAGTTTCCTTGAGGAAATTGGTGGAGGGAAAAGGGGTCAGCCGCCATTCTGTCCCCTTGACGTCTCAAATCAAAACTGTACCACATGGCAGCTCTTTGCAGGGGAGAGATGCTGCTGCTGCTGTTTTTTTAAAGGCATCAGAGCTGCATCAACGCTTCGCCAAATTCACGTGTATTTTGGTTGTAGACTACAGTTTCTGCAATCCTATTGTAGCAAGACACCCCAGATGTCTTATATTCATTATAGGCTTTAAAATCTTTGTTCTATGTATAAAGGCTATCTTACCTCTATCTGGCGGAAGCATGGAGCCACAACAGAGCATGGAACTTGCAAACAAAGAGGTAACAAGGAGAAAGTATCTGTAGAGGTCCTATTCCACGCTTCTTTTCCTTTTCCCCACCTACAGCAATGGTCTTCAAGCTTCTTAATCTTTTTGTTCCTTTTTACTGTGGAGTCTCATTGTAGCTCACTGTAAATTGCACATCTACCCCCAGAATACTTCTGGGGGTCCTGTCTGCAGGAATAATTTGCTAATGATGGACAAGCGGTCTTTGAAGGAAATCATCTCCTATTCTTTGTGTATTCATCAAGGACCTTTGGAGGACCACAAGCATTCTTTGGCGCATTCACTGAAAGCCGCTGCCTTGGATTGTTTAGTGAATCTTGAAGGCTTTTCTTTTGGGTGATGGGGATCTCAACTGCTACTTTGACTTTTCTTCCTAAATGGTGGTGGAAGGTGGCAGGTGCTGGGAAAGTGGAGGCTTGCTTAGACAGTAGTTCTTTTTATTAAGGACTTTGCCTTTTGATTTGGCCACTGCATGGAGCAGGGAGAGAGAAGAAGATATTTGGTTATTTCTATTTCCATTCCAAAAGTATAACCTAATCGCCAACACACTGTGGCATAATGACTGTTTAGCAGGTTCAGTTCATTGGCTGAGAAAACTACAAAATACACATAGATGGAATTGATGGATTTTAATTATCTCTTTTCTTTCCTTGGTGCTTCTGCTGTGAATGCTGGTTTTCATCTTTCTGTGTTATATCCTCAGGCTATATCAGAGTACAAATACAGTGGTACCTCGGCTTACAAACGCCTCAGTTCACGACCAAATTGGGTTGCGAACAGAAATTGTGGCAAAATTTTGCATCAGGTCATGAACTCCACATTGGGTGATGATCACAATCACGCCCGTCTTCCCTGCACAGGTGCAATCACGGTTGTGCTCAGGAGGGAGAGATGGCCATAATCATGCTTTGGTGTGGGGTGAGGAGATGGCCACAATTGCAGTCGCACTCGTGCAGGGAAGACAGGCGCGATTGTGGTCATGCTCATGGGGGGAGGCAAGATGGTAATGATCGTGCTCGGGGGCGGGAGATGGCTGCGATAGCACCTGCCTTCCCTGCATGAGCACGCCTGTGATCGCATCTGTCTTCCCTGCACAATCGTGCTTGGGGGGCAGAGGGGAGATGGTTGGTCTTCCAGGGAAGACCGATGCGATCATGTTCGTGCTCCGGGGGGGGAGGTGCCCATGATTGCGCCCGTCTTCCCTGCACGAGCACGATCGTGGCCATCTCCCTCCCCCCCACCAGCATGATCGCTTTCACCAATTATCATTTGGACTCTCCCTCCAAACAATAACCTCCCCCCACACCTAGGTTAGTGTTCTTTACTGTACTGTACAGTACTTCATTATTTTGTTCTCTTTTGTCACTTTGTTCTTCTTTGTCACTTTGTTTCAAATTTTTGTGGTTAAAAAATTGGTTACAGAATGTATTAACCTTATTTACATCCAACCTTATGGGGAAATTTGACTTGGGCCACAACCAGAGTCCTGGAACAAATTCAGTTTGTGAGCCAAGGTACCACTGTAGGTGCCTATAGGTGTCTGAATACGAAAGATCCTCCAAGAGCCATACCAACATTTCCTAGTATATAACTGATAGAGAATTCCCTGTTGCAGGATGTAGTGATGGGCCCTAGCTTAGATGCCTTTTGAAAGGGATTAGGTAAATGAATGCTGGGAAGGTCTAGCACAGGCTGTTAGCCAAGATGGTTAGATGGTGCCTCCAGATTCATAGACAGTGCCATACATGCCACTGAATACGAGCTGACGGGGAGCAATCATAGAGCAAAGCTATTTTCTTCAAGCTCAGCTTACGGGCTTCTTAGTGGTATCTGATTAGTCATTGTGAGAGACGAGATCTTGGACTAGATGGACGTTTGTCTGATCTATTGGGACAGTTCAGTGCTGCAGAGGACAGCATTAAGAGGAACTCTGGCTTTCCAATGGAGCACTTGGAAAAAACATTCCAGTACCTTTTTTGAGGGTCCCTTATGATTCAGACCAAAAAGCTATTCTGAGCAAGAGACATCAGTGTTGCTATGGTGCTGTGTGGTGTTGCAGTGGTCAAACTTGAAGTAAACCTCCATGAAGGCATTTTGTAAAATCATTTAGACATATTTATTTATTTATTTATTTATTTATTTATTTATTGAAAGCTTTTCTGTACCATCCTTCACTGAGTCCCAGGATGATAATACATTAAAAGCACAGCATCAAACATCAATTAACAACAAATAAAAAACATCTTTAAATAACCTCAGAACTTAAAATATCAAGAAAATAAAAAGGGGGTTGGCCTGGCACCGAAATGAGTAAAGTGTTGGCACCAGGCGCACTCTCTGGGGAGCATGTTCCATAACTGAGGTGCCACCTCAGAGAAGGCCCTTCTCCAGGTAACCACTCTCTTGATCTCCTTCAAAGAGGGCTCCCAAAGAAGGACCTCTGACTCAGATCTTAGGGATCAGGCAGGTATATATGGAAGGAGGCACTCCTTCAAATATCCAGGTCCTAAGCCTGTAGTAAGTCATCATCAACACCTTAAATTGGGCCCAGACTTCAATTGGAAGCCAGTACAGATGGTAAAGGTCTGTAATTATACCGTATGTTCATATCTGCTGGTCCCTGCTAGCATCCTGGCTATTCTATTCTGAACCAACTGAAGTATATGGACCATCTTCAAGGACAGCCCCACATAGAGGATGTTACATTAGTCCAATCCAGAGGTTACCAGAGCATGGGTCACCCTCGCTAGGCTCTGCTCATCCAAGTAAGGGCGTAGTTGATGAATCATCCAGATCTGGAGGAAAGCGCTCCTCATCACAGCAGTCACTCTGGATTGAGGAGCACTCCCAAACTACACGCCCTGTGCCTTAGGGGGAGGGCAACCCCATTCAGAACAGAGCAAAGATCGCTTACTTGGAGAGCTGGGCCACCTACCAACAGGACCTCCGCCTTGTCTGGATTAAGTCTCAATTTATTGGCCCTCATCCAGCCCATCACACAAGCCAGATACTGGTTAAGGACAGCCACTTCCATAACCTTCAATGGTGATTCTGTAAGGTGGAGAAAAAGCTCCCAAAAATAGATTCCTAACAAACTAAGTAAGCGAAGAAATGTACACCATTGCCCAAAGATGTACATTTTGGACTCTTTTAAAAGAAATTTTAGGTAGGTTACAAATAACCGTTACCATCTATACTTTTGGCTTGTGCTGAAAATCTTGCAGGAGTTAGAAAGGAGAATTGATGTCTTTTCTAAGGTACCTATTTATTATTGATCAGGGAATATGTTTTTTGAGGGGCTAACCAGACATAATCAAAGACTTTGTTTTTGATTATGTTTGTTTGCACTTTGTGTTGGATGATCTAGTCAGATTAGGGATTCTGTTGGTTTACAACCCACCCTTCTGCTCAGCAGACTCCCTGCCTGATTTGATGGAGGTAGTCTCAGATCTGGTGTTGGAAGCTCCCAGGATGTTTGTTCTGGGGGACCTCAACCTCCATGCTGAGACTGCTTTTTCTGGGGCAGCTCAGGACTTCATGGCTGCCAAGATAACCATGGGGCTGTCTCAGCATGTGACTGGCCCAATACATGAAAAAGGTCACATTCTTGGCCTGTTTTCAACTGGACAAGAAGAGAGGGTAATCTGGAAGTAAAGGAATTAAGAGCAATCCCTTTGTCATGGTCAGATCACTTCCAGATTTAGACTTTCAGCTTCTTTCTCCCTCCATAAGGATGGGGGACCTGTTAAAATGGTTTGCCCTCAGAGCCAGATGGATCCTGATGGATTCCTGAGGGCTCTGGGGGAATTTCTGGCTGAGTGGCTGGTGCGCCTGTTGAAACCCAGGTTACTCTTTATTTTATTTATTTAAATGTTTGTATGCCGTCCATTACTGTCATCTCTGAATGGCTTACAACATTATTTCAAACTATAATAAAATAAGATAAATTAACTATTTCACACGGAGTATCATTTAAAATAAATTAAATTATTGTATGTTAAAATATTGGCCAAATAAAAAGGTCTGGACCTGGCGCCGAAAAACATAAAATGACGGCACCAGGCAGACCTCTCTAGGGTGCACATTCCATAGTCGGGGCGCCACCGCAGAGAAGGCCCTCCTCCGAGTACTCTGTCTCCTGACCTCTTTCAAAGAGGGTTTTTGGAGGAGGGCCTCTGCTGCCAATCTTAGGGGGCAGGAGGGCATGTAGGGAAAAGGCGTTCCTTTAGGTATCCTGGTCCCAAGCCATTTTCCATTCTGTGGAATAAGGAAGTGACCTGGGCAAACAACAGGATTGCACCTAAATACCCTCTCCCTGCTTGCAGAGCTTGTGCAGTGCCTTGGTATACTCCTGATCTGAGAGCAATGATGCAAGCTGGAAGGTGGCTAGAGTGCGGGTGAACGACAATCTGCACTGAATTTGACCGAACACAAGTAGTTCATATCAAGCCTACTTTGTGGTGGAGAAGGTGGCAAAGAAGAAATTCTTCTCCACCAACAGCGTATCTTCACAGTGTCATCCAGTGGAGATATTCTGGGTGGTTCATGGCCTGCTGCAATTTGGGCCCAAGTTAGATCTGTCACACCCTGTGACAAATTTGCAAAACAATTCGAAGGTAAAATTGCTTAGATCTACCACAGATTGGACTCCACAGTGGATGTTAGTCCTGTAGGGAGGGGTCTATTGTGCCATTTTATCTAATGAGTTTCAATTGTTGTGGCCTGAGGATATGGAGAGTTCTTCCCTCCACCTGCATACCCAACCTTGCCCTTCCTGGCTGCATACTAAAGCCACAAAAGAGATGCATTCCTGGGTCCAGGAGGTTATCAATGCCTCACTGAGAGAAGGTCTGGTCCCTTCTCCTTTGAAGGAGGTGGTGATAAGGCATCTTTTGAAGAAGGTGAGCCTGGAGGTCACCAGTTATAGACTGGTGGCTAACATCCCTTTTCTGGGCAAGGTGTTCTTTTAATTTTCTTGTTAAGCCATCTTGAGATTTCTTAAATATAACATGGTATAGATGGTACTTCCTGGCTGCAACATGGGGGAGGGCCATAATCAGGAGAGGGTCATTCTTTAGAACCCAGCGAAAGATGGTAGAGAAAGGCAGTGCTTTGCTTTGCAGAATGCAAGCATTCAAGACAAAGATAATGCATTTTTAAATATTGAGAAATAAAAATCAGGAGAGGTCAAGAACCAAGAGAAGTGTTCATGGGCATATTCATGCTCATGGGCACCGTTGGAGATCCCAGTTCTCTATATATGGCAGTGGTGACAGCAGCTCCTACTCCTTGCTACTGTTGTGACTCATTTCTTTGGAAGGTGGGTGTGCAAAGAGGCAGCAGCAAAGAGTGGAAAGGACCAGAAGAACCAGATGACTGTTCTTGGAGGGACCCCCTGGGGGTGGGTCTGTGTGGGTGCCCACCTATGGCAGCCCTTGTTTCTGGGCCTATGAGCAAGCCTCTGCTTCTGCTCCGAAGGGCTCCAGCTGTGAGACAAATTTGAAGTTTTTCAGAGGTTATCCTTCCTGAAACTACCTTTCTTGCAGTGCTGAAAAGAACTACATGTGAACAGAAATTAGAAAAAAGGGCTTTACATATCATCACATCCTGGCAGGGTGGGTTTATTTCAATGCAATGAAATTGGCCACAGCAACATGATGATGTCATGTGTGGATATTCATTTGCTAGAGGGTAGCATCAGACAAACATTCCTCCTGGGATCAAGGACTGAGATATTTTTCAGCCTCTATTACTGCTTTGCAGTGCTTTTGCTTGTCTGATCATGACAGAGGAGTTGGCTAGATTGGCCTCCTGCCAACAGAGTTATTTTTAGCAAAGGACTTCCTCTGAGAAGCTGTCTTCCAGTCTCAAGGGCATTCTCACACAGCATCCCGTTGGGTCTTCTTCCATGCTGAGATGGTTAAGTCTGTTTGTTCAATTTCTGTGGAAACTGCTGCTCGAATGAGTGAATGGTCTGTTTAGCTCAGGCAAAATTCCCATCCGGAATCTTGATTAAAAGCACAATCTTTCCTTTTGAATACTGAGCTCACTGCTGTCATCTGGGCTTTGAGGAGATAAGGCTGGGTGGCCCTACACCTGACAGTTATTTATTCATTCATTTATTTATTTCTGGTAGAGGGAGGTTAAACGGGCTTTACTGTCAGTGCATAAGGAGAGAAAACCATGTTATTTCAGAATTCCAGCTAGAGCACATTTTGTTAGAGTTATCATGTCAAAACCTCACTATTCACTGAAAGATGTGTGATCATTCTCCTGAGCCTTGAAATACTATGGGCTGAATCTGTTCAGAGATGCAGTGGAGGAGGCAATGCTGAATCTTTTCTTTTTGGAACATATCTTGATTTTTTAAACTAATTTGTCCCTACATATTAGAAAAAAACTATTGGGACTCTATATTTCCACTCAGGAAAGCTGTTTATTATCTGCCTAATATAGGGAGGTCACCTAATAAAGTTTTTAATAATTCAGAATTTGGATACTTTTGTTTAATTTTTGGCACAGCATACATGACCATTGTGTTATCGAGGCCAATTAGATTTAAAAACCATGACATTATGCTCTTTCTCTGAGAAGACTTCCTCAGTGCCTAAAAGCTTCCACCACTGAGGCATCTTTTAGTAATTCAGTCTCTTTTATTCATTTCATCCCATTCCTTCCTGTAATGTCATCCTGAATTGGCAGTCACACAAGTGTAAATACCTTTACAGCATTTCCATTGTCACTCAAATCACTGTTTTCCATTCACTTGTTTTAATCAACTTTGATAATTCAATGCTAGTTCCTGTATTCCATAGCATCTATCAGATAAGTAAGATTTGGGTGACAGAAGGCTTACCCACAAGTTCTTATTAATTAATATACTAAAGAGAAAGCCAGCTGTGCCCTAACTGTTCATTCCTGTGGACTTTCTGGCTGCTGGTTTTGGCTTCTTTGAGAAATGTCATCTTTGTACTTACAGCTGGAAAACTGGGAACTGGGGAGCTTGCTCAGCTACCTGTGGAGGAGGCACACAGACCCGATCCGTGTATTGTGTCTCCTCCAATGGACACAGTTCTCAGGAGGCCGTGGATGATGCTGAGTGTGCATCCTTAAGAGAAAAGCCACGGAGCACACAGCCTTGCAACATGCGACAGTGCGCAATGTGGACCACGGGGCCTTGGTCTGAGGTGGGTTTTAATATAGCTTCTGGGTACATTTGTAGGTAGTACAGCCCCAGCTACCTCGGGCTTGAAGAGAAGAAAACAGAGCACACGTTCACTTACTCCTCCCATTTCATTTATGTTTGTTTGTCACATGTCTACACAGTGTTTTCTTCCAAGGAGCCCAAGGCAGTGTAAATGATTTGCTCTCCCTGTGAAGTAGGTAAGACTGAGAGCAAGTGCCTGGTGCAAAGTCACCTGGTTCCCTTCATAGCCAAGCAGGAACTTGAACGGGGTCTCCCCAGTCCCAGTCCACCACCCTTACCAATACCATATTCTGACTCTCACATTTGAGTTTTGCACACAGGAGTCCCCACTCATTTTGTACTCCAGTGTCCCTGTCTCAATTGACCAGGCTCCCCTTTTTGCACATCCTGAAGGGCATATCCACATTAATCATTCCATGTCACCAATGACTAGAGTGGACTTTCATTTCTGTGTTTTGTACATCACTGCAGTCGGCACCCCTTCCATCGACTCAGGAGGGCTTTCCTGTGCTGGAGAATGTTCATCCTTTTAGTTCTGAATGTTCATCCTGTTAGCCTGTTAGTTCACTCACTGTCACCACAGGTCCTGGCACTATAAGTCGTGTGGAAGGAAAGGCCTCATGAGGAGAGCTGCAGGGAAGGAATCTCCAATGAGGAGGAGCACCAATGAGGGCTTTACTGAGTTTCCAGCGGGGTTGATTTCTTCATAAGCCAAAGGGACAGGATTCACAGAAGGAAAACAGGTTAAGCATACAGATGAAAAGAAACAAATATGCTGCCATTCTAGCTACACTATTAAGAAGGTGATTTAAAGGACGGTGCAATTATATGACTAGAAAAGCTTCGATCAGGTCGTCTAGTCCCCCCCCCCGCAAACCTTTTCTCTGTGTGTATTTCTATCCCTCAGCAATCAACAATATTTTTCCAAGTGCCAGTCATGCTCTCTCCCCTCCCTTCCTCCTGTATTTCCTCTTCAGAGGCAGCTTCTTGTGTCCAGCTGTCAGGTATGCTGGATCGCTTTGTTTAAAGGCTCCCTGCACAACATCCGTGCTACAGAATTGTTTGGAAGTGGTAAAGATGAATTTCAAAATGTACCGTGATGCACGTCCATGTATGTGTACCAGAACATACGTACATACAATAACATCTATAAATATATCTTAGAAATAGCTTATCAAGCAATGTACCACAAGGCTCAATCATTCTTCTGACACAGAGGAAACAAAACCCTATAGCATAGTCCCTAGCCTTCTCAAATGCTGAAGTGCTCTTTCTGGTTCCTTACCTTAAAACCTGAAATGTCTTCAACTAAGCCGTGGAGTATGCAAAACAAATAAATTCAAAAGATGGAGAGATGTGCTTTTGCCCATGGCCAGGCCTTTTTGTTGTCGTTTTATTTTGTTTACAGTGTTCAGCTAGCTGTGGCAAAGGTATTCAGACCCGGACTGTAAGTTGCAGTGCAGCACTGGGCTCTCAGACTCTAGATGTTGCCTGTTTGACAGAACCAAAACCTCCCCATACCCAGCCCTGCACTGGGGAGAATTGTATACAGGAGATTGGGTGGCACATTGGTGATTGGGGATTGGTGAGTATTGTGCATATCTGGAAGTGCTCTGTTTCCCAGTTTATCTTCCACTTGGTCCTTTGTTCTCTGTCCTCTTCCTGCTTCTTCAGATTCTTAGCAAAACTGTTTGCACCAACAACCCCTGGGTTGATCGAAACAAGTGAGAAAGAAGTCATCCCAAGGACAGACAATAGGGTGAGGCAGTGTCATGGGACCAACATTGATTTTTAATCAGTAGGCCTGTTGGACCATGCATACCCGTGGAAAGCAATGGTGATGATGACATCTGTTCATGTTACCACTTTCTCTGGAAAGTGCAAAGAGGTTATAGCTGGAGCTCACTGACAACAGTCAGCAACAGAATTTTCTGTTTGTCTGGGGCCTATTTAGCAGTCCTACTCATTGGCCCTCTCCAAATGTCACAAGATCCTAGTTTTTTCCTTTAACTGTGGGTTGCTGGGAACAAATGAGTGTGCTAGTCCATGCTGTCTCAAAACTCCAGCTGCAAGTTGGAATGGTTAAACAGTCCTCTCTGCGTTGTTTAGCACAACATGCAAGCCAAAAACTCTGACTTACTAGGGGAGAGATAAATCAGAGTTGGATCCCAGAATTAAACCTGCTGTGGGTTCCAAAGCAAACCAGAGGTGGTTGTACCATGTGATCTAGTCCATTGGCCTGAAAAGAGGAATAAGAAAAAGCAGGAATTTTCAGATAATGAACAAACATCAAAACTCATGGTTTTATTTTCGTAGAATTGTAGGGTTGTATCCCTTTATTAAGGGACTGCAGGTGGCACAGTGGTTTAAACTGCTGTGCTGCTGGGCTGGTTGATCGAAATGTTGCCAGTTTGAATCTGCACAACAGGGTGAGTGCCTGTTGCTCCATCCCAGCTCCTGCCAACCTTGCAGTTCGAAAGCATGCAAATGCAAGTAGATAAAAAGGTACCACTTCGGTGGGCAGGTAACAGCGTTCCGTGCACCTCGGTGTTTAGTCATGCCGGCCACATGACCACGGAGACTGTCTGCAGACAAACACTGGCTCCCTCGGCTAGGAAATGGAGATGAGCACTGCCCCCTAGAGTCAGGCATGACTGGACTTAACGTCAAGGGGAAATCTTTACCTTTACCTTATCTCTTTATTAACCTGGCTTGTACCTTGCCTTCAAGTGCTCAAAGAGCTGTGACTCAGGTGTCCGAACTCGCCAGGTCATCTGTGCTGATGGCAATTCCAAATTCTACAACCATGAGATGTGCCAGGCCATCCAGTCACAGATACCAACTATGCTCGGAAGCTGTAACACCCAGCCCTGTCATCTACCACAGCGTAAGTGAAAACTGGTGGAAGCCCAGATTCCTCCGTGACTCTTTGTTTCTTTTAAATATATAGTTCTGAGTGTCCATTTCAGGATCACATTAATTATGGTGTAGACTCAATCAGCCTGATCTTCAAAATGTCTCACAAACTCGTTACACTGTGCTACCAAGGGTTCTCTTGCCCAGATCACTACAGGCCATGCACCACTCAGAAAAGCTTCACTAAGAAGATGCAATGGTTGTGGAAAAGAACTCCCTTTTTTGCCACTGTCGCCACCAGATAATGGCCACATGAATAGAGGCACTCCCATCATCCATTAGATTACCCAATGACTTCCCACAGGCACATGATAAAATACGAGCATAAAATAGAGAGCCCGAGCCCGGAGTGCAACAGCTAACTTAGGAGCAGGTGATGCCTGCATCTGTTCCTCTGACCAAGCTGCTGCTTTGAACTGAACAGCTGTGAAGTGCCTCCTCTGTGTGTGTCTGTCCTTACTCAAGCATGCCTGCAAGGCTCCAGAGGCCAAAGGTGGAAAACTCTTCTCTGCCAACAGCATTCTGGTTGCCTCCCGGCGTTCCCCAGGGATGCCACATGCTCACATCTCTGCCAGGAGCAGCCTGTAAATACCTGGAATGGCAGGGAGAAGGAGTCCACCAGGTATCTCAGCCGCTAAACAGACGGTTCCTCCATGAGTGCAGGCTTCCGCACTGTGCTGCTGCTAGAGATTGGGCCCCACCTGCCCAGTGCTGGAGGCACTGCGATGCTGTTAGGGATGAAACAGGAGACTTTTCAGGCTTCCACAGAGGTCACTAAACAAGGGCAAACTAGTAATTCAGCGCCATCACTGCTTTTGCTTTCTCAATTTTTCATATTCATCCATAGGAATACAGGACACTGCCTTATACCAGGTCAGACTTTTTGTCCATCTAGACCAGTTATTGTCTGCTTCAACAGGCAGCAACTTTCTGGTTTCTCAAACAAAGAAGGGCTTTCTTTGTCACTGGCTATATGATTGTATGTAAATGGGTATGCCCAAGCAACCCAGAGTTCAATTTCATAGTTAAACTATAATGTGAGGTTTGCATATAACAGTTCAAGAACAACCCAGAATTCAAGGACAGTCCATTCTCAACCCACATGCTAGGTTGTTGTTACTTGCAAACCAGGCTGATATATATTTAGAGCTCAGGTTATTGCTAGAGCATCCCTGCCAATACATACATGCCACAAACAAAGGTGCTCTAAAGAAGCACATACACGCATTGATTGTACTGTTTCTTTAGTGAGTAAAATTAAAGTTCCATATAAAGGGATACAGAACATTGTTTCAGTGGGTTTATTTCACTGCACTAAAATTTGCTGATAAGACTGTCATAGAACCTTAACAACAGAGACTTTTCTGCATACTGTGCTCAGGGTAAAGTGTAGCAGCAGCAATTTTTGCCATGGTTCTTCATGCCAGTTATTTCTTCCAGGCAGCCACTTTTTGCTGCCAAGCAAGGCGAGGAAAGAGCCTGGGATGCCAGTAGGAATCCATGTCGGTCCATGGTCAGGCCTCCTCTCCTCCCCACTTCCCTTGCACATCCTCCCTTTCCCTCTGTGATGCCCAGTTGTGATTTGGGCAGGGAGGAAGCCAGAGAGTTCTTTTCATACAGGCTGTGAGAGAGTGGGGGTCAATCTTTGGAGTTCCACCTAGAAATAATCCTGTGGCCTCCTGAGATCATCTGGATGATGAAGTTGATTACTTTTTTCTTCTCTATTTCTGTCTTGATGCTTTTTGCTCATTAGTGGGAAATAGTAACATTTCACACCTCGTGTCCTGGATGTGAAAGCTTGCGCAGGTTACTTTCTGCAGTAATGTCATACCAGAGTCCTATTTTTACATGATTTGAAGTGCCATTTTCCCCCTTCTGATGTGTCCTTGAATTGATTTCCATGGGAACAGGAATAGTTTTGGCACAGAGAATAATTTAGAACTTTTTTTCCATATTCTCCCACTCCCTTTGCTGAAGTCAATGCTATATATATAAATTCTTAGGTATTCTCAGTTATTTGGCCCCAGTTATTTCTGTTCTAACCTAGAAGTACTGATCCCATTGCAGAAGTTCCCAGTATGCAAGATGCCACGGGCTATGACATTAATCGCCAGTCCTTATTAACCCGTTACAACCCTGAACATGGCACCACAGGTTTGAACTTCTTTACTTCATTACTTTTTTCCGCCAACTTTTATGTTGCTTTATGTTGCTCTCCATAGAATTTGGAAGTTTTCCACTACTGGCTTATAAAAAAAAAAGTACAGTTAGTTGGAAGACCTTTATGGGGAAATTATTGTGATTTGGGAGCAAATGTCTCAGTCTTTGTATCTCTAATTGTAGTAGGGGTGGCTTTTTATTTGCATAGATGTCAGCATATGTTATGTTTAACCCTTTCTTTCCTGTTCGGAGAACTCCAGCCCTACAGCTACACATGATTTGGTTCGGGTAAGCAGGAACACACTGGGGTAAGGGAAGGCTGCATCCTGTTTGTAGCATAATATAGAAACAGAGGTGGTGCACACAAGCAGCGGAGGGACAAGTCAAGTAGTCATGCCATAAGATGTGATGTTTTCAGTTTCTAGAAGTGAAAGAATAATCCAAGCTGGTTCTACTACTCATCATCGGCTCCAGCCCAAGGAAGATCATAGTTCCAATTTCCTACCACTCCGATGGGAGTCTAATTCGCATTCCTCAGCTTCTCACCATTTCAGCTCCCATCACAATGTTGGAACCAAGGTTCAGGACTGCAGCCAGAGTCCTCATGGTTGCTGTTCAGATGGTCACACTGCAGCAGCTGGTCCTTTTGGGCAAGGCTGCCCACTTGAGTCTTGCCATCAGAGCAGGTACAGCAAGCTGGTTAAATTACTTGTTTGCCAGAAAAGCTGATTGGCTGGGTTGATTTGAAGAGTTACCCATGGATCGATCTGCATGGTTGTTTCTGATGTAGGCATGGGTGCTGCCCTGATGGAATATCACCTTCTCAGGGGCCAAATAAAGAAGGCTGTGCGCTGTACTACAGTGATTCTCATGTGAACAGAAATGAACCTGCTGGCGCCTCTCCAACAGTAAGGGTAGGAATCATTCAAGCCAGAAATTCTACATGAAATAATTTGGCAGTAATTGCTAAACATTAACATTGAATCAGCAGTGTTTTGGATCTTGCCATGGGTATTCAGTTAAACTTAGGGGACTGGATTCCACTTTAGTCATACTCTGGGTAGACCCATTTGAATTGTTGCACTTAAGTTGGTCATGATTTAACTTAAATCCCACTGATTTCATGGGGTCACTTCAGTGTGATTGGATTTGTAGCCAGCCCAGTGTGTTCTGGGGATCTTCAAATATCTCTTCCTATCAAAGAGGAGGCTTTGAGCCATCACAGCTCCATTGTACCCATCCCACAGAAGAGCCATGTAAGAAGGACCAATCAAACTCAGCATGGTTATTTTATTGCAGAGTGTTCAAAGGACTTTACATACCTTAGTCCAGTCATTTTTACAATGATTAGTTAAGAAGGTTAGTTATTGCCCTGCATTGCAGATGGGAGCTGAGAGAAAGAGTGGGAATTTTGAGGCCACCTAGTATGGTATTAGCAAGAATTGAAACTCCATGCCGAATAACACCTTTATATTTGAGTAGATAGTTGTGTAAATATTGTTCCAAAGTTGATGGAAAACCTTCAGGGTATTCTGTGGGCCACAAAACACATGACAACTAGTTGCTGTGTAATTATAATATTTTCACATCAGTCATGGACCATTACAGTTCAGATCAGAAAACAGCTGCTGAATTGTAGTACCCTGTCCCCCATTCAGGACTCATGAATAGTGCTTTGGCTTTTGGGTATCCAAGACATGAGACCTTAGCACTTCATGGATTCTTGGAGAGGTCTCTGTGGATTACTGACCTCTTTCCCTTTCTCCTTATTTTTCTTCATCCACTCCTATTGACACTTCTGGGCATGAAGCTACCTCTGGTAGTTATGTTTGAATCCTATCCCAGCTGTTTTACTAAGTGAAAAAGAAGTATAAGCTTCTGCAGCAGCTGAGAATTGTGTTTCCAACACCTAGTTATCTGCTATAACACATTTATACTTGGCAAAGTACAGGGACAGGCTAAATGCCCAGGCATACTGATGGAGGGTGTTTAAAGAACAGAGTTGGTTGGAGCAGTGCCCAGCAGTTGAATTGCTGTCTGGAGAAATATCCAGTTTGTACCTATATAGAAGAGCAGATTGCTAGGTATTCTGAATAGTGTGAGAGCAGATGATCCTCATTTAGTTCCTAGGGGTCAACATTATAAGCCTACAGCAAAAATGTGGTGTGTGTGGGGAAGTAGTCTTCATTTTACCTACTCCTCTTGGAGTAGCTTATGAAATCTCCCCCCGCTTCCCTCATACAGCTGCTTATAATTCCCAGTGGCAAATCCTTCAGGATGGAGAGAAAGATCTCTGGGTACTTTGTCGTGCTTCAGAGATGCCCCTTTCAGGTGCTTAAAGACAGATGTGCTCAGTCAGCTTTTTCCTATTGATGGTACATTCGCTAGGAGAAATTAAAATAGAATTGGGGTTGGTTCAGTTTATGTGATCTTCCATAAATACTGTTGAATGGTGTCAGCTCATAACATCTGGGTTTGTCTCAGGTGAGCCGAGTTCTGTCCCAGCCAAGGCCAGCAGAGGAGTGCCGAGGTTCTATGTACGGCTGTTGCTATGACAATGTTGCCTCTGCTTCAGGGCCTCAAGGGGAAGGATGTCCCAACAGACCAAGCCCATGTAAGTGACACAGTGGATCCATACAGTGCTTTCAGATAAAATGGACAAAAACAGATAGCATCCTTGTTAATTGGATTCTGTAGACAATGTACTATCTGGTGTTTTTTTTTTTTAAATCCTGTGCCAGAACTCAAAAGAGATCTTAAATGAACTATCAAGATCTTAGCCTCTTAATTCTTTCAGCTGTGTAAGAAATTCCTGTAAAATCCTCTTAAACCAACAGAACCCTGTATATTCTTTCAGAAAGGTTTTATAAGGTGTCTGCATTCAGTGTTCCTGATGGGAAGAAATTGCAAATGTGTTTCTGTGCTTGGGCAATTCCAGTTCAGCCACCCTGAAGAATTTATGCCTGCTAAATGCTCTTTCCCAGAAAGGAAAGATCAAAAGCAGCATGAACAGAGGGAGGAGGCAAATGACTTAAGCCTTGCGACTAGCTGGCACTTTGCTTTCCTTTTAAAGCAGCACTGTTTGCCCAAGTCCATTATTTCCATTTGGCTTGTGGACGGACGTGGGCAGAACCATTGCCCTCTCAGCCCAGTGGCTACTTGTATGGGCAGCACCATTTAATACTGAGGCAAAACCAAATCTCTCCTATGTTGAATCCTGACTTGTTGCTGAGCTCATATCTATGCTACACATTTATATCTTCTTGATTTTTTTTTTTAAATCTGCCATGGCTTTCTGGAAAATGTTGTCTGGAAAGGGCACTGAGACGACTGCTTTAGAAAACCCTGTCCTCTCGTAGAACCAGGCCCATGGCCAACCTAAAAGCTCAGGAGAGCAGTTTATCTGGTCTGTAGATGTTTTTAAGACAAAGGGTATTGTATTTATCTCTTGTTTTTGTAGCCATGCTACAATTTGTGTAAGTTCAAAAATTTCTCAGCAACTTCAAGATAGTTATGGCATTAAAATCAAAGAGAGAAATCTCCATGAAAATAGTCTTGCTGTGGCCGAGCAACATGGAGCAGAGAGGCTGAAGAGAGACTGTCTGCAGGCTTCCAGTCTCTGACCTCTTGCCATTGTGTTTGATTTCTTAACTATGCTTCTGTTATCAGAGAATAAGGAGCAGGGGATGTGATCAGCTGCAGACATGTACCTGCTTGCTCTGTGACAACTCTTTTGCTTCTGACATTTCCTCAGCTTACCCTGTCAGCTGCCAGCTACCCAGTGCCCATGGCCCCTGCACAGACTGGACAACTCGTTGGTACTTTGTGCACGATGTTGGAAAATGCAATCGATTCTGGTACGGAGGCTGCCATGGCAATAAGAATAACTTTGCTACTGAAGAGGAGTGCATGAAGGGTTGCTCTGGATCAGCAGGAAGAAGTGACGTGAGGCATCATTCCCATGCTGCCTTTCCTAATGTCCACTCTGGTTCTCATCAGCGAGGTGCACAGGAATGGCACTCTGCAAGAGGAGTCGTCAGTCACAGCCATGGGGAAGAAGCTGCTCTTCCTGCTCAAGCTGGCTCAGAAACTCACTCGGCACGACATCACAGTGAGAGAAGCTGGGGAAGGACCCTGATTATTGATGCCCTTGGAGAGTCTCAGCAAGGGGCTGGCATGTTAGATGGTCAGCAGCAGGGTTCTCATCAATCAGCAGCTCATGGGGAAAGAAGGAAAGATCCAGCAAACCATCTGCATAGTCTGGGGGAAACTGGAATTTCTGAGAAGCGCCTGACTGTCAATGGTCAGAACATTCACCGTGAGCGTGAAGAGTGGAAGCGGCATTCTGGAGCAGAGGGGTCAATAGTGCATAGATTTGAGCATCAAGACCCATCACGCTCTTTCTTCCAGTACTCCCTGAACAGGTAAAATATTTGTACTAGCACATGTTTCTACTAAGGGGCAGTTTTCTCTAACATGAAAACTTTTGCTGTTTAATGTGGGGGATCAACCATGCAGGATCCATTGTCTTTGTATACATGTCTTGACAAGTAAGCATGTGCCATCCTGCCCTTCTGTGCAACCTTAGGATCTTGGGGAAAACTACTTTCTGTCTTTCAGAGTCACTCTGGATGGATCAGAGTCTTCTGCAGTAGAGGCAGGCCTGGGACAAAGCATTCGCCTTCTCTGCAAGGCAGGCAATTCCCATTTCTCCAGCGTTGTATGGCAGAAAGATGGGCAGCCACTGTCATCTGACAGGTAAACCTAACTCTTGGGTCCACCCTATTAATCTATACTCTCACAGAGTAATTGGAAGAGCAAAGAACATGGACTTAACTCTGACAGTTTAAAGAAAGCATAGTTTCTTTCTTATCATTAAGACTTGCAGCAAGATGTTACAGTGTGCTATGGTTTTGTTCTATCACTCTGATTTGTTTCCCCCATCTCTAGCTGTCAACCAGCATTTCTTGTCCACTGGGCATGCCCAGTCACTGGGATGTTTTAGAGGTCCCCTTTAGCATGTTTCCTAATTTTCTATACTTCTTCAAATCTTGGTATTACCCCATACCTGCTAATACCTTATGCATGGGTGGTGCTGTTAATTTGGTTATATGAGGTCTCATGCTTAGGGAATTGAGTCTGCTATAAGTATATAGGATTAGATCTACTTAATGGATCAGTTCACAAATTTTGCATCAAGAGAAGCAGAATCCTGTGACCTGATATGCATGTTATGCAACGTTTACATACATGTTTGCATCTTGCATTGTTCCCCAGACCCTTCCTCCAAGCTATTCTGCAAATCTCAGTCAGCAGTGCATCACATCCTTCATTATGACCTTGGCCACTCACTTTTAAACCAGTAAATAATCAGTCAAGTACTATTAACAAGTACTAGCTATTAACAGCCTAGGTGGTGCTTGATTATAGTCAGTCTCAATATTTAACAATGTTCTAATTTCCCCCACTGCAGGCATAGCTACCAGTCTGACAATTCCTTGGTGATCAGCCAGCTCAGAGCTGAGGATGCTGGCACCTACATGTGCATAATTTCAAACGGAAGAATTGAACGCAGGCAGATTGAACTGAGGATCAAAGGTTATTCTTTCTTTTTAAGACCTGAACTTATTTCTCAGTTTTTGGCAGTCAAAACAGGCATAAGGCAAAAGCCAACATGTAATGTTTTATTTCATATATTTAAGATAACAAATAGGCCGTGACGCATAAGCTGACTGCCGTCCATAGAAGGCAGTATTCTTCTTGTGAATTACTCCTCCAGTTTGTCCAGAGAGGCAGGACTTATGCAAATCAGAATCTTTGTCCCTGTCTGCAGGAGTGGCTGCCTTCCTCTTCCGGTTCTGCCCGACTCAAGACATCAGTCCTTCGGAGGAGCTCTGCTTTATCAGTGTTTTCCCTTTTTTTCCCACCTTTAGTGAGAGAGAGAAGGAACCGGGCCAGGCCACGTCCAAAGCCTGCCTCATAACCAGAATGTAGGCCCTGTATGTATTGTGGTGCCTAGGGGAGCCCAGATGGCCACCAAGAGGGCAACCTTAGAGCCTTGTACCATGTTGCACCTTTAATCTAGTATTGTCTACACCAATTGCCAGTGGCTCTCCAGGGTTTTGCACAGGGATCTTTCCTGGAGTTGCCAAGGATTAAACCTAAGACCTTGTCTTCCTTCTTTTATGCTCACCTTCTCTGCCCTTGCATAAGTAAAATGGCAGTTTATATATGTTTAGCAGTGGACAGTGGGCCTGCTGAGACTTATCCCTAAATTAGAAGTTTCATAGTATATTGTCAAGTACACTGCTACATATGAGTGAATGCAGAGTTTCTAGAAAGATGCCCTATTTCCAGCAGCCATGAGATTATTGCTAAGTATATTCAGCAGTAAGTCATCTGACCATTGCCAGCACCCTTGCTCTCCCCATTCCTACCCCTCTGATTTATTTAATCTTGTACAGTACCCTTGATCTTCCTCCTTGTCCTATTGTTAGCTTGACAGGCTACATCTGCCGTGGGCTTAGTGGCTCCTATGTTTCACAAGGCCTGGACATCAGAGTGCAAGAGGGCAGAACTTCAGAAAACTTACAGGCCATGGCCAGTGAGCAACACTGGTTAAATTTAACCGCCTGTAAGTTTTCTGAAGTTCTGACCATTGCCAGCACCCTTGCTCTCCCCATTCCTACCCCTCTGATTTATTTAATCTTGTACAGTACCCTTGATCTTCCTCCTTGTCCTATTGTTAGCTTGACAGGCTACATCTGCCGTGGGCTTAGTGGCTCCTATGTTTCACAAGGCCTGGACATCAGAGTGCAAGAGGGCAGAACTTCAGAAAACTTACAGGCCATGGCCAGTGAGCAACACTGGTTAAATTTAACCACATAAGCACTGCCTCAGGTTCCAGGGGTCACCAAGTAACCTATCATGGGTATAAAACTGATGAATGTTTTCAGAACCTTTTAAAGGAAACAGGAAGACAAATATTTCCTAGCTATGATGTGTGATAACCAAAGCTACCTCTCCACAAAGTATGACAAGTTAAGATGCAATCTTACTCAGCTTTCTTTCTCTGTCTGTCTCTAGAAACCCCTGGATCCGCTGCTACACAGGGAACAAGGCATCCACTTATTCATGGTCAGATTCACCAGCACAGAGTGCCTGATACAGGCATTAGTGGCAGGCAGTCACTTGCTTCTTCTGTCCATCCCAATATAATATACAGGTAAAGGTACCAGTGTTCAGTATCATTCCACTGTGGGCCGACAGGCTATTGCCCATGATCATCATGGTTTGTCACTCACAGTGTTTTGCTGTGTTGTGTGAACTCACTTTCTGTCTCCTCACTTAGACTTGCTAGGCAGCTCAGGAAGAAACACAAAATACCATTTTAAGTAACTGTTGATACTCACTTTTTTTTAACCATACACTGCCTTAAATACTTCTCTGTGTGTTCCTTGCAGTAGTCTTAAAAGAAAAAAAGTAGTTCTGGAAATAAAACTAAAACTGCAAGGGTGAAAAACTTTGCAAAACCAGGGCTCTTGATCCAAATAAGTGATTGTTTAAATTTTTATCTCTTGTTAACTATTGTATAGAGTTTTCCAATCAAACTCAGGAGTCTGTTTATAAATGAGCATGGAGGGTGGCAGGGAGCGGGGCGGGGGGGGGGAGAACTCATCAATAGTGTAGTGAGACAGGTGACACAATAGAAGGAAGAATCTTCCTTTAGTTCAGGGGTAGGCAACAAATAGCCCTCCAGGCGGTCTGTTTACAGATCCCATGTCCCCTAGACAGCATAGGCTGGCTGAGGGATCCTGAGAGATGTGGGCCAAAACATCTGGAGAGTTCCAGGTTGCCCCTCCTCCCCTGGACTTTATCATGCTGCTCCCATCAATGATGGCGAATGCTTACTTGGCATCCCTTGGTTAGATCCCTCCAGGATCATCCTGAGCCAATTGGGCTGAGGCATGGCAGCAGTGCTGCAAGCCACCACCCTTTCTTCCCAACCCAGAGCAGCGTGAGAGCTCTGGGGCAGCTAGTCTGGCTGCTTTCACTCCCAGCTCCATCAGCCGCCTCCACCTGGCCTTTCTTAGCCAGCTGCTAGCCTTAGCAGGACAGGAGAGCATGGAGGAATGTTGTCCATGGGGTAGTGATGGGTCGGACACGACTTCACTAAACAACAACAAATTTGAGACTTGTGCACATGCAGCACGCACAGGAAACTTGGGAGGGGAAGGAGGTCAGTTGACCCTGCCATACTGTTAAGCATTGCGATTCTTTACTCTTGGTTCCTGTGCGGGAACCTCCTACTCTGTTGTGTGTGGATTGAGTGGCTAATGGAGGTTCCCAAGCAGCTAGACAGCAGAACAGTGATGTTTTGTTGGAATTCCTCCATCTGTTACAGGAAGCCCCATGCAGAGCCAGCTGCAAGGACACCACTCCAGAGAACATTCTGTTACACAACATTCTCGTGGCTAGAAGCGCTCTCTAGGCTGGCAGCCAAGGGAACACTTTGAAAAGCTGTTTGTATAAGCCTGCACTTTGTAAAGTGTTAAGAGAGAAGCCGCTCACTGGCTGCAGTGGAGCTTCTGCATTAATCCATTTGTACCCAGATCAAAATGAGAAGCCTCAGAGGGCTGCGGGCAGGCATTGCACAGGTGTTCATCTCAGAAGTCAAGAGGAAGGGGGGTTTGGTTATAGGATCCAGATGTGAAAAGCAGAACTGGAATTCTGCTGCTGAACAGAGCTGCTTTGCAGGTTAAAGATGTATAAGAACGAACCTACAGTGGTTGATGCCAACATTGGAGAGCGAGTCCGGTTGCCTTGCCGCGTAGAGGCTTCACCTTCTTTAACCATTGAGTGGCAGAAGGATGGACAGCCCATCTCCTCTCCCAGGTAAGTTGCAACTAAAACACACTTCCATCCTTTGCTATCTACTCTGGGTATGCACAAAGTAATTTTTCCTACTTGTAACAATAGGGTGATGTAACTGTGGACATTTTTGTTGTTGTTTTAAAAATTCTCTAACTCTGCTTTTCTTTTTGTGTCCCAAAGCGTGCTCTCCCGTGTGAACCACATCTGTACATTTTCATTCCTCTGTTAACCCTTTTTTCAGTTTCCCTATACCCAGGTTTCTTTCCATCTCCATTTCTTACTGCCTGCATGTAAGGCTTAGCATGCTTGCAGTTACCTTTCAGTTTCCTTCCCCACAGGTCTCACTAGAACACCATTTCTGTGCTATATGCTATTTTATCTCTTCTTGTAGCTGCTTTAATTGTACTATTGTAAGTCTCTGCATTTCCAACTCTATTATTCCTGTTTTTCTGTTCCAGTTCCCAGGTTCCGCTATACTTGTCAACCGCACCCCCAAACACACACATACATTCCCCCTCCATTTTCTCTTCAAACTATCTGCTCTGTTTTTGCTTTCACCTCTGGGCATAACTAAAAGTACACCCGGCTTTTTACCCTCCCAGCAAATCATACTGGAGTGAAGGAGTTTCAGATAAAGGTGGGTTATATAGCATAGCTCCAAATCCACTATGCCTTTCTGAATTCATTTTATTTACAAAATTTATATTCTACTTCATATTCTAGTATGCAAATTGCAGAGTGGTGAACAATAACTGATAAAACTGTTTAAAAAGCAGTATAACAAACATAGAAAACTGTAACTGGTTTTGCTCAGGCACTCAGCGAGCTGGAGCAGTGGAGACATAGCAGTGCCGTTCTTTTCTCCACCTCCATTTTCCATGGTTACAAACACCAGAGCACCAACAAATGCTACCACAAAGATACTAAAAGAGCTGTTAAAAGACAGAGAGTACTATAAGCATCTTGTGACTGCCTCAGAAGATCTGTAGGTCTGATCCACCTACACACACACACACACACACACACGTGCGAGCGCCCCAACAGGAAACCACCTGTTTTTTTAGTAACTTATTCCTTGTTCCAGTTTATTCTGTCAGTTGCTAACTTCACTAGAATGGTGTGACAAACTGGTTGACAGCCAACAACCAAGGATTAACAATTCATTATTACACAGTAATTGACAGGAAAGCACATTATGCTTTTAAGCTGAGGGAAATGAGAGGGGCATGAGTAAGGTGCTAGGCATTCAAAGGATGAGCACAGAGAGAGGTGCATTTCCAGCAGCCAGTCAGGGCTGTTTCCATAATCCTCAAAGGGCTGTAAATAATTCACATAGGTATGTGTGAGCTAATTTCACATGTGCATGTGCGAGATTTGGTTGCATGTTAATCACATTCAGAATACTTTTTGAGCAGTTTATTACCAGTACAGACCCTTATCAACAATGGTTTTCCGTATTTTCTTCTAAAACTCTGGTACTTTCTCTTTCTGTCTTCTAGGCACAGGCAGCAGTCTGACGGCGCCCTGGTGATCAGCAGACTTGCAGCTGAAGATGCTGGATTCTTTACCTGCATTGCATCTAATGGCCAGGACCAGGATCAGAGAAGAATCCGGATCAGACCTAGAGGTGCCCAGTGCAAGAGGACGGGGAGAGCTTTACCTTGCTTTCTAATAAGGGAATGCATATACATTTGTGTGGCAGGGAAATGAAAGAGACACTACATTTTTTTTCTTCTGATTCAATGGCAGTTGTGGAGATCAGGTTCATACCTACAACAGATGTGGAGTAGGAACTATTTGTGTGAGCAGATCCCTGCACTTTGGGCAGTTGCAACTGACAATGGCACAACTACAGTAAAATGGGCAATACAGTGCTGCAGTTTTTAAAAAAACTGCTAAAAATGAGCCACATGCACACAGCTCAGCCCCCTTGTGGTTGTAGTTCAAGCAGCTGCCTACTTGAATGGCTACTTCTGTGAATTGGCTCAACTCATCTTAATTAGCAGCATCACCAAGTATCACCACATTTGAGACCACAGGTATGGCTATAATAGAAAACAACCTGTCAAAATATTTAGCCTCCCATTAGTTATCAGTCTGCAGGGAGAGTGGGAACAAGACCACTTTGCACCTTAAAGGCACAGGCTTTTCATGTGGTGGACAGTTAAGCTGTATTTTTCAGAGGGACCTCCTTGGATCAAGAGAAGAGAGTGGCTCCAGAAAGAGCTGCTATTGACCCAATGAACCATGTGAATTTCTCATGCAAGGCATTCATATTTTTCCTGCTAGAGGGCTAAGGAAAAAGAGGCTCCCGACTGAGGATTCCTGGTTACATCATAATGTTCTTGAACAAAGATGCCATTGTGGAAAGCAGTGTTGTGATTCGTTTCCCACACTTTATAGTAGGCTAGCGTCCAGCTACAGGCCAAGTTTACACAAGCGGCAGGGCTTTGGGTTGTTACGGTGAAGGCTGTGTATTCCAAGCAGCATTCCAACATGCTTTGCAGAATGTTCCTGGGATTGACAACCCCCCTTTTCCTTCTCAGGAGAATTGAGAATCAGCGATCTGCCACCTAACCTGTCTGTTTCGGAGGGGGAGACTGCTCATCTCCGGTGTGTTGTGAGAGGCAATAATGTCAACGTAAGATGGTCAAGGTAAAAAAAGTGCACTGTGCTTTTACTCTGCGCTCTGCCACACTAGAGGCAGTCAACATGCAACTGAACGACGATCTGAAAGGGGTGGTTTAACTTGGAGTCCTGCACTGAACAGGGGGCTGGATCTGATGGCCGTCTGGGCTCTTCCAGCTCTATTGTCTTCCTTTCCCTCCTTTGGCACCAGTGAGACTTTAGGCAATTGTCAAGCAAAAACTTGCACTGCTAGAGCACTGGTGAATTCAGGTTTGCTGTATTCTGAAAGACTTAAGAAAGTTCCTTAGAAAGCTGTATTAACGTGGGCTTGTTAAAATAATTTGCCTTTCTATCTTCATTTCTTTCTGCTCAAAGTATGGACTGTAGTCGATAAAAGATAACTCCTTTTCAAAGTGCATGACAACGAAGTAGCTCATTTCTACTTAGGAATGGTGTTCCAGTGAGAGCAGATGGCAGTCGTGTCCAGATGTCTCAAGATGGAAGCCTGCTTATAAACAATGTGCAGACTGGTGACGAGGGATCCTACACCTGCAATGCCTACAGTGGCAGCAATTCTGTCAGTGCTAGTACTCACGTGCAAGTTCTCAAGAAGATGCCAGAAGGTAGGTGTGCACTGCGGTCCTGCTGATATTTTTGTTGTATGCCATTTCTACAATTTTTATGTTTCTCAAATTGTGGTTTTCATACAGAATAAATTTGCTCCAGATATAACGTTTAAAATGTACTTAATTCTATATACCCACAATGCTAACTTCAGCTGTAAATTTATTTTGTGAAATTATAGGTTCCAGTGTCCTCTAACCTCTGCCTTTTTCCTTCTCTTCCAGTGCATGCACCCTTCCCCGTGGACACAGGCAGGGAATGTGTTGACCAACCACACCTTGCCAACTGCGACCTTATTGTACAGGCCCAGCTCTGCAGTAACGAATATTACTCCAGCTTCTGCTGTGCCAGTTGTTCTCGCCATCATGGCTGAGGCTCATGCTACCTCCGACACCTGTGATCCTGCTCCAGATAAAAGACTTGTTTTACCTACAGTGGTGATTTCTCAAGGCGCAATTTCAGATTTGTTTACTCAAGCATATACACTGGGAAGTCAGTATGGCCAATATAACAGCCAGAACAGTCAGCAGTAGTCAAGTTTCCGCCCTCATCATGTTTCTGTAGCCAAGAGAATGAGCTAATTCTCCAACTGCTGGCTAACCCACAGATGGAAGGAAACACCAAGTTATTGTTTCTCTAACAAAGCATTATGAACAAGCGAGACCAGTGCCTCAAGTCAGATCAATGATAATGAGCAATACTCACCTTTAAACTACATACAAAAATAGATGAAAACTCAGTCATTTGCAAAAGAAACTGCTGACCACAGTTCTGTAAAAACTCACATGCTGACCTTGAATCTACTCTCTCTGTGATTATCTCAAGTGTCCTATGTTCACTCAGTGCTTTTCAGCTTTCCAAGACTTACAAGCAGACAAGTGGATTTGTTTCACAACAGATGCTTTCAATTACAAATGAAGATGTCTTGGCCATATGTAAACACTGTTTAAAATTAGGTGAAACTGCAAGGGACTTAAAAAGCTGCTGAACACTGTTGTAATAATGTGGGTGGAGTCCTGCACATCAGATATCTGTAAGGCTATGGGGACGAGGCTCATTGAACTCAGTGTGACTTGCTTCTAAGTAAATATGCTTAGAAGTACACAAGTTCAATTGAGTTAAATCAGAGTTAAATAAGCATAGGCAGTTCCCCGGTTATGAACAAGTTCAGTACCTGAGAAAATTGAAATGTGTTTAAGTTAAATTTGTATGTAAGTCAGATCATGTATAGTCAGTCAGTGGAGAACTTGTGAATTTCTCTAGCCCCCGCCCCCGCTTCCCAACTCACCTTGCGGGAGAGATTTCCCTCTCTGGACAGACAAGGCTAGAAGGCATGTTTCGGAGGCCTTCCATTTCTCCCCTTTCACTTCCTCTCTATGGTGAAGACAATTTTCCACAGTAATTTTTTTTTTAAAAAATAGGCTTTATGGCAGTTTGTTCATTAAGTAGGGGTTGCTTGTAACTTGGACCTTCATAAGCTGGGGACTGCCTATGTAAGACTGAAGTCTAAAACTGTGTTGTGCGGGGGGGGGGGGGGAACGGTCTTTCCTCCACATGAGTACCAGCATGCTTGGTTACTAGGCTATTGGTGCTTCAAAATATTGCCCTGCCTCTTTCTGCTCAGCTTAATTACTGCCAGATAGAGGTAATATATAGCATCTAAGAGGACTACTAATGCTAAAAAATATTGGTTTGAGTAATGGTAGTCAACTGTACTAACCTACTACAAAGCAGTCAATTTTATTAACCTATAATTCAATGCTGTTGGGTGGGGTTCCAAACCAAGTGCAGAAGGAAAAATGGTCAGACACTGGCTGAATTCACACATGTCAAACAACTCTGTGCTATTTCTATGGCATATGGATTTTAACCTGAACTTACCAGTCCAATGATCATGTGGTTACCCAGGCAGTGCCATTTCTGTGCTGCCCACTGTCTTCCCATCCTCACCATGCAACTTGGCAGCCCCCAAGGGAAAGCCATGTCCTTTCCATATGCTTGCAACTGAGTATACCTGCATGTCTGCAATGCATCCCAGTCACTCCAGCCCCCACAGAAATGTTTTTGAAATGAAAATAAACAGTTTTGCCATGATTCCTTCCTTCTTCCACTGTATATTTTCACATTCTCTCTCTGTTTACTTTTGGAAACAGCCACATCCCTCATCTAATAAGAATAAAGTAAGAAATGATGTGCCTTTTGCTAGGCAATAGAGATAAATAGAAGTGGCTTATGCAGATTCTTTTGCCAGGGGACTCTGTATTGTTTCTGCATCAGTAATGGCAATATGGCAAGCCCAGTTCTGGATGACCAGAGAAGCTGCAGTGGAAACCTTAGAACAGAATATTAATTCTCTCGACATTTTCACAAAATTAATCCTACCAAGCAGGAACTCTGGAACTGGGTCCAGACAACACAACAAACTCACAATAGTTCAGGCGGTATCATGGTTTTTCATGTCCTTTAAACCTTCTTTTCATGTATCCCAATAATATTGGCTGACTTTCTTTAGTTCTTTAAGACACTACTCTGTAAAAGTTTTAAAAAGTCCACAGACTATGAATAAAGAATACAAAGTGTAGCTGTTCATTACATCTCAGAAGAAGCTATCTCCTAAAATTAATGGACTTTCCTAGCTAAACTAGTAAGGAATTTTCTAGTAAAACTAGTAAGGACTTTTCAGTTAAACTAGCAAGGAATTTTATTGAACATACTTTATCCATCAACTTTTCCTTCAGCTTTTGCAACTAGAAGCACCAATTAGACTTAGTGCCCCAAGCCAAACTAATAAAGGCAAGGTTCCCTACACAATAGTCCTCTTTGCTGTTCTTCAAGGACATTTTTTCATTAATCTATTAATTTTGTAAATTGTGGGCAATGGTAAACAGGGCTGGGCACCTGCTGAGGGTTAATGACCTTGTTCACCTTCACCACTGCAACCTGTTGCTTATCCACCTCTTGTACTGGCCTAGGTATAAACAGTAGCTAGGAGAAGAGTAGATGCAACTGCTGCTTGTTCACAGGCTCACTCGCATTTAAACAAGCTAGAAGGTGAGGAACCAAAGCTGGTGACAATGGTGGTGCTAAGCCAGACTCACTAAGAGAGGAGGCCCACTTATGTCCTGCCCAAAGTCTCTCAAGTACTTGAAGCTCACACAATATGCAAAGTAACAGTGACTTACAATGAAACAGGCCAGAAATAAATATTAAAATTATGCTTGTTGTGGCAGTCTGCATGAAAGGCTTCCAACTTAATGGTCCCCCTGCAATCTATACCAAAAATTAGAGGAAAAGGAAAGCAGCAGCCTTTCAGGTTGGGGTTACCCTTGATATGCTAATAACCTTTGCACAAAGACTGTCCTGCATGATGTGAAGAGTCTGTGGGAGTATACCAAATGATGAATGCGATGGGACGGCATACAAATACTCTGAATGAATGAATGAACAAACAGCTGTCATCTTGGAGCCTCTCCTTAACCACCCTGAATAGGCCAACAAATGCCTTGTTTCCTTTTATTCCACACTTTTACAGCAAATGCACCAGCCTACAGAAGCCCATCATCTGCACCAGGGTCTTACAAGTTATATGAATATACACAGGTTTAGGATCACTATATTAAACTGTGACCAAATGCAACTGCACCCTGAACTAGCTACCTTTATGTAAGCAGGCTTTAAGATCCCATCCAGAAAGCTATTTTGCACATTATAAACATGAGAGGCATATTCTCCTAAGAAGCTGCCTGATGTGACAAAAATGTTCATACCAGATTACCTGTAAAAACATGCAGTGCAGGAAGATTTCTGTAAATAAGTATTCACACATTAGACTGAGCATTCTCAGATTGTAGGTATACCGAGATCTAATCCTATTTATATGCACAGAGACCATATCTACAATACAGTAATATGCAGGAATGATTTGCAGCAAAACTAATGAAGCAGATCCAAGTTCCTAGTGTAATGTTTTTAATACTGCAGCATTTAGCACAACAACTGAAACTTTCCACTGAACCCTTGTTTTGCATGGCAGACAGATTATACAAGTACTTTCTCCTTCCAAAATACAAAGACAGCTCATTTCAGGAACACTGGAATTGGTAGCATACAGTAAGTTACACCAGTTTTAGGCATGTCATACTAGTCCAGGATTTTCAGAGATCTTTTAAAGATACACCTGATTGTGACTGGTAGCTTTCTCTAGCAGAGACCGCTGATTTTTTAAAACCATTTCATTGACCAGTAAAGGAAAGTGACAGAAGGTGCACTGGAGTTTTATCCCAGGTGACAGGGTTCATGTACAGCCTTTGTCCTCGGCTTCATCTGACTAGCTAATAGGAGCATAGTCACTTAAACTCTTGAGGGGAAAATAATCAGCATTTACTGGACCACTTCAGAACTCCAGTTAAAGCAAGGTTAATTTGTGCTTCCAGAAGACACAAGTGTTCCTAGTTTAAGTTATCTTACAAAAATAGAAATGGCAACACACATCTACACTAATTTTGGTAGGCCAGGTATTTATCAGCTGAACCCCAGTTTGAAGAGTAGAAGATGTAGGAAAAGTACAAGGAAGCCTGCTGAGAAAGCTGTATCATCTATTACCAACATTTATTTCTGTTAAAGCAGATTATAAATCATCAGTACAAATATATAACTTACATTTGCTTGTAAGGCCAAGTTTTAAGTGTAAAATTAAAAATGAGATGGATTTCATGATCTGCCGGGGAAGAACATGGAATAGCTGCAGTCTAGCCACAAGCTTTCACACTGAACAATGGCGGGAGGGAGCTTTATTTAAAAAAACAAAACAAAACTCTAAAATCTATTCAATGCACATAAAATGGATTCCCAAATAAACCTGATTGTAGATATGATAACAGTTAAGTTGTCACAGTAGTATTAAAACAGATTTAAGACAAGGAAGCTGCAGGAGTACATGAAATAACCTATAGGTACTCTAATATAATCTAGTTTGATTTCCTTTAAAAAAGATTTTTTTCCCAAACCAAGACAATACTGCTCTTAAACTACTCTATAGTGATTCTTTTTTATTGGTCATGATTCATGATTGTAGTTGCAATATGCTACTTACAATGAACATACAAGAACAAGCCAGGAACTCTGCTCCTCACCCTACTCCCATATTACTGATAATCAAAATCAGTGATAAATCAATCTTATGTACAATTTTACATCCAACCCCCCTCCTTTATAACTTTGGCAAGATTACTTACAACTCAACCGCTTTTAATATCTAGAACTATTTAAAATAATCTAAAATGCATAAAAATAAAGATTTTGGCTTTATTTTATATATAATAATCACTGTGTTACTCAAAATGGAAGCTCATCCTTTTCCACTGACAGCATACACCGAGCAGCTTTCATGCTCTCCCCTTCAGCCCATTCATCACTGTGCCTCTATTCTTGCTACTCCTCTCTTCCCCTCAGGGAAATAGGTCACCCACAGGAAGGTAGATACACTCTAGAAGAGATAGTGGTGAGTCATTTGCTTTTCATCTTATGAGGTCTTCTGAAGTTCTTGTAGAGATAGGGCTTCAGGGCTCAGTTCCCATCTTCAGCCCTTCTGAGGTTTCCTTTATCATTCAGCTTCCCAAGCAGGAAAGCCAGTGGTGCAGGTACATTTCCTGGATTATTTCCCAGTTGTTTCATGGCCAGGAACGGAAGCCACTCCCCCTCTTCCTGATTGTTCCCTCCCTGTATGCCCACTCAGATGTCAAGGGACATTGGCAACTAGAGAATGCTGCTTGGAAATCCCTGCTGTATCCCCTTATGTCCAAGCTCAACACACATACACATAGACAAAGTATGAGCCACAGGGCTGCTCAGAGTTCAATCTCAAAGGTCTTCTGCAACTCACTCGAGAAAGGATTAGTTGGAGATGGGTTGGTGCGCTGCTTCGATTTGCTTTCCAGTGCTGCCCACTGTGCTTCAAAGGGATCAACCTGCTGAGCAGCTGCAGGCGGCAGTACATGCTTGTCCTCTGCAGGCCATTTGGCTGGGTCCACACCATTGAAAGCAGCTGAGCCATTGAGCTGCTGGGCTGGAGGTTTAAAGAAAGGGCTGGCAGTAGCACTGTTACTTTCATACTGAGGAAAAGTCTGTTGCTTTATAAGACTGGGTGACTGATGAGAGTGGGAAACTTGAGTGTGACTTGCAGTGCCAAAGACATTAGCTACCATCTGGGAAGGGGTGATCCCAACCACTGGTACGCTGGGAGCTGAGTAGGGCATTCCATTTGCTACAGCGTACTGTTGAGCTGGGATAAAAGTCGGTTGCATGGGCTGCACCACACCAACAGGCACAGGCTGAGGTGCAATAAAGGTGTTTGCTGGGAAAGCTGCTGCTGCCTGAGAAACTCCAGCAGCAGGCTGGAGAAGCGGCTGGGGGGCTGGAGGCTGCGGCTGTGGTTGTGGTTGTTGTGACCGGATTGTTTTGGATACCTCTTCCAGCCAGCGGTCTGCTTCCGAGGGAGTACGTCTGTGGTTTGCCTGGAACATACTTGGTGAAGCAGCTCCCGAGTTATCACTCCATTCAGCACCTGTGAGGGAAAGCCAACGTTGGCAAGGTGAATGGCAAGGTTTCTGATCACTGCTGCTTGAAAAGGGAGCTGAGGGAGGACCCTGAAACTGCTTTTAATCTTAACTGGGCTAGGGCAGTCAGCTTTGTCTCAGCAGTTGAGAAATGCATCCCTCTGCTGCAATTAATACAGCAGATTTTTAGAAATGAAGAAATGCAAATACAAATGTGCAGGGTATCTACAGCAATTATGCCTGAAGACAGATTTTAGAAGTGGGACTGGACAATATTAAGGAGAAATATGTATAGGCTCTTGGTTCCATCCTGTCTCCATTCATCATTTCCGGAAAGTTGAGTATTACCTACGAAAAATGTACTAGAGGAATGGACATGGTTGTCAACAGTTTGCACAAGGTTTTCAGGCACTGGGAGATTTAAGCATTCCAGTATGGAATCACAGAAACAATGAAGTACATTGTCCAAATAACATTACAAGAGTGTATATGTGAAACATTTGTACTATCCTCTACATGTATGCACTCAAAGAAACAGAACTATCAATCTGCAAAACAAAAAGCGATACTGTAGTTTGAAATTGTACTTACTGACAGTTTGTTGCTTTCCTTCCTTCAGTTCTAATCTTTGCTTACTCTCTCTATGCAAGTCAGTCTGTTAACCTCTCTCTAATTGGTCTGTAATGTTCAATACTTAACATTTCAGTTTATTTCTATTCATTTTTTTCATTTCGACTTAATCCATTTTTTTAATTCTGCCTCCCATGCACCCACCATCTTAGCTCTCAAAGCTAAACCCCAACCTCCTCACATCTTCCAAGTTTTCTGTGTGAAATGCTATGCTACTGTCTTATTTCCTACCATCCTCAAATTTGGTCTTGAGACTGCTGGCTCTTTTCTTCAACTAAGAAAAGCTATAGCCAAGTGGTAGAGCATGTATGCGTCAGGTAAAAAAATCCCAGGTTCAGTTCTTTGCCAGGGCTATGATATGTCTTAGCTTCAGACCTTGGAGGGCAGATGCTAATCTAGACAGAACTTTCACTAAAGAGATACTGTATGAGAGTAGCTGCGTACATTAATGTGGCACCACAGGGGTCTGGAAATTTGGTTTGGCCTAGTAGCTTGCCTTTGTGTGTGTGACTTGGCCTCTCCCTTTGCTCAAGTCCTCTGCATGGACCAGAGTAGTTCGAAAAGAGAGAAGTCTCATATCAGAGAAGCAGCACAAGTCTCTGCAATGTGGCGTGAGATACATTTTCAATTATCTTTTGAATCCAAGAACTCTGAATGAAATAAAAGCACATGTATGTCAGCCACGCACTGTGGGATATACTGATAGATATACAACAGTCCTGTCTGTCATATAATACATGGGGCTGTCTTCAGATCAGTGCATTTATCCTGCACATGAATTAGTGAATACACAAATAGCCCTCCTCCACAGTATGCACATTTTGGGAAAAAATTATTTATTTAAACATTTTGTATGTGACCCTTTACAGTGTCTCAGGGCAGTGATAGCATAAATAAATGTTATTAATATATGTGGAATCTGTATCTACATTTTTAAAAAACTACTTCTACTACTAGCACTTATAACTGGAACACTACTTGCTCCATCTGTTGCTTGATCACTAGACAAAGCTGAATGTAGATATATTACAATTACTGACAGATTTATGGTGCTGGGTGTTTACCTAAAGAATCAAGTGCTGATTTTCTGAAGGATCATATAGTAAACTTTTCAAAATAAAAAAATATCCTTGTTACTGAGGATATTTTTGTAATGAGTTCTTATACATTTTTATTGTAATGAGGTCTTATACATTTTCTCAACTCAACTATTTTTTTTCTTAATCACTGAAATAAAGCAAAACATTCCATCTCAAACACTCCTGCCCATCTACACATTTCTTCTATAACTGATTTCTTTGCTTTTCTATCACACAAGGTATGTTTAGGATATTAAAACCTAACTAAGAAAACCAGACCAAGGTTCCACTAATCCAGTACCACATGTTTTACCCTTCTAAAAGCGACACACAGGGATGATGTCCGGTCTTACCAGAAAGAGAGGCTGCAGCTCCAGTTTTAGCAGCAGCTGGAGCAACAGGGGCATGAGCCCAAGGATTGGTTTCACGAACTGGCATTGCTGTGGGTGTTACAGTACTTTGAGTTGATTTAGCAGCAAGCACACTGAAGGCAGAGGCAGTGCCATTAACTAAAATGGGAGCAGACAACATCAATGCTGTTAATTCATGCAAGGCATGCAGATGACTTGGGATGTTAAAATAAACGCATGATTTCTGCCAACATGCAACACATAGCAACAACTTGGTCACTCTTTCATCCTAGTAACCTACAGGGATTTTCCATAATGCATTTTATTCAGTATCTTAAAGTTTTAAGTTGACTCTTTTGAAAGATAGTTGGGTGGTATCTCACTACTGCTTTAGGAGAATCCTGATAAGTTGGCCTGCAAACTGATAAGCCACCAGGTAGTATTTCACTAATTTTATAAATATTTATTTAGGGTGAAAACTCCTAGAAGAGTTGTGAAATGTCTTAACATCTGAATTCAAGTTACACATCCACTATATATTAATATTTTATCTATTTTTTCCAAAGGTGTGCCATTTTACTTAAAATCTATGATTTCTATGATCAGTCATGAATTGAGCAGTTTGTATGAATTCTCATCTTTTCAGGACACTAACACACAAAAATGATGCAAACATATGAGTTAAAACAGAATGGCTTCAAAAGCAAAACAAGACAGCTGCAAGACAAAATAATGACACAAGAGGAAAGCAGCACTGCCAATGAATGAAGCATCACAAATATCTCCAAGCTCAGAGAGGACGCACCTTGAAAAGCAGGAGATTGTGGCGCAACCGTAGTGACTGGTTTTGTCATTGGGGCAGAAGTGAAAGGGTCCTCAGATGGTGTACTAAATGCATTCGTAATCTGGGAGCACAGGGCACTAATGCTATCCACTTCTCCTTCAATTTCAGGAACTGAAAATAAGAATATAGATTGGATAGATTACACAGACAATTTAATACAGAGGGCTCATCCTGTCCTTTCTCTGTGCACCCACATTTCTTTTTCTTTGGCTATGGAAGACTGCAACTAACATTCCATAAATCCATGGTGAAGACCTGAGAAAGAAAATTAAGAACTCAGAGAACCCTGTAGCCCTGCTACAGAGTATTCAAAAAATAGAACTAAAGATGCAGTTCCTTTTTTCTAATGTTATGTCATTTCTTGTCTCGTATCCATTATAACTGCTGTAACATAGCAAAGCTTTACAACTTTCACACATATTCCTCTGTGCAGACACATATGAGCTGCTATGCTTGAAACCATGAGGTCCATGACCCACTCCTACCCTTGAATTGGCTCCATATAGTTCAGACTGTAAATACTGGTAAAGACAGTTCAAAGGCCTTGAAGGTTAAATCAAGAACACTGAAGCAGAGCCAATAACTAGAAACATTGCATAAAGGAAAGCTGTTAGAATTTAAGTTCACAATAGAAGTATATGATCATGCGAAGCTGGTAGTAAAAGTGGTGCTTTATACTGAAATTTCAAGAGAGAAATGGGAAAGGGGCAAGTGAATTATGCCAGCAACATCTCTTTCCAGAGGCCCCCCTCAAATGCAAAGATCAAATGAGCTCAAAATGCATTAAACTGAACAAAATGTTTAATACAGGAGGAAATATCCTACCTGAGTTTTTCATGGGGAAGTCAGTCTTTCTTTGCACTGTTGAAGGCAACTCATTTATCCGCAGAGAGAGCTGGCGTTTAAATGGGGACATCTTCTGGCTAAGAGCTGGGAAACCTCTGAAGGAGCCTTGTCTAGCAAGTTGCTCTATAGGAGCATGTCTTCGTGGGATAGCATGAGGGTTATTTGACTCTTTGTCAACAGAAGTTACAGCTTCAGAAGTAGGAGAGGTTGGGGAACTTGGAGATGGGACTGAAGTGCCAGATACAACACTTGAAGTGGTTGTTTTCACATCTGTTTCAACTTTGAGAGAAAATAAAAGGATAAACGTTAGGGCAGCTATGTTACTTAAAGAATCTTTATGGCTAGTCAAACATTATTTTCAATCATGAACTATTCCATAATTTTACAGCACCTGATTTCCTGGTGCAAAATGCTAATACCTCTAAAAAGAACTCGCTTCCTTCAGTCACTGAATTATCATAATTCAGGCATACACAGTGATCAGTACAATTAACCAGCCATGTAACCTACCCAGGTTAGCTTAGCAAACATTCCAACCAACTCCATCTAAAAACTGTTACATGTTCAAACAACATTATTATTTTTTGGCATTCACTATTTTACATGCTAAATATTAATTTCCAGCTACAGTTGAATGGAAAATGCAGCATTAGTTAGCACTGAGGTTGAGAGGGCAAAAAGACACAGAATCCATGCCTATACTTATTATTGCTGTACAAATATGATATAAAGCAGGAATGCAATAGGTGGTTGGACTGTCCCATCAATGTGTTGCTGCCTTAGCATTTGCATCTGATGCATCTATGGTTCTCAGGTTCCATATTATTCAGCAAAAACCTTAATTTCATTTCTACCAGGTGTCACCACATCTCTAGTCTACTAATAATTGCAGGTGTATCACAGCGAATGTTTCTTTTTAAGTATATGTTTTGGCAAAGTCAAGTAATCCCCATTTTGAGAGAAGGTGATTTTGCACAGAAGCACATCTTAATATCTACTGATGAGGCTGTTGTTTTAAATTAACTGCCTGCTTCCTGGGACTTAATACTCACTCAACCCAAATGGATTCTCCACTATCTTCTGACAGCTGGAAGACTATTACTTTTGATAAAAAGGTAAAGGTTTCCCCGTGACATTTAAGTCCAGGCATGCCTGACTCTAGGGGGTAGTGCTCATCTCCGTTTCCATGGTCATGTGGCCAGCATGACTACACATGCTGTTACCTGCCCACCGAAGTGGTACCTTTCTATCTACTTGCATGTGCATGCTTTCCAACTGCGAGGCTGGCAGGAGCTGAGACGAAGCAACTGGAGCTCACTCCGTTGTGCGGATTCGAACTGTCGACCTTTTGATCAACCAGCCCAGCAGCTCAGCGGTTTAAACCACTGTGCCACCCGCATCCCAATACTTTTGATACTGGACAGTTAAATGCTCATCTCTATAATGCAATCGATTGAAAACTATACAACCCATTCAATATTTGAATGGGTGGCATATAAATGCCACCTGCAAATGGATATGTATTTGGATATTCAGTGTGCTTTTGTTAAACATTACGTACAATTCTTAGAAACTGGTATTTTTATTTTTATAAATAGATGTGCATGTGTGCACACATATGTGTGCTCTTCATACACATGCAATGAAAAGAATGTAGTCAAACCACTTAGCCATATTTTTCCATTACTCTCTTCAATCAAAATTTTATAATACAAAATGAGTTAAAATGGATCCAAACTAAAGACTTTTAACAGAAGTTAAAAGTTAGTGTATGATTAAGCATGCATTTTTGTAGTTTGTTTTACAGATTTAAGCCACCTCTGAGGTATCTATAAACTCTGAAAACTTAAGTCAAACAGAGTAGATTTCTAACCTCACAGATTGGTGGTTATACCAATTCCTGTTAAGCTTCATTTGAAGGAATACATTATCAGCAGGAATGGTTTCCTGGCTGTAACATTTAGAGAATGGAGTGTCAGGCTGAACTTTCCCTTCTGTTAGATTCATGCCAGCTTCACTGTTATAGCACAGTGAAGATTGCTACTTTACTTCAATTTAAAACAGGACACTTATGATTCATTTCTCTTCTCATCTCCACCACTGCTACATTGTTTCAAGATCACAATAAAGCAAAGCCCCTTTACACTCCAAGAAGCAGGCTTGGGTTGCATATTCCTTGGAATATGCACTTCCAGCCCTCTGAAGCTAGATGTTAAAAATTTTCTGTTTGGGCATTTTAGAGTAATTAAACTGTATCATACATCAATAAGCAATTTCTACACATTCATAAGAGCTGCAGCACCTCAATTTCTTAAAATAATGAAACTATGGTTTTCAAATAGCCAATTGGAATATTGATTTCTGCATTAACTGCTTTTCAGCCACGCATATTAATTCAATATCCTGAGTAACACAGGTACAATCCCTACAGAAGCAGTGGGAGGATGTATTCAGAGAGTATACAAAGAACTCGATGGTTTGCCTTCCAGTTTCCCTTCTTAATTTTTATAAATACCAGTGTGGTATAGTGGTTAGAGCTTGTTGGAGTAGGACTGGGAGGCCCAGGTATAAATGACCAAGTTAGCTATAAAGCTCACATGGTTTTGTAAGAGTAAAAAGAAGGGGAGAAATCAAGGACACTGAACTAAATTCTTTAAAGGAAAGATCTAAATATTTAAAAAAGATGCCATCCTTCTTGCAACGCAACAGTTCAGTAGCGGGTGAAGGAGGGAGTTGGTCACACATGGTGCTTCCTCATCTTGGAAGCAATGGGGTGGCAGCCAGCAGCCTCTCCTCCTGCTTCCTTTGGCTCAAGCGTTTCCCAGCTCGCATGGTTTTCAGCTACCTGGGGGCCATCGGACCTCTGGGCCTCCGGTTTTGCATCGGCCATGTGGAGGGCCTGCTGCCATAAAGTGAATTTCAGCTGGTCCGCCCCTGTCAGCACGTCTCTTTTTTGAATGCTTGACAGTGTGGGCAAGCCTCCACTACATGCCCCTTGCTGAGGCAGAGGAGGCATAGGGAGTGGATGCTGGCAGCCAGGAGGCAAGCAGCGCACGAGGCTCAACTACGGAACGCTGGGTCTGCGGCCATTTTTCCTCTCAGAAGACGAGAGGAGAGCAAGAATGGTGAGAAGAACGAAGGACAGGTGTCCCTCAGGCCGTGGCAGCAGCTGTGGGAAGACAGCAAGCATGCAGCAGGAGACAGCGAAAAATAAAAGTGGGGTGTGAAGTTGTATTTTTTTAAGAAAGCAGAGAGAATTTCATTAAATATATGTTTGGTTTTTTAATAGGAGGAATGAGAAAGGAAAGAAACAAGGAAACAAAGGACAAGAGGTAAAAGTTCAAACCGAGCAGGCGATGCTGCAAGGTGAGTGGTTGGAAAGAGCTCCCCTTCTCCCCCAAGGCCCCGGAAGGCGGGGAGGGCTCCTGCCCACTCCGTGACATTTAGCTTTGGAAGTTTCTCTCCAATGCAGGCCTTGTACTGCGTGGCAATGCCCACATGTACAATGCACAGAGAAAAAGTAGAACTAACTTGTTGGAGGAAAATTGAGGCCCAACTACTGTTCGTCAACCACTATATTAAAATAACTTCATCCTTAACAAATTAGGAATGTTATTAATGCTTTGTTCATAATGCACAGCAAGGAATTGTGCACATGAACACAAATTTCCATAAAGGCAATATAAAATTTGAAATTTGATTTATCACAGAAGGTTACCCATTTCATGAACTGGAAGAATAACAACAAAAAAGTATTAATAGAAACATAGAAACAGAGCGATTCAGAAGGGGCCTCCCGGGCCATCCAGTCTGACCTCCGGCACCAGCCGGCTCCGCTCACGACATGCCCACCATGTGGACATCCAGCCTATCCTTGAATACCTGCACGGATGGGGCCTCAACGACCTCTTGTGGAAGCCCATTCCATACCCTCGGGGTCCTAACTGTCAGGAAGTGCTTAATGCCTGCATACAATACTTGCTGAGGAGCTTGGGCTCAGGGAGGTCTTGGGCCCATTCTTTCTGAGGGATCCTATGGACAACTGGTCTGCCACCGTGTCTACAGAATACTGGATTAGATGTATCTTTAATCTGATCCAGCATGGCTTTGCTTATGTTCTTAGAATCAAGAAATTACTGAATGCAGAGAAAAACAGAAAAGTAGAATATTTTGGTCATGAAAAATAAATGAAAAAATGCAGACTGCTGCAGCTCATTATATAAGGTAAAATTAATGGGAAAAGAAGTGTAGGAAGAAAAAGGGGTTTTGGCTGAAAAACCTTAAATAGTGGCTTGGGAAAATATGGATCATTGCTTGAAGCAGCTATTTCTCAAGTATGTTTAGCCATGATGATGCACATCCTCCAGCAGAAGTGGCATAAGAAAATTCAGACTTGTTCCAGGATTATCCCAACTACAATATCAGGATGTTCTCCTTCAGTTTTGGCAAGTCCAAGTCAGGCATACAAAAGCAAGATATGGGGACAGTAACTCAATGGAGAGGAAATAAGACACTATCTCTTTCAGTCTAATGCACAGCAACTGTTAAACATTCATTTTACTATCCATTTCAGAGAAAAAGGGACTGCTAAGAATATTTTGGGTTCAAAAACTCAGGATGTCTAAATAGATATATACAGTCATGAATTCATATTTTATGATTGATTTCATAAAGTATCTTGAGAACAGTCTATCTGGGTGCATGTCCCCAAGATGTTTACTCATAGCAATATTGGGCAATGAGGAAAAAAAAATCCAAAATGACGAAAGAAGATATCACAGGATTGGCTGTAACCCTTATCTGTCTTCAGGTTTGGGTGAGACATACAATTTTCTGCATAAGGAGAGGGCATTTAAGCATGACAGTTTTTATATTAGCCACACAAAACAATACGGGAAAAATTCTAGAGTTTCAGTGGCATTGAATATATCTTCATGAGCATAAGAGAATTACCCATAATGCAGTAGAGCTCATCATCACACTGTTTTTAATATGGCAGATGAGTATAGAAAACCAGTATGTACTATGTTTGGTATTTTGCTGGTAAAATGGTAGTTTGAGGAAGTATGAATTCATGGCAAAAGAGCCCATATTCCAAGTGAGCCGACTTGTATTTCATTACCTTTTGTGTCTTGTAACTGTCTCATTACTTCTTCTCTTTCTGCTTGTTCAGTTGCTGTAGTAACTCTGAAAGATCCCTCTCTCGTGAATGTGGTTCTGCTAGCATCAAAGGTGGCAGTCACCCCGCACTCCTTCTCTCTCTTTTGCTTTCGTTCCAAACAGGCTGCAAACGCACAGCCAACTGCATGACTCAGCCTCTCCCCCTGAAGAGACAGTGTGTCAATCAGAAACAGAAATCAGAACCACGCATCTTCTCTAAGCACTGCTACACCTGAAATAAACATCCTTTCTGCATGCAAAATCTGACAAAGAATATTCAAAGGAAGTATTACAACCTGTCATAATAAACATATTATTAATCATTTGGTGGGAGAGAGATATTTGTTAGAAAAAGAGACTAAACATCTTCATAGTAGCTGAGTGTAGTGATATGCACTGTATAGATAGCTCATATTAGATTACTGATGCTATAAAATCCATACCACATATTCACTAAAAAAAATCATGTGTTTAACTGTATATAGGACTATTGCTACTACTGTAGAATGTTATTGTTCCAAGTTTCAAATAATAAAACTTTGTGAATGTACTACCCATACTGAGGAAAACAACACCAGAAGAAAGTTCTGGACAAGAAGTTTAGTATACGTCACCAAATGTGTATACTAAAATACCTTTTGAACCTGAAAAGTACTCCCCCAAACAACAAGAAGTACTTTTGGCTATTATCTTGCTTTCTGTGATCCTAAACACAACTCACCGTGTCCTTCACAGCCATAAAGCAATGGCATATCCAGCGCCGTGTCGTGCCATCCCGACAGATGTAAGAAAATGCCCTGTCAAAATTTCTATCTGGAGCACAGAAGGAAACTTTCTCTATTGTCTGATCAACTATAAGGTCCTAAAGAAAAAAAGATAAGATTATACAGTCAATTAAGGCAATAAGGCATATTAATATGATGTTGTCAATATTAAAGCTAATACTTCTATTAAGAAGCATGTAAATTTAAAGCATTCTTGAGAAGTTTCACTGATTTTAGTAGTCTGTCCAGTAGTCTGGACTACTGAAACACACTCTACATGGGGCTGCCCTTGAAAACAGTCTGGAAACTTCAACTGCTACAGAAATGTATTAAATCCAATTGCTGAAATTTCCTTACTCTTAAAGATATATTATTTCCACACCTGACCCTGGTATCCAACTTCCTCAAAAACATGGAGGATTGAGCTTGTAGAGGCACACCAATGTATTACTTGTAATGTTCCAAACAGCAACACTGAGGTGCTGCCCAGTGCCACATTACACATTACCAAAGGGCACAATCTGCTACAGACTATCCTTGTCCTTCAACAGGAAGAGTCAGCTGCAAAAATAAGCAGCTCATCTTTGGTTGGCATGGCTCACCCTCTGCCAATACTCTCAAGGATCACTATATTCAAACAGTGAATGGATTCCACTGCGATCTTTGTACCTACCAATGAACTAGGAAGAAGCATGGGTTGAACTGACTGTTGCACAAAAGGGAACCCCTGCATAAAGCAGGCCATTTGAAATAATCTCATGCACACTACTTTTTAAATCTCAGAGCAGGAGTTGACTCACTTGGATATTCAAAAAGATAAATACAGTTAAAGAAGCATATACCTTGGGGATAAGAAATAGTTTATGAGCAGGAACTACAAATTAAGATTTATGTTCCATTTCTATAAAGCACTAGAAGTATTTTCAAGCCTGAGGTCAAAACTATGACTGTGAAATTTCTTGGTTCTCAGGGCCTTAAGAGATGAATCACCCTTTAATATTTTAAATTGGGGTAGTCTATTTGGCACCCTCCAGATGTTTTGGACTACAATTGCCACAATCTCAGATCATTTACTAAGTTGGCTAAAGTTAGTCCAAAACATCTGGAAAGTGCCAGTGCTAAATCGTTTACCATGGCATTCTCACAAGATGAAGTAAAGAGACTCAGATCAATAACATATTTCTAAAGCTTTTTTACAAGGACAGAAACAGCATCCAGGTCATGTATTTGGCTTTCTTTACTACTTCTTTGAATGAACAAACACACCATTGTTCACTTAGAATATGTGACACTAGAAAAAGTCAAAGTAAAATTAAAAAAATGAAGTGAGCCATAAATAATAACCATCCTTGATTAATTTAATAAGGCATACATGTACTTATTAAATGAATATAACATCCTGCACTGGAAGCAGCAGAGAGAACAATGGGATTTCACATTGAATACTTAGTTTAATCAAGGCTGGTTCCAAACATGGCAGCAGCTAACCTTTGTTTTTTCATCAACAACTCTAAGTCCATCTGCTGAAACCCACAGGACTGCTTTAACCGCTTTCTTTCCGCTCTTGCAGGGAAGGAAAAAGAGAAACATTATTACTGCTGTGCTGTCAATCAGGCTAGCTGCCAGCTTCCTCCTTCCAAAAGCGAGTGTGTAGATGATATCCAACTTCAGTAAGAGTGCCCAAAGCCAGATATTCATACCAAACAAAACCTCCAGAGAATCAAGCTGAAGCCAGTCTTTCAAGAACATAGTACAAAAGGAAGGGGAAAAGAACAGAATGAGTCAAGTAGGTCAATAAATTCATGTAAAGGCAAAGAATTCTAGCTTAAATTCTTTACCTATTAAAATACAAAATAAACTGTCAGTTAATGCTGATGCTTAAGGAGTTACACCACAAGTAGCTTTTGTTGCAAGTTTTAGCAATGAGTGCTCTTGTTCTGACTTCCCAGCACCCTATTTTGCTCTAGCATTCATGCAGCACCACCATCAATTATGGCACTGATTTTAATTTCCAATAGTTTGTTTCCCTGCTTCATGTCAAGCATTAATATTAAATGATTTACTTTAAAGTTACTGGCTACACAAAATATCCTTGTTGGTCTAAGTATGTTTCCACTAGTGTACAGCCACAAGGCATTGTGAGGGTGGTGGGCCAAAAAGGGAAAACAAAATACTTCTCTCTGCCACCCAATACCCCACCTTACTCTTCAATATATCCTTCCCTTTGTCTCCCCAATTCTGCCCCTTCCTGTCCCCTTAAGAGAGATGCATACGCAGATAAAGACACCCCCCCAAACCATAGAGCAGAAAACAGGTTTGTGTTGGAGGAAGTGCATAGTGGTAAAACGTAAAGCTGAATCTTCAAGCGAGTTCATGGGATTGCTTGTTGGCTGAAGCAAGTTAGTCGGTGCTTATTTCGACCAACAGAATTCCTACCACTGCCCCATGCAACACCTCCCAGGGCTGTTCCCTTCTACTGGGGAATCCTTTGAAGCTGGAGGAAAGCAAGCATGTGCCAGAGTCCTCACCCTGGAGAGCTTGGTGGAGAAATGACAGACCCACTTCCCATCCCATTATTTTGAGAAACAAAAGTCTCTGCCGAGTTCCTCTTATTTGTTAGCTTTCATTTCTGCACACTGCCTCAGAGAGGGGCAAATTGATTAAAAGTTCATAGATTTGTGATTGCTTTTAGAAGCAAACTTTGCATATGTGTTAAGTTATGCATGACTAAACTCAACCTCTCTCTCTCTCTCCCCCCGCCCCCAGAATGCCAAAAATATCAAATTTGTATTTGCTAATTTTATGCTAGCAAGTATTTAAAAGTTTAAGTGTGTGAACGAGAGCCACAAAAAGTTTGCAAGGAGTTAAACAGGATTTTGACATTTTTGGAAGCCCTGCCTGATTCAAGTGTTACCTCCCTTTGGTTCATGAAAGCTGGGCTTTACAGTAACACGAGCAGCTTACATCATAGAATTCTCTGCACTGGGGACATCAGCAGACATCTAAAGAATTGCTACTATGAGAGAGAGGCTACACCACTTCCTTCTTCTGCAGTTACGCCTGTGCAAACACAAGGACCCTATTGTCTGGGGCACAGGACAGAGGCAATCCATGTCACAAATGATGGACCATGTTAGTTTATTATATTTTCTGCATAGTATTTTAAAAGTAAAACAGGATAACCCCCTTGGGGGAGCACAATACATGCCATGAAATTTCAATATGTACAAATCCAGTAACTTACATTTACAGTACGTTTGAGTCAATCAGTTGTGTCATGTTTCCCCAAAGTTCTTCACACAGTTTGGTTTCATGTCAAGGGTCTTTTCTAGGCATCTATCATCAAGGCTGTGCTTCTCCTGCCTGGGCACAGGTTTCCTACATTTATATCCCACCTTTCTTTCAAGCAACTTGAAGTGGCATTTATCTGTCCTCCTCCCCATTTATTCTCAGAGCAATCCAATCTGTATGATCAGGCTGAGAGGCAATAACGAACCCAGTGAATGGGAATCTGAACACATCCTTTTGTCGAGAGGAAGCCATTTTCCCTTACCTAGTGCAGTGCCATTAAGTACAATTGTGAATCCTGAATGCAATTACAAGCAAGATGTCATATTCACGCCATAATCCCCCAGCACCACCTTCTGGAATCAGTCAGCCAGGTAGAAGTAGAACTACTGCAAAGCAGTGCCTCCAATCCCCAACCCAGCCAGCCTATCCATAAGGATAGCATGGTTGATGGTACTGAAAGCTGCTGAGAGGTCCAGGAGAACCAAGAGGAATGTACTCCCCCTGTCCCTTTCCCAGCCCAGGTCATCATACATGGTGACCAAGGCAGTTTCTGCCCAAAAACCAGGCCTGAAACCAGACTGGAATGGGTCCAGATGGCCAGTTTTCTCCAGGAGAGCTTGGAGTTGTCTGGCCACCACCCACTCGCGCACCTTGCCTATGAATGGGACGTTGGGGGTGATCTCTGTGTCTAGGTTTGCCCTCTTCAGGATGGTTCTGATCACCGCCTCCTTTAGGGAAGCCAGAATCCAACCCTCCCTCAGAGAGGTGTTGACAACTCCTGGACCTAGCTATGCATCCCGTTCTTGGCTTTGCTGAGCAGCCACGAAGGGCAAGTGTCAAGTAAACAAGTGGCAGGACAGGCTTGTCCAAGCACCTTGTCCACATCCTCAGGCTGCAACAATTGAAATCTATACAACCAAGGTGGACCAGACTGTGCTCTGGAAACCTCCCGTTCAAGGACCACATTAACTGTGGAGTCGAATTTGTGATGAATCTGAGCGAATTTATCCCTGCATAGACTCAGCATTTAATTTCCCTCCATGCCTGCAATTCCAAAATTCATAAAATGTATTTACTTGTGAAGCTCTACCACTAAGACAAAAGGCATCTTAATGCTAGGTGTGCACCTGCTATGCCTGAAGCCCTAATATAAGTGTACATTTAATACTTCAAACAAGATGTAGATGTTTATCAGTAACATAAAATACAGATTATTCCACATGTACACAATTTTACCTTTTTAAAAAAATCTGAGTATTTAGTAGTGGCCTGATGGAGCCAAAAAGACTTTCCCCTTTTCCACAAGACATGAAATTCAAGCCAAACCTGAAATACTAGATGGCCCACATGTATGGCATACTGACTAAAATAGCAAGGTAAGAATCAAGAGCTCCTCACTTCAAATTTCATTTCTGCCATAAACTCTTTAAAGTGGCACTAGGCAAGCCACTCTCTCAGCCCCACAATAATTATGCGAAGTATTTCCAATATTTGAAAGTGCTATCTACTTGCTACTGCTAAATTAAAATATTCTGTATCAAAAAGGTTCAAGAAATGGTACTGAGTTCACTATAAAGGTCTATCAGCCATGATGGGTGAAGAGAGAAGCCATGCATAACAGAATTGCCTGCTTTCTCAAGCAGTATGCATCAAGTAACTTTGCTTCAGAGAAAATGGCTTCCTCAGTTTATATATGCAAAAGCAACACTTTAACAGGCTATTCCTTACTACCTCTAGGCAGAAAAGAGAATAGTGTTCAGACCCTTACAATGACTTTGCCATGAAACTGTGTGCACAGAACAACATTAACAGTTGGATTTCGGTACAAGTGCAACACACCCACACACGCAATTAAATAATACTATTCACCAGTTTATCCCTGCTTTGGGGTATCCTAATGACTCCCAAGATGACACACTTAGTACCTAGCACCACCAACTGAGGTAGTTTGTTCTACTATCAAACTGATTGTATCATTAGGATGTCCTTTTTAACATTGAGTTAAAATATTTTCTTTGCAATTTGAGCACACCCATTTTTGAGCTCTACATTACCAAGCAAGAGAAAACAAAATTGTTCCATCTACAATACCTTGCAAAGCATTCCCTTTGCCTTTATTTACTTTATTGTGTTACAATAAACACTTTATTGTGTTACAACCTGGAACTGAAATTGGTTTAATTGGCACCTGATGTGCACAAAACACTCAACACTGTGAAGATGTGGCACAAAAACAAACCAGTGCTTGTTGGTAGCATAAGTGTTCACCCCATGTAGTGGTTTTGAGTGTGGATCTAGGACTCAGATGGATCTAGTCCCAGTTCAGTCATGGTACTAACCGCGTAACACCAGGCCAGTCACAAACTCTCAGCCCAACCTATCTCACAACCTGTTCCAGCTCTGTCTGGCTGGACAGGGACCTTTGCGTAAACAACTCCTCTCAAGTTCTATCACAGATTCTCAATCAGATTAAAGTTTGGGATTTGACTTGGCTGCTCTAAGACATTCAGGTTCTTAGAATGCTACTGTTACTTTGACTGTGTGTTTAGGGTCACTGTCTTGCTGGAAAGTGAAAAATGGGAAGCAAACTTAAATGTGGAAAAATATTGTGCCTCTATGCATTTTGGAAATCAACTTCTTCAGGAGTTGAAAATCACCTGTTTGATTTTCCCATATCAGCTGTGGATCTCTCCATCTCCTACAGAGGTATTATTTGCCTCCTGCTTGCTCCTCTGAGTAATGCCCTCCCTTAACCAGTTACTGAGTTTTGGTGGAACTCTCTGCACAGACAGAGTTGAACCATATTCTTCCCATTTTGTAATAATGGATTTAACAGCACTCCAGAAGTTTGTTATACATTTTTACAGTATAATCCAACTCGGACTGATGCTTTATTCCAGAACAGTTTTGATAGCTCCGTGGGCTTTCCGAAGCTGTTTAGATATGCTCTTCAACATACTCTGGAACTTTCTGGAAACAGGTGATGTCCAGAAGCAGTGGGTTGCATCAGAGCTTATTTAGGCATGTCACAACAAAGAGGCAAATATTCAAGCAACCAACAAGTGCCAGTCTGTTTCTTTTTAACTTCACTTTTGTGTCTCAATAACATTGTTTTGCATCTTTACAGTGTTGAATATCTTGTGTGCATCAAGTGATAACAGTACCAATTATACCCATTTCAATTCCACAACACAATGGAGGAAAGTCAAAGAGACATGAATATTTCTGCAAAATCCTTCAAGTATTTGAAGACAGCGGTCCAATTATCTCAATTTTTTCTTCTGACTAAATATACCCAATTCTTATCAAGAAACCCCAATCAATGATGCACACCGTTAACTTTTCCCAGCTCACCCACTCACGTGCAAACCACTTGTGCTTTCCTGCTATATCCTATGCCTGTGTAATTTAACATGACTACCATGTATTAAAGAACTGCTCACATGGAGGAGAGTGGAGAAAACTGCAATGTTAGATGGTTTAGGACACAGGTATCAGAAGGATGATTTTCTCCTATACCTCAACAAGCATACAGGTTTGTTAAGTTCATGGGACCTGCTCCAGAAGCCAACCTACAGAAGTTAGGCTAGCACCCAAGAGGAACAGAATCTTTTCTATGGTGACACCGTAATCATGGAACGTGCTTCCCACCAATCCTTTACTTTCTTCTGTTTCATACACCAAATTAAATCTGGTCTTTTATTCAAGCCTTTTATGAGATATGATGGGTACTGTTTATTTCGGTATTATCTTGGCTTTGTTGTTTTGTGTCAAACCTTGTTCTTTGTATAGAAACACATATATAAGCCACTTTGAAGTTTACCTTGTGGAAAGGCAGGTTGATAAATTTGAACACATTTGCACTTTCAAGAGCAGATCTCTTCCATTATTGAGTGGAAAACAATGCCACTCTAAAGAAATATTCATTCTCTGAGAAGTTTTTACCAAAGATACCAACAATTATGCACCCTTTCATTCCTGGCTGACTGGAATGGAATAAACCATTCTGCAATGTCAAATTGACTTTTTGGGATAATGTGAGACTCTTGAGGGAAGGGTAAGGGGAAAACAAAGCCTGTTTACCAGTTCCCAGAGTTAGCTGAAGCCAGTTTTGTGGGACATTCTTAGACATAGCAAAGCTATACTAGGGATGTAACTCCTTATAGCGCAAACACAATGAGGCATTAAACTTACTTTTCCAAAGAAGCCTTTGAAGAACTTCCTTTCCTGGAGGAACAGGGGGGACAAGTTGAATGCTATTACTGTAGGTAGCTAAAATGTCCCAAGGTTTCAAACCAACATATACATAAAAATGGGAATTGGAAGGAAAGTAGGTAATGTTTAGAGTTGGCCACAGAGAATGTGACAGGCTGATGTGAAAAGTTCCATGAAAATGCAAATAAAAAGGCATTACATGGACTTTTATTAGGATAGGCTTTAGCTCTGAAATTGGTGAAAAGAGGAAAAGAAAAATCAGACCCAATTTCATGCAAAATGTTTACTCAATTTTATTTGTCCCCCTGGCTTTTAGTATGGTTATAAGCCCAACTTGGCAGCAGACTTGAAAACATTCCAAACTGTGTGATGGTGACTTGAAATTAACACATTAGATCAATTAAAGTCTTTTCAAAAGTTTGGGATAAAATCAACATTTCTCAAATAGCATAAGACAAAAACAATTGGAGGGATTCATCCTTTCTAGTCTCTTTGATAACATGCTTATAAGCTTCCACTATTACTTTCCAAGCTAAATTTATCACCGTGACATTAAATGGGTAATTGTTATGCCAGGGGTTCTTTTGAATCTAAATTCTTTTACTAAAAATATTCCACAATAGATTTTGGTCAAAAGCCCACAAAATATGCTTTTGTATATTGCCCTTTTACATGTTAAAGAAACTCTTCAGTAATTGTTAAGGAAACTAACTGCACTGTTTAAGAGTTCTCTGCTCTTTTTTTTTTGATAAAATATGAAAAGTAATGTATCATGTGCAGATTCCAGATATTTGAAATCCACAGGCAAACAAGCAAAGTGCTGCATTTTTGATGGTGCTGAGCATGACAGCTTTTATATTTTATTTTACATGCAATTTTAGAATGATTTACCTAATTCAGAGGTGAACAAAAGCCTAGATGTTTTTCTTGGCTATATTCAATGAACACTAAAAGGCTGAAACACGTAACACTTTAAATTTGTTCCTGTGATAAATACTATGCAGCAAGCCATTCATGTCCTTTGGCATGACATAGGGATAAACTATTTTTCTTCACCTCATAAACCTCTAGAAAAAATATTTATGGTGGTTCCAATGCCCTGTAGTGAAATGCTGCATGGTCTTCCCACATGGTGGCAGCAGTTACAGCAACCAAGTGGCAGCTTATTCACAAATATTGACCTGTTTTGCATGCAACAACAACCCAGATTATGAGCTAGGTACGCCTTGTGATTGAGCTATGAGTTGGTGCTGAACGACCAAGAAAGACAATCCTTAGTTTGTTGCTGGATTGTGAACTCTGTGTTATTCATAGATAACATCCAACCATAGGGGTGTGTGCATAACAGCAATAACCAATTCAACAACAAACCACAGTTCAATGAAAAATCCATAGTCTGCACTCTGGTCGTTGTTACATTTGTACCACATTATTGCCTCCTATATATTACACACCTATGATTCTCTTTTATGTTTCCCTTGAATGTTTTCACCATTCTAGTCTCGACAAGGGGTTACCACTGTTATTATGCCTCTTTTCTTTGCCTCATGGCAAATGTAGAGAAATATCTGATATTACTGCCTAAACTTGTCTCCACTAGCTTATACCTGCCAAAGAATTATCACGATGTTTTACACAAAGAAAATGAGTAGGATGGTATAAATTGATGACCTGCAACAGCAAGGCATTGGCCTTGATGGCCTTCTTGGTCCCTTCCAACACTATTCTATGCTTCTATGAAAAGATGGGTATCACCACTGCCAAGTTAAGCATTAAATATCAATACAATCAGCCTTCAGGAGATATGTCAGAACTCGGGAGGTTCATAAAAGCTACCTTTTTAAAAACAAGACTATAATTAGTTTCATTTTCAGAAGCTGTTAACATGAAAAAATTAGTTGTTCCAAAGAAAGCATTAGGTAGAAAGCATGCAAAATGAATTTAAGGGTAGCCGTGGAAGTTAATATTCAGAAACACCACTAATATTTTAAACACACTTAAGTTATGTTTCTTTTACCTGCTAAAACAAGAACATATATTAACAAATGTATCATATTTGCAAAGAAAAAAATATGACACGTTAAGACACTAACACTAAAGACAATTTTAACCAAATTAGAGGATGAAGACAATACAACAGATAGACAGCTTCCAACATAGTTCACCAATGAGCAAATATAAGCCAGTTTATTAAAAGGAAAACTAGAAAAACTACAGTTTAAAAGTCCTCTATACAACTATGTACTACTGCATCAAAATAGGAGTGTCAAATTTCACAAAATTCCAATTTTACATCTAATTGGGGTTGTATCATAAGATCATATTACTAACTGAGCAGATGTCATGTCTTAAATAACTGGAATAGAAACCAATCACATAAAGGCACTGCTTCAACTATTGAGCTCAATCAGTCAAGAACATTTTTAAAATGAGTATGAATGCTTGATCATAAATTTCCTAAGGCATGAGTGGGCAACATGTGATACCCTCCTTATGTTTTGGCTTATAATTCCTATCATCTCTTACCACTGGCTAGGGCTGATGGGAGTTGTAGGCCAAAATGAAGTGCTGACTGCTTTTAACTGGCAGGTAAGCTGTTTGACTTAATTACTCAACAACTGTTTAGTTGTAATGTCACAGTTGTATCTTGCTAACAAAAATTCAGAATCGTCTGTTCCACATGCAGTATCTTCCTTACAGGTTAAGTTCCTTAATCATTTTGGATACAATTTACAGAACATCATATTCTTCTAGTGTTAACCAAGTGTTGTTAACTGTACTTGAAACTCTTGGTATGCCCTTAATTCCAGCAGGATCCAAAATGAACCAGAGTTATGTACTTAGTATAATACAGCATATTAGGGTTGACTTAATGCCATTTCCAGCATATATTTTTCCTCCCCTCCACTCCTGCTGATTAGTACTTTGTAATATTCTAAAGTGTTAATTCATATTCTTCAAAGAACCATTAGGAAAAACACCAGTAAATTGTGCCACACGCAGGCAGCAGGAGGCAATTAAAGCATAGAAATTCTCCAATATTCCCACCCACCCTCCTCCAGTTAACTTAGATAAATTTGTGTCTACATCTAAAATGAAAAGGCAAAATGTCCCTAAAAAGAAAGAAAAAGTATGGCTTTATATCTTTAGGAGAAGCATTGCTTCATAGAATATTTTGGCCTAATTATCTAAATTTAAAATATGTGACAGGTCTACTGAAAACACTCCAGAGCAACCAGAAAAAGCCACTAAAGTTTCTATGGTAGTACAGAAAGGAACACAAGCACACATTAAAAAAAGTTCAGCCATTTAACAGTTAGTCAAACATAAATCAACTTCAGGTTGACAACATCAAGTTACTATATCTATTTTGACAACATCAGGCCTCTGTACAAAAACAGGTGTATTTTACTGCCCTTGAATGACTTATAGCTTGTTCTGAGGAAAACCTTGTTGTACTCTACTGGAAGAGACTTGGTTGCCTTGTTAAAATGGAAGTTCATTCTACTAAACTGTAACTGTATTGAGGCTAACAAAAAACATACATAGAACCTGTATGTACGGATAGAAAAGCAAAGTTAAGAATGAACTCCACTCTTGGATGCTCAACATTCTCTTGATGAAAATATGCCTTTCAAGTGACTGAAAAGGAACTGAATACATCAATGTCATTTACTAGAAGAACAACACTAAGTCAATATTGATAAGGCTTGATAGGCATGTCTTTGCATATAGCTGCATGAAACACTCATCTAACCATTGTAGCAAAGTGCTTGACAAAGAAAAAACACGGAGAACAGCAAGTCTAAGATTTCATTATACATTTTGTTTGGAGCACCAAGTAAGAACTGATGGGGTATAACTATTGTTTCTTATAAACTAGTCAAGACAAAAAACAATGAGAAATTGGAGGTGACATCTAATCAGAACAGCAGAGTTCACTAGGAAGTTCTTGAGAAGATGCCATCTTTAAATGTCCTGTGTGTGACTGAGAGAAGAGTTTAAGCAGAGCTTGAGTTGTTTCCATGCCACGCAACTTAAAAAGCACAACGTTTCTTTAACAATTTGACTGTACTACCAAGCTTAAAATTGTATGCTGCTATCACTGAAGTTTTAAAAGTTAACTGCTCTGAATAAGTTTTTAGTGGTATTTATTTTTCTTATTAGCTGAAGAATATAAATTTCACAAGTCTTCAAGAGACTACCGCCATCTCCTTCATGAGTGGAAACAGACATCAAGAGCAGAAACTGCTCTACAGACCTTTCATCAGTTAATCATTTTGACCCCAAAATGATATAGAGAAGTCCAAGTACATGCATACTACATACAGTAATTCTCATTCCCATTGCACAGAGAAAAAATGACTATCCAGAATATTAATCTGCCTAAGAAGATAATGTGACCTGTTTAAGAAGGACTAAGACTTTTTCGAAAAGACAGCAAATACAACCAAAGTTTTTCAGAACCTTCTGAAAGCACAAGAAAGCTACTACAAATAGGAACCATAGTTTTATCTCTTCCTTCTAACTTATACTGGCATGCATCAGTAACTATATATAGTGCTTTAAGAAAAATGTTTTAGCTCTTTCAAAAGATTCTTGTACACACTGAAACTGGATATACTGGCATAATGACAGCATTTTAATAAGCATACATACAGCTTTCAGCCTCTTCACAGCATCTTCACATATATGCATTCCTCTTGATTCATCTACTTCCACATGTCCCAGATACTGATAGGAAAAGTGAAGAAAAAGATAAGATCAGAGAACTCATCTAGATTAGCTCCATTGAATTCAAGCACACATTCATTTTGGTGAAATATTTCAGTGTTTTTATGTTCACTGTACATATGGACTACAGACTATTAAGCAGCAGGTGGATCTCTAATTCACATTTACATTGTTTTGCATTTGAAATAATCCAACAAAAATGCAGGTTGCTTACCTGTAACTGTTGTTGTTTGAGTGCTCATATGGGCTCTGTGCCTGCGTGGAGCCTCTTGCCAGGAAGATTCAGTAGCTGAGAGTGTTTTGACAGGAATCCCTCCCCCACTCCAGCATCCATATAAAAAGGAGGAGCTCCCACCACTTCCCTCAGTTCCAAAGGAGACTACCTGGTGGCCTCAGAACCAAGGCAGGATCAGTAATACCAAGCTTGCATTCAGGGAAGTAGTACAATGATGAGTAAAGACAAAACAAAAGGAAGCACAGACAGCAAAACATAGAGTGCTCAGGCACCTATAACACCCAGAGGGGCAGGTTGGGTTGTGTAAATGCCCAGATGATTACTCAGAGAATAAAAGTTACAGGTAACTAACTTGCCTTTCTGTTTCGTGGTCTCTGTGCATCACAAATATGAGCAACAAGCATGTGTACACTGCCTGGATGGTGGGTTAGTGTCATCGCTGGAGTATGGATGACAGGACTGCTATCCCGAATACACAATCAGCCCTGGCAAGAACATCAAGTTGGTAACGCTTGGTAAAAGGGATGGTGTCAACCAGGTTGCTGCCTTGCACAGGTCTGGTAGTGGGACGGCTGCATGTATGCTGTCAAAGTCACCACTGCTTGAGTTGAATGTGCTTTCAGCCACACTGGGAGTTGCAGTCCTGACGGTTTATAGAATGATACAATTGTCCACATCACCTAGGCTGAAAGTCTGTGTGGTGAGAGGGGCTTGCCCTTTGCCTTGACTCTGTAACAAACAAAAAGTGTGGGAGTCTGACTACATGATTCTGTCCTGGAGTGGTAGAATGCCAGTGCCCTACACACATCCAGGTTATGCAGCAAAGACTTCACGAGACTGGACAGGGATGGAAAAAAAGTGGTAGAACAATGTCCTAGTTCAAATAAAATGAAGATAATGGCCTTCAGAAAGAAGGAAGGATCTGGCTGCAGCACAACCTTATTCTGATGAAAGCCATGGTATAGAGGATCTATCCATAAGGCACTGAGTTCACTGGAGCACTGTGCAGATGTAATTGCACCCAGGAATGCAACCTTCCACAACAGGAGATGGAGATTAACCATTGCCAAGAGCATGAATGGCTTCTGCAAGACAAGTGACAATGTCAATGGCATTAGCAATTGAGTAAGGCAAGTGAGTGTTCTTCAGTCTGTTCAAGAAACACCTACTCACTGGATGCAAAAAAGCCAGCAAGCCCTGGATGGTGTTGTGGAAGGAGGAACTGACTGCCAAGTGAACTCTGATAGACCATGTCTTCACTCCATGCTGAAGCGGCAAAGCAAGGTAGAGAAGAATCTGTTTGGAGCATCTCTTGAGCATTTCTTCAAGGAGAAAAAGGCTTTCCACAGAGTCCCCCAAGACCTGAAGTTCCTGTGCAGTCTTCGAATCCATCTGCAACTTGGGAACATTGAGACTCCTCCTAGATCCCAGTAACATGAACGGTGGTCAAGGTGATGTGTTTGCATACACACTAGCCCCAGATTTGAATGGCTAGCTGTGTTAACAGAATCAACCTGGTGTCTTGCTGTTTGTTGTTAATGCAAAACACCACTGTGGCATTGCCCATGGCCATCTGCACATGGTGTCTGCAATACTATTAAAGCTTTTTTCACTGCAAGCAGCTCAAAGTGATTCATGTACTTAGTGGCTTCCAACTCATTCCATGTTCCTGTTTTTGCAGGAAGTCACAGTCAGCTCCCCATTCAAACAGGGAGGCATCTGCCAAGACTATAAAAAATAGCTTGGAACCGAGACATTCCCTTGGAAAGGTTGGTGCACTGAGTCTACAAGGTGAAGCTGGATGATACCATAACAGGCATCAAATAATTTCCATGGGCGGCTGACCACAGTATCAAAGGTGTGACTAGATCACAGCTGAAGTGGTCACATCTAGAGTCTGGCCAAGGGAACTAGTGAGATTATTGTTGCCATGAGCCCAAGAAGCTGTTGAATTTGGAGAACCAACATTACATGTTGCCATTCAAGTTTAGAAGCCATCTAGACCAATGCTGCTGCTTTAGGTTCTGCCGCTATGATGGAATCAGTGTGCACCCCAATGAAGAGGATGGACTGGGAAGGGGAAAGAACAGATGGATAGGCAGAGGCTCAATCTATCCAACAAAGCACATTTGGTGTTGATGGCCTTTAGCAATTTGGGCCTGGACAGAGCCACAAACAGTCAGTTGTCCAGGTATGCAGAGGTGGGTGCACACTATAGATGGGCACTTTGTAAAAACCCTGGAGGAAATTAAAAGTCCAAAGGACAAAAAACTAGAACATCTTTCTCCCAACTTGAAAGTGAAGGAAATGTCTATAGGACAGTGTTACTGCAATGAGAAAATGAGCATCATTGAAGTCAATAGAAGCAAACCAGTCCCCCCCACTGGGGTAGGGGGAGAATGCCTGGTAGAGTGACCATTTGGGAATTTTTAGGAGAAATAAAATAACTATGGTCCCCCAGGTCCAGGATCAGTCAAAGCCCACTTCAGTACCCATAAAGTATTGTACGAAGCACCCACAGTGAGCAGATGGAGTGGTGATCCATTCAATTGCTCTCTTCAAAAGGAGAGAGACTCTCACCCATTAGTGCTGGACAGAGGAATGTTACATATACAGTACTGATCAAACTTTATCTTAAAACCCCTCTGGATGATCAACAACACACAAGTGTCCAATGTAATTGCCTGTCAAGCAGGCAAGTGGGGAGAGAGAGAGCCCTTAAAATCAGAAGGAATAGAAATGGATACAAGGGCTACCCCAAAACTCAGTCATCACCTTCTCTCTCTACCCCTCCTATTGGAGTGCCTTTGCCCCTGATGAGACCAAGTAGCACTGTCTTTCCACTCATGAGAAGGCAGTGGTGGTAAGCACTGTGCTTCTTCTGGGATGAAGGGAAGGATGATACCCTGCCCAAAGCACTTCACATCCAGTGGTAGAATATCAGAAGAAACCCATCTTCTTCACCATAGTCGAAAGATCATGTCCATGTGATCATTTGTCATAGCAACAAATATCATGCCCCCATGGAAGGGCAGGTCCTCTATACAGAAACAGGCTTCTTGCATCAGACCAGATGAGCACAGCCAGGCATGCCTGCTCAAAACTACTGCATCAATCATCGCCTTTGCTCCACAATCTACCTGGTACCTGGTGGTATTAATCTGTATCCTGGAGAGGTGCACTGCCTTGCTCTGGAACAGTTGCTGAGGTCCACTACTGTTCAGCCAGGTAATCACAGAGGGAGGCCAAGGAGAACAACTGCTACCTTGCCATAATAGCCTGATAGTTTTCCACCTTTGGTCCCAGAGCTGTCAAGGCACAGACGCACCTCCCAAGAATAGCCAGGTGGCATCCCTCAGTGTCAGAGGAAGTGGAGTGCTGGCAATGCAACCTTCCTTGACATCAGGACAGCATACAAGTCCATGTGGAGGGTCATATGTGACACCTTGATAGTAAAAGCCCCCAGGTCAAGAAAAACTGGCAAGGCTTTGGAGTGGGTTAAACTGATCATCTGTCACAGACCAAAATTTGGGAGCAGGTGTGTTCCCTGAGGTTATTAGCTCTGGTGGACCTCAAGCCAGAGATGGGGCCACTGGTACTCTCGCAGCTGTGGCAAGTGGAGGGAGACAAGGTGGAATATCACCGATTTCTCCCTCTGATACCAAGGCTGAGATTGACTCATGCCTCAGTACTGTTGTGGTGTCTTGCATGGTTGTTTCCAAGGTGGCCGGTACCAGCTCGGAGTCCATCCAGTGCGGCTTAGTCTTGGCAACTGAGCAATCTTTCGGTCTTGCTTCTTCAGCCCTCTTGGACAACTTTTCTGCCTTTTCAAGCTTTGCCAACTCTTCCGGAGTCAGCAATATAGCCACGGATGGAGCTACAGATGGTGCAGTGACTGTGACAGAAGGTATGGGCCTCTGTGAAGTAGCAGAGGCTGCTGCTGACAGGTAAGACAGCTCCAGCAAGCCCAGGGCATCAACCACACAGAGGGCCTTGCTGCAGAGCTCTGGGTGAAGATGATCAGCCTAATGTTTGTCAGCTTGTTTAGTAAAATGCCTGGCGATGGAACAACATGCCTTTCACCTAGGCACATGAGGCAAAGAAAGCACCCATTAGCTCTGCACTACATACATTTGTGGAAAGGTGCCTTCGTTGCCATCAGGGAAGTCAGAATGGTAAGACAGAGGGAGAAGGAGAAGATAATTCAAGGAGAAGGTGATTGGGAAGGGAGAACAAAGAGGGTTTGTTTGTTTTTTTGTTTTTTAAAATGAAAGAAGGTTAAAAGGGGAGCAGTTAAAGAGAAAAAAACTCATGAAGATTCTGAAGGAGCAGTGTATACAGAGAAAAGACACTCAGAAAATAAATAAAAGGGCAAGATAAAAGGAGAAACATGCTCCAAGAGAAAAAGTACAGAGAGAACATCTGAAGGCATGGAAGGCAAAGATGAATTGAGGGAAATAGCAGGAGCTCCTCCTTTTATATGGACCTCAGGGTGGGGAATTTTCCTGGTAACAGGCTTCACGCAGGTGCAGAGCCGATAGGACTATGAAGAAGAACACATTCAAAAGGGAACATCCCACAAAGCAGAAACAAACAAGAATTCAACAAAGGTAGGAGAATGTTTTACTGATCCAATATACAGCCGAATGCATTTTCTACTATGAATTCAACAGGGTTGAGTAGTAATGGCAAAGAACATGTCCGCTAGCTGAAATAATGTAACAACAGCCTTCACAAAATTTGAGATTCCATTACTATTAAGCAA